CAAGGGTAAAAATACAATCCGGAAGTCTTTCAGAGAAATAGCATCTAGTAAGTTGTTAGTAAGTCTAGTAAGCAGCTAGACCGAAGACACAAAACTCCTTTTAAAACCTCAGATTTATCATATTGTCCTTAAGGAGTTAAAATCCTTGCACCTGGATCATCTGCAGTATAGCTACTTTGTAGCTATTTTAAGGAATTTTAATAGTTGTACCTAAAGTCTGCCACAAATTCTTTATTTTGGTTCACATTTTACATGTGTATATTATTTCAAGTGTTTTTTATCAAATGTTTTATAACTTTCTGTCTGAGCGTTGTCCAAGAAAATGTTTGATATGATCAGTGGCACCTTTTTCCTAAATAGGATTTTTATTTTCGTTGGTGTTCTGCTCATCTTTTCCGCCGTTTGCCCTCCTTGAGTTAGTCTGCATATCCTTCCGTTCATCATTGATTTGATGTAAATCAATCCTCTGTCCTCCTCCTGCGTCCTTCCATACAACAAACACATTGCCTCGTCAAGCTTCCGCCGTCGGGATCAGCACTCACTCACTTGCTGTATAATTCAGAGAGCTAGAAGGGATAGAAGAATAAAGCAACAACCAGGGCAAAGAAAATGAGGGGAGAAAAAATCCCCTGTTTTAATTACATGGCTACAGTTGACTTTGAACCTGCAGAGTTTTATGAAAAGGAGATTTATCTCATGTGAAAGTGCGAAAGGCCTTGGTTTTAATTGCAACACATCAAGTGGTTGAAGGATATCAGGAGTAGGAAAAGATAGGAGCTGCCATCTTTGTCCCTAGTTACCAATGTTGCTTTTTCCAGCTGTGATAGTAAATGTAAGTGGAGGAATTTAAAATACATACAGCATTTTGTCTTCGGTATTGTTAACACATTCACTGAAATTTGAAAAGGTTTGGTGACCCTAGCTACAACGCTTCAACCTCAGGGCCCTGAAGGCGAGATTGCAGCCAACTACCCTCTCAGGAGAGCGAATGATACCCCGCAGCCGGCCCTCGTCTTTGGCAGTGGCTGATGTGTACCAGACGGTGATGGAGGAGGTCAGGATGGACTTAATGATGGTGGTGTAGAAGTGCAGCCAACATAACTTTCGACAGGTTGAATTTCTTCAGCTGCCTCCAAAAAGTACATCCTTTCCAAAGCCTTCTTGGTGATGGAGTTGATATTCAGTTCCCACTAGAGGTCCTCGGTTATGATGGAGCGCAAGAAGTAGTAGGATTCCACACGCAAGCAAGCAACGATCGAGGTGTCACACTGGGTGATAGGGGCAAGTGGGGCTGTGTTCTTTTAGAAATCCCAAATCACCCCCACTCGTGATGAATCCGGTGTGTGTGGTGCCATCCTGGAACTTCAGGGGCGTGGTGGTCTGGGGATAGAGCTCAGCTTTGAGGGTAACCAGTGCTGATGATCCCATAGTAGGAGTGTGTTTCTCAGGGCGTAACATGCTTCTGGCTGTCAGAAAGGAGGTCAGCGATCCACTTGCAGGTGGAGTAGGGCCCTCTGCAGCTGGGAGAGCTTGCTGGATGATGAGACTGCTGGATAATGAGACTGCTGGATAATGAGACTGCTGTATGATGAGACTGCTGTATGATGAGACTGCTGTATGATGAGACTGCTGTATGATGAGACTGCTGGATGATGACACTGCTGGTTGATGAGACTGCTGGATGATCACACTGCTGGATGATGAGACTGCTGGATGATGAGACTGCTGGATGATGAGACTGCTGTATGACCACACTGCTGGATGATCACACTGCTGGATGATGAGACTGCTGGATGATGAGACAGCTGAATGATGCATGGATCGTTTTTTTTCATTTCCATGTGAAACATAGAGACTGATGAAACTCAAACTTGAAATAGTCTGAATAATTTGATCCATTCTCTCGTGTTCCCACTCTGATTGTGTCACTGAGCGGATGTGAGCTGCTCTTGAGCTCCGCTGTGAGGTGTCTGGTGTCTGGCGTCCTCTGGCGAACACAGGGGATATAACAACTAACAATCATCTGATCTAATCAATCAACTGATGATTATGTAAGTAAATAACATTTACAGTCTTTTATTTTTTTATAAAAAATCAACGAAGATAATGATATTCATTAAATGCGTGTGTGTGTCAATATGATGAAAAGAATGTATTTTGTTGTTTTTGTGATGGTATGCACTAGAGCGGAAACAGTCCATGGAATATGTGATACCGAAAACTAACCCGCATCTATAATAGCTCGATTCATTATCTTATTCCAGTTTCTTTCAATGAATGAATTCAATTTCTTTGTGCTTCATGGTAGTAAAATGAATGTGTTCTGTGTTGGACTTTGTACCACACCAAAAATGTGCACTAATTGTGTTAAAAAAAAAACAGCAACTTTTTCACAGAAAGGGGATAATTGTAAGTTATTGATTATTTAGTTTAAAATACAAAATATCATTTGTAAACAATATTTAATCTAAACAATGTAATGCACAAAATGAAGGCACACTCCATTTTCTTCCATTTGTCATAAACAGAAACGATGCGCACACAAGAGGTGGAACACGGCAGGAAATAACCCTCTGACCAATGAAATGAAAAGCATATTTCAGACAAATTTACAATCGGCAATACTGTGATTTCTTAAAAGAGTAGTTTTATATTTGAGAAAATACTCCCCCAAGAGAGCTTTTCCCTCAAGAGTTAGATTAGCATCAGCTAGGCAACAGCTAGCAGCAAAATAGATTAGCTTAGCATTGGGCTACAAACTGACAGTTTATTTAAAAATAATTCAATCTGCCAATCTTCTCCTTCTTCTGGATTAATATGTCAGAAAGATGTCCTAACATGATTATTTATGTTGTATTCATTGAATTACAGCTACTGTGTATTTGTTGTCAACTATGTGAATCCAAATATTTAAGCTGAACTTGATGTGCCACAACTAACTCATTAAAATAGTGTGTTTAATATAGTGCGAGCGTGTCATGACTCACTTTCCGATATTAATAAAATTGCCCATAACAACTTTGACTGGAGCGTTTGATGCCACTTTCTGGGTAATGCAGATCTCAGTTGTCAGAGATACAAGCAGTCTTGCCTTCACATACTTTCACAATAATGGAAGGTCGTGATGTTGGCCAGTGTGATGTTGTCCCATCATTCGTCCTGTGTTATTAATTTCAATTTCCCAAAAACCTTTAACCTTTAACCAAAAGCAAGCAGAGGCTGAGAAGACTGATATCAGAAGACCATACATGTTTAGCTTAGCTAATAACTAATAATAAAACTTTATTTCTTAAACAGAAAACTCACACGGCTATATTAATCAATTGTTCCAAAGAAATAACAATCTATTGATACTGGACCATAAAATCACTAATAGTGTATTGAAGATTTTTAGATCCATATTTCCTAATCATACTGCACATACTGTGATTGTCCTGATGTAATTGAGGTTGTATCAGGGAGAGTGAGTCAGTGTGTTGAAGTTATTTTGTAATGCTTCCGTGTGGAGCACGAGCAGACAGACAGGCAGACAGACAGACAGTCTGTGTGATGTGAAAGGTCAGAAGCTCTGCTGTGATGTTTCTCATTGTGTGATGTGGTGTCACAAACTCAAACAGATTTTCAAATGTGGCCTCTCACAAAGGCACACACACACACACACACACACAGAAAAGCTCTCTCACCTGTCACCTCTTGCACATTGCGAGGCTGTAGAGTCAGACTTTCGAAATCTAGTGTGAGCTCAGGTTGTTCACACTAAGCGGCTGCGCATCTTAAAGCATTCGGTGAGCGTTGATCTCAACGACTGGGCGCTCGAGCCTTTTTAAGTCTTCTAAAGTCTGGATCCTGTCTTGTTAGACTTCGGTCTAATCCGGGGAACTCGGCCGGTATTCAAAGTATTTCGGAGCAGTCTGTTGGCTCCGCTGCTGCCTGCTGCACAATGGGTGCTGTGCTAGCCGCTCTCTCTGTGGAGGCCAGGAGGCGACTCTCTCGGCCGAGCTGCCTGTCTCACTGCGGCCGCGGCGCCGCCAGGTACCATCGCTCAGGTAGGCGCTCCAATGGTCTCACCGTGCAGTGTTATTATCTCCTTCTTCTTTGGCTCTTTTGTCTGCCCACCGCCTTCCATAAGTCATTCTGCCTCATTACTTTGCAGTCCCCCTTCTCAAAGAGGTCATGCACAGGAGTCCATTTTTCTTGGAGTTTGGAGTGTCCTGGGAAGCAGTTTTGGGGAGTTTGCACTAATAGTGGCAGAAATCACTTTGTCAACACTGTGTTCAGATCTATAAAATACTCTCTGATGTGCGATGGTTTTTGTTGGAAGTACTTCTTCAGTTTGTTGATGATGGAAATCCCTGTTCCCTCTAACATCAAACACATGCCTAGTTTATTGCAGAAGATGGAATAGTACATCTCGTAATCTCTATCAATCAATATTGTTATCATTATAGGGTAGGTTTGATACTTTAAATAGTGTACTCTTCAAGTACTTTTGCTGAGGTAGAAATATGTTGCCTTTTACTTGTTATGAATTATGTTTCTAGGGTGAAATTTTACTTAAGTTGAAGATCAAAAGAGTTTGTAGTCGCATGTTGAATTGTCCTTGTGTTCCATGAGTTAATGATAATGAGCTGCCTTTAAAATATATGAGTGCGTATCATCAGCAGGGAGCAAGGCGTTTTTTTCCATAAATCGCGTAGAAGACGGAGGTGATGTTCTGATGGGTCTGACTGAGAGGAAACCATCAGCATCCTCTCTCCTTGTTTACTGACTGGTGTGTCAGCAGGCAGATTCAAGCCTACCTTTTAAAAAACCCTTAGTGTCCTAATGGCCTGCCCAGCGGAATTACCACCAATAAACTCACTAGCGTCGATATACAAGAGAGTAAACCTAAATGCACAAAAAACATCTCCTGCAATATCTCAAAAGAGAATTTGACTTTCGCCTGCTATGAACATGGTACCACAGACCCATCAAAGAATAGTCACCGTAGGGAGTGAGAACAGATTTGAATGGTTTTATTATAGATAGTTGATTTATATTTTTCTGTTGAAGGGTATGACGCAGAGACGGAAAAAGAGGGGAAGCTCCACCACCACCTCACCACAAAGATATTGATCCCTCTCACTCTGGCTTTCCATCTCTGTCTCCCATCTCCAACCAGACCAATGGATTTATTCACACACACACACACACACACATACCTCCATTTCCCATCTTGATGCATTAGCGAGTACAGAGTCATCAGTTATCCTCTTCTGACCTGCTGAACACACAACAACATATGCTCACATATTGTAGCAGATATCTATGTCAAACTGTTGCACATATCACAGGAATCATTACTATTTTGATAACATGTTTGCTCAACTCATTTTGGAGAGCGCTAAAAGCTTGCAGACACAATATCGTTCAATACAGGAAATACTGAGTGCATATCAGGCTTTGGACCAAAGTATCAGCATGCAGCCACTACTCCCATTTATGGTTAGAAAGCTAGTTAAAATCACTGTAAAGAGACCCAACAACGTCAAAAATGCCAATCAGCAGCAAGACGTGCTGCAAAACCAGAAGCAAATTCATTAAATGGATGTGCGCAATGACAAAACAATAACTGCAAGAGATGTGAAATTCTACAAAGAAAGAGGGTTTCAAAATGTGAATGGTAATTTACAAATGTGTCCCCTGCCTTTAAAGCTTCAAACGGTCCTTTACCTGGACTCGGATGTGGTGGAAAAACGAGGGTCACTTTGGAGCAGGAAAGAGGGAGTCGAGGAGAGGAGGGGAGAAAGTCTGCGGTTGCCCAAAGTTATGGAATAACAGAGGGGCTGGAGGGAGGAAGGGGAGGAGGAACGCTCCGATGGCGAATCAGATGGACAGACTGCGAAGAAAGGAGGAGTGCGGTGGAGTAAGGAGAGACCACAAGAAGGACAGGATGAGTGGAGTGGCTACGGGTGGACGGGGCACTTCAATTTCAATCGCCGAACAGAGTGAGCGCTGAGAGGCCAGTTTTCAACGAGAGGCAGCAACCGCTAAGTCCAGGAAGCTGCAGAGAGAGGGGAGTGATGGAAAGGTATGTCCGGAGGAGGTAGACACCAGGGGAGGAGGTTTCTTTCCGCAAAGCCCTCCTCAGTCGGTCAGGATTTCCCTTGCTGGACGCTGTTGCTCTGAGTGCCTTCTCTTCCATATCTGGACCTGGATTTGGACAAACCGTGAAGGGGACTCAATCAGACGGCGCAGCAACAGCAAACCCAAATTTACAGTTAAATTAGACCTGTGCTGAAAGGTTGGTTGGTCGAAGGATTGCTGACAGAGAAGGTGGTTATTTAATTGTTATCACCTGGACAGTGTAGCGTTGTTCTGCTTACTTTTAACTTTGCATGGAAGTCTCATTTTTTGTATCTTGCCTGACAGGTTTCTTTTTCAATTTTACAGCAAAGTCTAGAAAGCCACATTGTCCTCAGCTTGCAGATATTGGGTATAATGGGGTGATTTATTAGTGATCGGTGGTCAGGGGGCAAATGCTGTATTGCCGTTTCATGGCATGAAAGATGAGAAGTACCTTCTGTATATAATCATGTAAATGGACGCTAAAGTCTCTGCTTTTCCCAAAAGACATTTTGATTTTAAACCAAGATGGCATTCATGAGTGCAAACTATGGCGCTAGGAGGACCAGTGGTTGCCGTTTGGATTAAGAGGGTGAGCAGCAACCAGCCACATTGAGCTCCCGACGGCCCCGTGCAAGACCAAAGTCTGGGAATCGACTCTAAGCGTCTCCTTTAATGCACCGAAACAAATGGCTCGTGTCACAACCCCCGTCTTCCCTCGTGGGTCCTGAGAGGGAGGGTTTCCATATATGTCGGCCTCCACATACTTTCCACTTCAGCATCGGTGTTGACATTAGAGCAGCGTTCGTCCAGCCGCCCCCCCCCCCCCCCCCCCTCTCACCCCCTCGGGCTGGTTCTCATGCTGCCTCCCGGGCCTGGAAACAGACCCATGCAGCCACCCGCCAACCAGAATCGATTCCTGTCACTTCTCGCCTCTGTTGAAAACACTTGCTGCTGGCGAGCGAGGCCCGGCCCGGCCCCCCGCCCTCCCTCGCGCCCACCTCGCCTCTCCCCGGGGCCAGGCCTCCGCGCGCAGGCTTGGCCCTGAGTGCGCTGCCCCGGTCCTGAAGTCATGGGGATCCAGGGCATGGAGCTGTTTGCTATCGCCGTGGTCATCATCCTTTTCATGGCGGTTCTCAAGCAGTTCGGTATCTTCGAGCCCATGTCCTCATTTGAAGGTAAGGGCCCCACCTCAGGCCCCTCTTCTGGCTCCACTTACTGCACACGCAATAACATTTATGAAGGGTTTATAACACCATCATTAGTGTGATCATTATCATTATTAGTTAGACTTATATGCAGTTACAAGGGCGTCTGGTTAATATCAACAAGTAAGGCAATGAAGAAACATTGTACATTATGGAAACTGAGTACACATCTCTTCAATCAATCTTTTTACACACCAGCCTCCACAGGATGAGTTATAGTTTATGACAAATAAATTGATATGGACTCATAATTGCTTATAACTATGTTTTTGTGAAAAAAAACATTCATGAAATGTTTATATACTGCTTCTACATGCTAAATAGAGTGGTAAAATAAACGGCTTCAAGTTTCTATAAACTTCAGCAATGTTCATCTTCTGGTAAATCTGGTAAAAAAACTACATTGATAATTTGGTGATGAACTGAAAGATAAAGTGTTCCTTCCTGCTCTTCCTCGCCTTTCTAACATTTTTATAATCTACAAATCAAGTTTATGTAATGCAGAATAAATGTATGAATATTTTAGCTGACTTTAAATCAAATAATTGCCCCCTGCAACCCAAACCGACTGCACTGGTTTTCTGTGTACAGTATTCTGTCTTGTTTGACTTGAATTACCACAAATGTATATTGAACTACCCGGCTATTACATCAGTGAAAATAATAAATCAACAAAATGCATAATGGATACATCTAACCTTCTGACATGATCTATTCAAATGATACTGTTTTTTTAGGTATTTGAAAGTAATGGTCCCTCTTTAAAACTTCCTAATGGGATGATGTTATTTTTTTGCTTACTAAGAGATGCACCATAACACTTTGATGGTGTAGACGGCGTACATTGGGGACAGTATCAGGGAGATGGGAAGCCGCTCTCTGAGCAACGCATTTCCGTTTGATTACAGTTTTGGGTGCCAGCCAGTCAGAGTGAGGCAGGACAATTACAGGAAGGCTCCAGTCGGCACATTAGTGCTTCTCCTATGGCTCTGAATCACAAGTAATAAAGTCAACAAAAAACACCAGTAATCGACTTTCATAATTTATCGCTCCTCTTAATCACTCCAATCGTAAAAATTCCACCCAAACGCCACCAGACCCCCCCTCACTGTGGTGGGGCCGACCCACCGGTTTTGCGTTACTTCCCATCAATTATACAAGCGCTATCGAACCGGCTTTCTCTGAGGCTGCCTAAATTTGGATCCTGGACTACTCCTCCAGGACCCTGAAGGGCACCGGCCGTCCCCCATCATGAGCCGTCAGCCGTGGTTCCAGACCTACTCAACAACAGCAGAAACAGTTTGGCAGCATTTAAAAAAACAAATATATATTTATATATCTTTGCTGTGACTTCATCCCCATTTCTACTAAAGTAGTGTATGGTTTTGTAATGTTATTTGATGAGATAAAAAAGAGAATTAAAGGCATTAAAAGTACTTCACACTATACAAGGAAACTGTTCCCCCTCCATTCGACATAGAAATAATTGTTTGGCTCAGTATTTCTATTTGTCTGGAGGGGATCTTTGATACTGTGTATCCAGTTTTTCCACATTTAGCATCAACAGAGCATCAGATGTCTTTTAGCAATCAGCAATCCAATCAGGTCTGGTATCTTACTTGTTGCATTATTTATATCATCAGCACTCAAGAAAAGAGCCTTTGATTTTGAAAATGCATTGATTGATGACAAATGCCTCAGCACATTTGATTGTTGTCCCGTCCTCTCTGCTCCAATGTCGATTTTGGGTTCAGTCCAGCTTGGTCCTATTTTGGGAAGACACCCGATGCCAGAGGTAGCCTTGTCTTTAGACGTATGTATTGTTTGTTCTCTGATACCAACGTCTGATATTTGTCCTGCACAGTTGACTCTCGCAGGATGAATAACATCGATAGCTAGAGGTTTATTTGTGACTTTAGAGATTTATTTGTGACTTGTTTGCTCATTTTTGTGTTCGTCAGAAATGCATCATTCAACCAGCAGTGGGTACATTTACTCAAGAACTGTATTTTAGTGCAATTTTGGATGAACTTGTACTTTATGTAGCGTGTCTGTTACACTACTGTGGTAGGCCGGTATACTCTGATCAGTAGTACAAAGTACAAGTCTTATGAATTGCGAGTACACTCAACCCAAAGAAATATTCTCCTAAAAATCAGCTTTGTATAAATAAATTTAGACGTGATGAAATCTATTTCTCTTTCTCGCCTTTTGTTATAAGCTTGTAAAACACTTGGCATGTTGAATAAAAAGGGCAATTCCCAAAAACCTCAATTGTGCAGAGAGAGAGAGAGAGAGAGAGAGAGAAACAATCACTTTTCTATATCTGGGATGAAGTCGCCTCCTGGAGTTGTGCGTCTGCGGTTTCTTTAGTGGTCTCCACTAGAGGGAGCATCTATTACAGGAGTGTGACTGTGTGACACATTATCAAATCTGTGTTACTGAGCCCAGGGGAGACACGGGGAACAATTAGAAAGTGGATCACGGAGCTGACTGGGAAAATGGGATCCAGGGCACCTGTTGACCTTTTCTCACCACCTTCTCTGGCTCCTTAAAGGCGAACTGGCTCGTGCGTGTCCACGTTCTGAAAAAAGACTATTAATCTTCAGTTAGCTTTGTCGGTTTTGAGATATTCAGTGCTTTGCTGTCTCTTGGGTCATTGTTTTTGTCGGAAGGGGTAGACTTGCAGCAGGCTGCTTGGGGGAGAATAAGCTGTGAAAGGAGGAAGCTGCACAGCATCAGTCATTCAGTCAGTGCTGGATTTTTGAAGTTGTTTTGTCACAAGCTAGAGGCAAAGTAATCGCAAGCAAACGCTCTGCTTGTGCCGGAACAACCTACACGTGTGAGAGTTTATGAGCCTCCTCGCTGTCTCATTAGGGTTTCCATTAACGCTGCAGTTCAGATCTTGGTTATTCTCACTTTCGGGTTATTTTCACAGCAATACTCTGAACAAAGGAGTTGGACCATCGGACGCTGCTCTTACTTGTGGAGAACATGGACAGATCCATTAGAGCAGGAGAGAGCAGGGGCGGGAGGAGAAAACGCCAGTCAATTAAAAAGGCAGAAGGGGGGAGCTAAATTAGACTAACTTGTGGCAGAAAAGGAGCGATGAATGAGTGGCACTGCTTCAGCGACAGCAGAGAAGAAGACCGGAGAGAGGTTGAGACCCAACGAGACACGGGGATTAAAGGGAGAGGGTGTTTTGATCGATGCCAACTATGTAAAAGGGTAAAGGAACGAGATTGACCGTGGAGGGGAAGAAAGAAGAAGAGGGGAAGATGAGTGTGAGGTGGGAGTCGGAGGGACTGCAGACCGTCGGCATCGTCTGCCTGGTGATCATGTTCCTCAAACTGATGCACCTGCTCGGCCTGATCGACATCACTGAGACCGGTGAGACAACATGGGTGAGGGGCAATGACGAGGAGGAAGAGGGGGAGGAGAAGCAGGAGGAGGAGGAGGAGGAGCAGGAGGAGGGTTGGCATGAATCGCACAGGCTGGAGTTACATTTGAATTGTTATCCACTTGTTATACTTGTAGAGGCTGTTTGACTGCAGCTGTGGAAAGTTGTAGATCATGAGAAGAGAAGAGTAAGTGAAATGTCAAGAAACGTTGATAATAAAAGGCTGTTATGGACACAACTGTTTTGACTTTAAGAACGAGGTGTAATGTGGTTGTTTGGAGGTTCTAATTTATCTCAGTTTACCAGGTGACAAAGCTAACGTTAGCTTGCTAATATATGCAATTAAACGAGACGATATGGACTAAGACTGACACATCTGACCTGAAACTAAAATGTTGTTAAATGACTTTAGCATAATGTGATGTTTTCCACTGATTGTTATATTAATGTTATCTGGGAAACATGTTCATCTGGGAATAGGCCTGAACAGCAGGAATAGAAACCTGCATTCACAGGAGATGTACGACTATCTTTAGCTTCTCTAAAGGTGTACTTTGTGAAAATAATGCCAGCTTGTGATGCAAAAGTTGATCAATTTGATTGTTCTTAGTTACTGAAGTCTTTACTAGCTAATACGTTTTAACGGTGCTGCATGATTTAAAAAGAAGTTTGAAACTTTGGGATGGGTGGTAGTAGAGATGGGAAAGATTTCTTCTTTCCTTAAGCATGTCTTGTGATGACTTCAACACGGTGCGTTGACAATTTAATGCCATATTCATTAATAATTGAAGTGTGGGTTAATGAAAACAATGAACTGTTCATCTTTGTTTGTGTGAGTCTGATTTATCGGTTTTCCAGTCGTCGTTACAACTCGGAGGCTGAAACAGATGCTATTTACAAGTTATAGAACTCGTAACTCCGATGACACATACACACAGTAGCACGAATGCAGCATTATGAATCAGTGGTGGTGGTGGTGGTGGTGATGGTGGTGATGGTGGTGGTTGTCCCTGCAGTGGTCTTGCCGTACACCTGCTTACTACTCATCATGATCATTTCTGTCACAGGAATTGAATGTATTATATCTTATATAGTTTACATTGTTTACATTTACATTGTCTGTCCATCCCGGGAGACGGACCCTCCTCTGACCTTCTCTCTGAGCGTTCTTCTCCTTTTTCCCCATGGAAGGGTTTTTCATTTTTTGGGGAGTGTTTCCTGTGCGGATGTGAGGGTTTCGGGACAGAGGATGTCGCATGTGTACAGACTGTAAAGCCCTCTGAGGCAAATTTGTAGTTTGCGATTTTGGGCTATACAAAATAAAATGCATTGAATTGAAGCGGGAAGTGATGAAAAAGGAAAATCAATCAATTTAGACCAAAGACAAATCAAGACAAATTAATGTAGCCTTTTTTCCAGAGTTTTCTTTTTTTCCAATATGGTTGAAAGCTCAACCTTTACTGGAGATTATTATATAAGATTATTATGCCAAACTGAAGTTTTCAAGGTCAATAATGAACTGCGATGCTCTGCTGGTACGTCATGATCAAATGACCGTTTGTTTGGAGTAATGCAACATCTACACATTGTATCATGCCGGGTGTTCATCTGGTGAAGCAGGTCAGAGGTCGTCTCCTGCTGTCTCTGTCTTATTATTTTTAATGAACAAAGCCATATTACACAAGGGTCTGAGCCCCCTCTCCTGCAGGGTTTGGTTTACGTTACACAGAAATATTATATCTCACTGCTCTGCTTGATGTTTTGTCAGAATATAATGTAGTGTGTAAAAAACTCTTGTTCTCTATTTACTTTCTTTCTCTCCATCCCTTCACTGCTCCGTCCTCCTCCTCCTCCTCACCCTTCATCTCAAGATGGTGAGTATAGTACACACCAACTTAGACCCCCCCCCCCTCCTTTCTATTCCCAGTTGCGACTGGCTTTATTTTAGCGTGTGTGAACTGGTAACTAATAATGTGAGTTACTTCTCGCAGTGGCCTTTCTTAAATGATTTTTTTTATTAAAAGAAGTGTTTTTTGCTGAATCTCTCTCTGAAACTCACACGTTTTACCCCCCCTGCTTTACGGCAAAGGCCTCCCCTCCCCGTTTGCCCAAATGTCGACCTGCGTCCACGCACTCAACGTCCGCCCCGTCCTCCCTCTTCCTCCTCCTGGTCTTTCTCCCTCTGCGTCTCTTCCTGTCTTCCTGTCTTTCTGCCTGTCCCTCCCTGTCCCATCTGTCCCTCCCTCCCACAGAAAGCAGCGACAGCGACTTGGAGCTGTCGACGGTGCGTCACCAGCCGGAGGGTCTGGACCAGCTGCAGCTGCAGACCAAGTTCACCAGGAAGGAGCTGCAGTCGCTCTATCGAGGATTTAAGAACGTACGTCCGGCTGCAGAGACGGTCTTCGTCGCTTTAGCGCCGTTGCTCTGCTTTATATAGACTCAAATCATACTCTATTTTTCTTGTCTTCCTTTCTTGAGCAGGAGTGTCCCAGTGGGATGGTTGATGAGGAGACGTTCAAGACCATCTATTCTCAGTTCTTTCCCCAAGGAGGTTAGACATTAAAACAATCTCTCCTCTTGTCCCTCCTCGTTAGGGACCGATAGCAAATGCTCGGAAATATTGTCTTTCATTCACGCAGGTCCCCAAGTTTATTTCTTTGTTTATACTTACAAGGGAAAATATTGAACTATTTCAGAAGAAAATGACACAAAGGTATCAGAAGTAAAAGTATTGTAGTGGACCCTAAATTTAATTTATGAAGATTATACTATTGTTTTAATGTTACTCTTAATGCATAAATATGTAAGTTGTATTTAGGTAATGATCAGATAACTTTAACTACATTATGCCTTGTTAGGAGACACCCCAATGTTAACTGAACAAGTCTAGTGATTCAATTCATTTGACTGATTTGATTTCTTGTTCGGTGGAAATTAAGCGACTCAATTATAGACTGAAAGAAACAAATGTATTGTATCACTTAATCCAAGGTTTTTGTGGTAAAACTCTTAAAGAGGACGCCGCACAACGGACCGGTGGGTTTGTGCAAATTGTTTATAAAGGTCCTGTTGAACCCTAAATGTGGAACTTGTTGGGCCTCTTGTTCAGACTCTGGCTCAAAGCGACATAGTTTGTATCTGACAGACGGTGACGTGCGGGGAGGTCTTTTCCTGGCTCACTAGCATTAAGACCCAAAACGGGTCGCTGTTGAGCAGCGCTCTCTTAGGCCGGCTGAAAAGGGTGCAGTTAATAAGGATCCTTGTGGTATTTTGACCAAATTCATTTAATTCAGACCACAGAGAACCACTTTTTGTAAAGGGGAATAATATGGCTCCTTTAACTTTAAGTAACAAGTAACTACCGCTACAAATGTGCTGGAGTGATACACGGCTGGTGTAAGTTTACTTTACAGCAGTGGTTCATTTGTAAAGGTGCTATATAAATAAACGTCGTTATTATTATTATTACATTATGACGGGCCGTATTTCCAAGCACCTCGTAGGAATAATGTGTCCACTTTGAAAGACAGCAGATACGGCACGCACATATATTTATAACCCCACTGCCTTTTGCTGCGCAGATGCAACCACGTACGCTCACTTCCTGTTCAACGCTTTCGACATGGACAGAAACGGTTCAATCCGCTTCGAGGACTTTGTCATCGGCCTGTCGGTGCTGCTCAGAGGTTCGGTCACCGAGAAGCTCAACTGGGCCTTTAACCTCTACGACATCAATAAGGACGGCTACGTCACCAAAGAGGTGCGTGAACAGCCCGGCATTTGTGACAGTGCCAAGCATATTACATTATACCTCCGGCCTCTTCCCTTTAGGAGATGCTGGCGATTATGACGTCGATCTACGACATGATGGGCAGGTACACCTACCCCTGTGTGCGAGACGAGGCGCCCTCCGAACACGTGGACAAGTTCTTCCAGGTTCCCAAAGCACACAAGCCCAAAACGCACGAGCACACTGTGGTGGAATGTAACTAAGTACATTTAATCAAGTGCTTAATTACAGTTTTGAGGTACATGAACTCTGCTTAAGTGTTCCTGTTTTATGATACTCAGTACTACTACATTTTGGTGGCAAATATTGCAATTTTACTTAAGTTTAAGTTATTAATGCAAAATGCAAACGGACATTCATCATGACGCGTTAATATGAGTTACCCAGCAATATACAGATTTATTCAAATTAACAAGCACATTTACCGGCCGCCAGATTAAAGCAATGAACACATTAGTTCATCACTTATTATGATCCAATAAAATTATAAATATGATTCTGAAATAGGCCATTCAGCATAATGATTACTTATTTTTGTACTAATAATGTAAGATTTTAATATTTCCTTTTTTTCTGTTCTATTTCTCATTTATTTCGACAGAAAATGGATAAAAACCGAGACGGTGTTGTGACCATTGAAGAGTTCATTGAGACTTGTCAGAAGGTGACTTTTTCACACCGTCCTACATACAAACAGACATCAGAAACTAAATGAAAGTTACTCATCAACACAAATACTTTACTACAGGTCAGGGCTAAAGATAAGGGCGTTTTACTGCCATGCGACATGTTTAGACATGTGACAAAGGGGACAAAGAACAGACATACTCCTGTCCTCTTTCCCTTTTTGTGTTAGATTATATACTTTTGATAAGATTATCCACATTTGCACACACTGTAAATGTCTTGAAAGAACATCCGATTTTCCCGGACTTCCATTTTCAGCCATTCTTAGAAATAAAGGCTTCAAAGATTTTCCATAAATAAATACAAAAATATAAATTAGAGAACATTTAGGTAAAAAATTGTATTTCCTCATTAGGATTTTTTAACAGTAAGATGCGTTATTTTACACATGCAGAATTGGGATTTTCTTAATTCCTACTATAAAATGAACCTAGACATCAAAAAAAATATTCAAAACATTCAATATTCAATTACATTTTGGGAAGTTAGAAACAGCCACAGTCAGGAAGATCCTTGAGTTTATGTGTCAGATGATCTGCCTCTTTACTCTTTAGTGGGCCATAAATCTACTGCAACTTTCCGGCTGTTCTAACCTGCCTCAATCAATCAGAACCAACGGAGTAAAAAAAGAATTCAGCTAATCTTGTAATCTCAAGTGTAAAGCAAGTATACGTTTTAATTATATGGATATAGAAAATCCAAAATATAACATCATTATTATTCATAGAAATATAAATATATGGATAGCGCTCAGCGAGGCGCTCAAGTGCTCAAAGTTATTTTAAAAAGTACTTCTTCAAATAAACAGGCAGATGAAATTTCTTTTTCTTTTTTTACTTTTCCTCTCATACATGATTCTACATAATTATGAAATGCTCTACAAGCCACCAGCAGCCAGAAAGGGCACGGCATAATACCCTCCTATGGTTTTGGACAACTAGTCACAATAGTTTGTTTTAAAAATGATGTCTAAAAGAGTAAAACAAACATACCTTAACTTTTGTTACTTTCTGATTTATGGTTACTAATATTTTTCTTCTTCTCATCTTTTCAAGGACGAAAACATCATGAACTCCATGCAGCTGTTTGAAAACGTGATCTGAGGAAGCCCCCGACGTTCACCACTCACACAAACGCGGCTCGGCCACCTCACCCGCACCCCAAACCCATCACGGCAGATCACGCAGGCGCCGGACAACGGAAGTAGACGTTTTGTTTTTCGTATTTGTCTCTGCGCTCCTTTAGCTGTGTTTTGCAACTGCTCCTGGACTAAAAAAAGAACTGCTACAGACGGACGGAAGGGAAGAGCTTCCCGGGTAAAAGAAAAATCACCGTCTTGTCCCGTGTGTTTTTTTTTTTTGTGTCCTCAAATGAAGAAACGGAAAAGCTTCTTGTGATTGTCACACAAAAAGAATCAACAACGGAGGAAGAAGCTTAGGATAATCCTCTGTCCTGAGCACACACGGGTATTAGCTTCAACACTAATACTCCAATTATCTTTCACTCACACACACACACACATTTGCAAACACACATATACACACACACACACACACACACACTCGCACACAGACCAGCCGGATGAAGTGAGCTAAGAGGATGAAAGGAAAAAGAGAAATTAATTTAAAGCATGTGACGTGGAATTAGCTTGCAGTACAGTTTTATGGCGCTGCCTGGAGTGAAGGCCCTGTAGATACCTGCACCGGATACGCCGCTGGTGTGTATGTATATATGTATAGTTAATAGTTACACATCCTACCTTGTATCGGTCTCATCTGTGCTGCACTGGGTGATGGGTCGGGATCAGAAGTCTCCGTTTAACACGGATTAATAACGTTATTCTCCCTTCTGTTTTTCTATTCTGGATGATCGTGTTCAGCCGGTCGGGAATGAAAAAGTGAGTCCGTACGGTACTGTGAAGAAAACCAGAGAACTGTTAAAAAGTGTGTTCCTGTGCTGAATTAAGGCTTTGTCCGGGTTCCTCGGTGTCTACGAGCATGCTGACTCTTAAGTGCCACAGTATCATGTACAGTACAGTAGCACCTTTGTGATGTCGGTTCAATTAAAGACGCTGTCGACAGCTGTGACGTCTCCTTGTCTATGCGTCCTCTCACTGCGTCCTGATCACCAGGCAGCAAACACGCTGAATTAACAGTTAAGTGACTGCAGGGATTTAACTCCTTCATTTGCCGTCCAGAATCTGCGTATCCATTTATTGGCTTCACACATTGATGTATTGCACTTTGTTTTGTAGAGCAACCAACAACAAAAAATAAGATTTTTTTTATGGGAGGACGGTAGTTGCTTTGAAGATTTATGATAGTTTATATTACAGCTGCCCCCTGTTAGTCAATAAAATGTTAACCTGATGATGGTGCTGTGAATGGAAAGCCAGAGACCCACGGATGGTTCATCTAGAGGGGAACATCCATCCATCCATCCGTCCGTCTGCAGACCGCTCATCCTGCACACAGGGCCAACACAGAGACATACAACCATTCACATTCACACACCTACGGGCAATTTAGAGTCCCCAATCAACCTGATTCCCAGAGCATGTCTTTGGACTGTGGGAGGAAGCCGGAGAACCCGGAGAGAACCCACGCAGACACGGGGAGAACATGCAGACTCCACACAGAAAGGCCACTGGGCGGAGTCGAACCAGGACCTTCTTGCTGTGAGGCGACGGTGCGAACCACCACGCCACGATATTCAATCGGAAATAAAAACAAAGTCTAAATCTCGTTATGGAAAAGTCAAGAGGATCAACAAAGTCAAGTCGGAATCATTTTTTAGGGAGAATGAATGTTACAGATATGAGCTTTTCAAAACATGTAACCCTACTCAGTATACTTACCTCGCAAACTGAGGGATGTGAGGACTGTTCCACCTCGTGATACTAAACGGAATGTTTTCAGGTTTTAAACTCTCAAGTTAAATTTGAACATTTGATTTCATCAGTTTTAATGATATTTTCTTAAATATCATGAAGCACATAATGATCGATTCCCACGGTAATCTTTAGCTGCAGTATTTCAGTATTTACCAACTGTGTGTGGATATTTGTTAGCAGGTTTAGAACCGTCTCTAAACACCGTCTGACTTCCTGTCTGGGGCTCTCATCTCCGATCCCATTGTTTCCTGGGTAATCTTTAAAAACTCAAATATATAGTCTCATCATGATTTCCCCAAACTGCAATTTTTATCAAACATACATGAGGAAATAGTGCATTTGTTGCGACTATCTTCAACTGCAGATGACTTCACATTTGTTGCGCTGCGTAACTAAGGGATGAATATAACACAATTTTCATTTATTTAACAAATCAACAAGCTTTCAGCGAGTCGGTAGTGGCATCGTTTGGACTCAGTCAGGTCTGGAGTTTCACCGTTTTTTTAGTCACAATGCTGAACTAAACTAAAAGGGTGCAGGCTGCACCATCTTATTTGGCAGGAAAGTGGTGACAGGCTGAACATCTGACGCACAGCAATTAAAGAAGAAATAATAAATCTTTCCTATTATATTACATGCCGTTTAGCTGACGCTCTTATCCAAAGCAACTTCCAATAAGTGCATTTCAACCATAAGAATACAGCCACAGAAGAACAAGGAACAAGAAAGTGCAATTTCATCAAATAAGCCAATTTTTACTTCCGTACAGATACATATGACTCTCTCTATGCCTGCAGGCCGGGGTATTAGCTGATAAATGCAACACACCCAACCCACAATCTATCTATCTGTTATACAGTTATTTAGGATTGGGGTGTGAAAAGAGTTCACAACCTCTACTAATGTCATCATTCTTTTTTTTTTTATTTGACTACACGGTTAACTCAGGCATTACAAGGCGTGTCATCGGTTTTCTGTTTTTAAAAAAAGTAATTAAACAGGTTACTTAAACCTAACTATGTTAAGTTCAAGTATACACAAATCTGTGTGATACATTATAACATTCTTTGTTGTCAAGTTACAATTTCAGTAGTCACTAGTTTCCAAGAGCAGGAATCATTTTATCGATTTACAATATCAAATAATATCAGCCAACTAAATTTGATCTGTAATTTTGTATAGAAGCAGGGATTTTCAAAAGTATTAAAATACAAATGTAACTTTATGTAAGATCATTCTCTGTTTGAGTTGTGGAGGTCTGATCCAGATATGGTATGTTAGTTATGGGTGCTAAGTTAACTACTGCAAATCTCATAAAGATCTATACCCTTTTTTGGTGAAAACAACAGTAACTCAAATACATGACTAAAAAAATCTATGTGCTGCCATTTGCTGCTGTAGACCTCTTATTCAACATTTGCCAACTGGGTTACGTCAGGACAACGAGCCCGAGCAAAGTGTGTGAATGTGGGCCAATAGATGACCATCGGATGGCGGTGTGGTAGAATCAGCCTGAGGACGAGAACAATTTAAATATTTTAAGTAGTGGTAAACATTGTGGTTGAGTAAGTTCGATGGCAAAAAAATACAATAATTGCAGCTTACGCAAGAAAGGTTATTAGCCCGTTATAGAAGATGGTAAAAGGGGGCGGTCACTCAGAATCGTTCATTGAATAAGGAGGGAAGGTTGCGTCACCACTAGGCCGCCTCTGATTGGCTGAGCCGCTGAATGACATGCAGAGAGGGGCGGGCGCTCAGCGTCACGGGGGGAAGTGGGCATGCGTGATAGCGAACGTCAACCCCGTTGCGTTACGAGAGGCGAAATCCCTCCATGCGCCGAGGACCTGCTTAAAAGCCCGTCGCTGCAACAGAAGGACCTCGTCTCGGAAGAACCGGGCTCAAAGACCGCTCGCTACTGTCACTCCTGCTCGGGTTACCTTCCGGCTACTAAGGCTGACCCCCCCCGCCGCCCTGCTCCACCGGTTTAACAACACCAACACCACGGGGACGAGCCGACGGACGGAACCGAGAAGGGAAGTGGGCTCCTCGTCTCTTTCATCAGGCAGGTGAGGACAAAACGTGCCATTTTACATCTGACGAGGGACTTGTGGGAAGTGCGTGGCGGGAGGCGGGGAGCGCGTGAACCGCGGCTGCAGGCGCGCCGGAGGGACGGAGGAGACCCGGGCACCGCGGGGCAACGCAGCTAGCGCCGCCGCGCCGCCTAGTGGGCCGGTGTGACCGCTCTGTCGCCTCACGCCGACGTGTGACCGTGAAACGCGAGGCCAAACTAGTCCCTCTTCAACGTGTCCTTCTTTAACACGAAAAAACAGCAGCGCTGGAACCCCCCTACGCAGTACACGAGGGCACTATGAGGCCACTTATCTTTATGACGATGCCCGAGGCCGGTCGCTAGTGTCACTAGATATAAGGGCTCTATTGTGTCTTTTAAGACATCAAATCCATCGCAGCACGGCTAAACACGCGTCCGTAATCTGCACCGCCTTGTGCCATTTGATTAAACGAGAACCCGTAAGAAACTACAAGTACCAGGAGGCGCTCGCTGGCACACCGGCGCGTGCTCTGCCCGTTAGCGTTTATTGGTTCTTGACGAGGCGGTTGCCGTGGAAACGTGGTTATTCCGGGCTTACGTCATAAGCAAATACAAGTCATCAAACGGGTAAGTTGGGTCTAAATGCATAGTGAGGTAACAGCCACTGAAGGATGATGGATCAAAGTATTGATATACTAAGCCGCGAAGATAAAACTGCAACAGCCGTATCGGTTTGTGGGTCATTGTGTGACAAAGCTTTTCTACATTTATTCAGGCTTGAGGCGCAACTTCTCCTGCTCCCAAAGTTCATGAGGAGGAAAAAGCGGTCAAAACTACGTTCTTCTGAGTATAAAGAACAACTTCTTGTGATAACGATACTCGTCATAGTTCATCAAGGCGTGATGGGCCTGAGTGAGGCCACAATAAGCCTGTTCTTTAAGATATAAACTAGCCCTGTCCTTTTATTTATTTGTAAAACAATTTCTTGTTTTTCTTTCCTTGTGAACATTCATTTCCCCTCAAAAAACTGATGATTAAGAATTCCTTTGGAGGACAGCCCTTGTTACAGATTTTATATTAGACGGGTAACTTCACACTTCTTTTGGAGATTCAGCGCGTTTGTAGTCTTTTCGTCAACTCGCTGCTCTGTTTTCTAGAGTTGCCGTAGAGTCCGTCCTCTATCTAGTGTGTCTAGTTTGTTTTTGAGACCTTGGGGATCAAGCTCACAGAGTGCTGTCTCAATTAATCACAAACTTAAAAAAATAAGATTCAAGTGAAATATGTTGAGAAACAAATGCAGACCTCTACACGGCACAGTCACCATGACAGCACAGAAGAGCCCCGTCGTGAGCTGTTTGCATGACCGTGTTCTCCAGTAATGAAGCTTAAAGGTTGAAGAAGCTTGTGACTGGAAAGCTGCCAGTTTGACTCCAGTTGGTTAATCGCATTGATTTGCGTGCTAATGTAAAGTGAACTGAAAAGGCAAACCGGGATCGCGATATTGCCAATCAAAAAAATTTGTAGCACATAATTTAGACAAACTTTTAAAATTTATGTTTTGTTTTTTTTGTTTGTTTTTTAATATCACAATATGAAGGAGATGGTTCATCAAAATTGCTTCATTTCCCATGTCTCATTGAACATTCCACCCAAAATAAACAGTTTGTCAAGCAGTTCCTCTGTAAACACATACTGTGCATCTTGGGCCGCTAGTAACCGCCGAGAACAGTGGATGTTTTGAAAAGTTTAAATTGTTGTCCAATACAAACAATTTAAGGGAATTCAACTTTTTAGAAAGGATTCATGACATAACTGTTTTTTAAAAAATACCACAAAACTGCTTCGGCTTCACAGGATAATGTCGTAATCGTGCAAGCCTTATTTAGTTTATTTTTCAATAAGGCTTTTGAGAACCTGTGAAGTGCTATTGGTCCCTGCGCAATCTAAGTACCCAACACTGTTTTTGCATCTGACTCACAAGTGGTAAATTCAATCTCTCCTCGTGGGATGCTGGTGTGTGAGCGCCAGGACAACGTCCGTGCCGGTCACTCTCGACCGGTGGTTTGTTTTTAATACTCGGTTGATGAGCAGTATCCAAAAGGAATATTGGTGCTCAACATTGACAATGTAAAGTACTATGGAGGAGTTGTTTGAACCCTAGATTTAAATAAGCGGGAACTTTATTTTTCCTGAGGCAGATTGATTTGTTGCAGGCTTTGTATTCTACTGCTGAGTCACTCTGTTAGCCAAGCAAAGACACGAATATGTTCTATTGGTTGTGTCATTTCCAGTAGCTCGAAGTACTGCTGCTGCAAAGTAAGCAAACTAAATTGGCACAATGTGAATGACCCATATGTTGGAGGACCGATAGGAAATGTGGAATTTCGGAGGGAACCACCGATGTGCAGTTGTGATGCAAAGCGCTGTAGTAGCACATTTGCTGTAATATACCGGCTTCCTACTTATACTGTACCCACCTTTTTTACGTTGCCGTACACGAACAACAGAGTCTTATTCGTGCACGAGTGGTAAAGACTGACTCAAAGAGCCACCAGGTACGTTCAGGTAAAGCACGTACCCCCCCCCCCCCCCCCTCCATTTTTGTGCCCGCAAGCCGGCGGCAACAAGAAGCCCCTCTGAGGGGGGCACGTATAATATGCAGGGTTCTGTATCAGGGCTACTGCTCCCAGATCCTGAGCCCCGTTTGTCTCTCTTTGTGCATGCAGGCATCTGTTTACAGGCTGAACATTCCACATTAACTGCTACATTGCATTCATACAATAGGAATACTTTTACCTGTCATGGCTGGTTACCTCTTGACTCCTCAGCAACTGTTCCTGTGTCCTTATATCAAAAGCAGGTTTTCAAACTCAACAACCCCTTAGTCAGTGTGACTCTCAGTAAATGGACTCTGCAAGTATCCGGGTCGTGATTGAGGGGATCTGGGGCACAGAAGTGGGTTCTTGGCAGCGTTGACACCGATGACACCGTCATGGTGCGTCATGCCCGGCCTGTGAAGAGGGTTAAATGATTACGTTAGCAGCAGAATCCGCGTCTTCTTTTACCATCCTCTCTTCCACGTGGATAAAGTTGAGTAGCTTTAACGGAACGCTACTAAATGAAACAAGATGGTAAAAAGTAGCTGAAGAAAGTTTATTAGCATTCATGTGCTGAATCTGCTCACATCACAAGGACCAATAAACTGTATCCAGTGAATGTTACAGTAACTCAATCAGCCACCCAGTTCAATGCTTAATTTTATAATTAAGATGAATGAATTCATCTTCATCCGAATGATTTGTTTTTTCATTACATTTTGCAACATTCTCTATATGAAAAAATCAGATTAGCCGCTACAAAGATGTTGAGCCTCACTCGCAGCGATGGACCATTCAACGTCGCAGCTCTTCCCCGGAGACAACTGGTGCGGTAATGATGATGCTGTGACCGAGCACGTGGACCGCGTGGTGGAAGCAGGCTAAAGAGCATGTCTAATTGATTGGATAGTCCGCTGGGTTTTTCCTGCGGTCAGTGGCTCATTTGAGGTCAATGGTGCAAACCCCACAGTCTGTCTATTGCGTCGGTGCGTCTATTGTATTCATATCATGGAGAGCATCTTGGATTTTGACAATCCTAAATTGGCATCAGTGTTGTCTTTTCTATTTCCCTTAAAAGAAAATGTAGTATCAAAGTATTGATGTAGTAAAAGTTGTTTATCTTCAGCCAAATCTCCAAATTGTCTAATTTTCGTTTTTATTGCATTGTTTATTCAACTATAACTTTATACTTTTAAGTTTAAGAAAAGAAGTCGTAATTTGACAAGTCTATTTTGTAAAATGATACCAGAGGTTTTAAGGTCCTCCAGTGAGTTTATTAGTTTATACAATAATAAATGATTAATCGCTTAGGGTTGGATCAGAGTAATCATTGCGGTTTTCCTTTCCTAGTGTTTCACACAAAATGAAACCCAAATAGTTTTTAATCTCAAAATATCTTAACCACCACTCAGTTTCCAACAGTTTAGTGAAAATGTTCAAAAGATATCTGGGAAACGATGGTAAAAAGGGACGAGCCCCTGCAATATAAACGTACGTCAGATTTGAGATGATTCTGTATTTTTGCCACAAAAAGCATTTACTACAAAATACAATATTTGATCAACTCCCAGTAAACTTGTATTGTGTGAATTGCTAATCTACAAAGAACATAATCTTAAACTATTGATGGACCCTTTCAGTTTCTATGTTTTGTCTTGATGTTGATTTGGGGTCCTGGTGCTGACGTGCATCCATCCCTCTGGTATCAGGTCTGGGTGTGAGGAGCCTCACCCAGTAATGTGCTCTCCCTCCTTATCTCTGTGAGCCTTGCTTGGTTTTAATTTTTTTATTATTTTCATTTTATTAGCAACACGTTGTACTTGCAGCTTAATGATGTACATGATACTTTTGGCATGAAGTAAAGTTGCGGATCGCTGCTGCATGCAAGAAGTAACCGGCCCCCTACAGTACCGCAGTCTGTTGAACATTGCTAAATTGCCCAACTACACCCTGGCAGGATCTGCTCAACCATCTCGGGCTTTTAGCTGATCATTTACCAACCAAAATGAGGCTGAATAAAGGTGATTTGTCTCCACAGTTACAGTACAAGTAAATAAATCCGTCCGCCCCCGCTGGGAGCAGCCGCAGGAGTCGGGGATTTCATCATCTTGGAGAAACAAAAGATACCCTCTAGTCTTAAATACCACCATTGGACCTTCTTATGGGAAAACATGTCTGAGGCGGTGGGTGGGCTTCACCAAATGTGTACAATTACATGACGTGGCTTTTTCTTTGTCTGAAATGTGGGAAACGTCTTCCTTTTTTCCATCTAGCCGCCTCCACCCATGAATGCGCTGCAGACAGCAAGCTGTGTAGGTGTGATGGGGGGGCGGGAAATGCATTTAGAAGCTCAACCTGTGTATGTGCAATGTGTTTGCACAGCACAGCACAGCATGGGGGGGGGGGGGGGCGCACCCGCTGTTGAACTGGTGAGTACCAGAGAAAGCAGGACGCCTCCATGAGAAGGCAAATTCTGAAAGATGAAAAGACAACAGCGCAGGTGGACGCATTGTCTTGTACTGGAATGGACTGTATGCATCACATTTCTTTTATTAAACGTCTGGTTGTGTTTTAAGATTATAAAGGCATCACAAGTGGGAGAAAATGTGAACCTGTACAACCCTTTTACCCATAATCCTCTGTTCTATCAAGAAGTTCGCTCCAATGGGGATGAATGAAAGAACTGACTTGATTCAACTCCTTCCAAAAAATAATTCAATAAGTAAATACTACAGCGGCGACAGTGAATATGAAGCGGAGCAGCTGCACTGTAACCAGACTATACGGAAACATTCCTGTCGCACGGCTTGCCCCAACCAGCAAACCGCTGCGATGACACGTAAACCAGTTATAAAAGCAGGACCGCTCACATTCGCTTTTTTATCTTCTTTTTTTTTTTTTTTTTTTTTGGTCCACCGGTGGCATGACTCTGCATGTCCAGCTAAAACCTAGCATTTTAAATCAAAGGACCAGAGCAGTAATTAAGGCTTAGAGATTCATTAGAATCATTGAAATAATTAGAATTATTCAATTGGATAGTTGCATGAGAAGTAAACAACTTAAACTAGGCTCTGACCTTTTTGAAAAGCGAGACTCTGGGAGCACGGCCACCTCTTTTACACACATTTTATATCACCGTATTTGAAGCGAAGGAACATGCAAACATCCTTTTTTGTTGTTGTTGTTGTTGTTATGAATTCAATATGAAGATGTCGCCTCTGGGTTACGGGAAGTATCAACGGTCTAAGAATAGACTAAAGAATTTAAAAATAATCCTTGTTTGGAGCAGTGGGGAAAACATTGTTTTACAACACACATTTATTCCCTCAACAACCACACAAGAGCAGTTGAATCCCTCTGATCATCAGTGAAACCCACTGGGAGGAACCAGCCCCCCCCCCTCCCCCCCTAATCCAAAAAAAAGGCATAAATGTTCGTTGGGCTCGCCCCCGGGCTGCTCTATGTGGTTCGCCCCTTAGCGCGATGTGGGGGGGGAGTGTCAAAAAAACCACTGGAGAAAAGGTGCAAACCCCCCCCGAGAAGGGTGCAACAAGGCTCCCTCGTCGTGCTGTTAGTTAGGGGGGCTAGATATCATGGAAAAAGAAACGTTAAGGTCGTCTTCAAAATCCTTTTCTCATCCGTCCCTGAAGCTTCACCACGTAACGCACGACATGTTGGCCCAACGGCTGATCTTTGTCGGGACAAACCGAATAACACCAAATGATACCCTTTAAAGTTCATTGTATTCAAAGTAACGATGACCAAGCGTTTGCGGGCTCGCGTGACTCTGTTGTGAACAGCACACCTGATCCGGTGTGTTGACCTCATGTGGTCTCATTTCATGTGGGGGGATTTGTCAGTAACTGATGAACCGTTTCAGGCGTGTGTGCTGTGACTCTTCAAGATGGTGGCGGCTCTATGCATTTATTAATTAAAGCTCAAACGATTAGTCGATTTTACTGATGGAATGTGTACCTGCAATTTATTCTTGCAATGAAGAAATCGTTTTATGTAAAACAGACAATTTTTGACTACTTCCTGCTCTTAAGGGGTCATATTTGTCTCCGTTTCTATATTTTTAATCGGCAATATAACCACATTAATCAATGAAAGTACCGTTATTGGTTGCTCTTAGGGTGCATTTTGATATTGTAAATTAAACCGTGGGACAGATCTATGATCTATGGCCTGGACTTATTGCCGACAGGGGTTCGGGTTGTCTGTATTGACGCCGGGTATGAACTCCTTACTACTCCTACACGCAACCGACCGGGGCTCATTAAAGCCTGGTCCAGAATTTGGGGCTGCAGACCACCATGTGGAGTTGATGCGCATGTAGAACAGCGGCCCAAGAGATGAACCCGCCAACTCTTCATCCTCCACACAATGCGACACAAGCCAGCACAGATCCGTGGATCAGGTTACCATGGTTATAGCTCTAGACGGTGACTGTTCACCAAACTGCTTATTTTGGGATGAGTCAAATTACCACTACAGGTGTCTCTGTTCCTCCTCGTGCTGTTTTTTTTTTTTTTTTTATATTCACAGTGTTTGACAGTCACAGCCGGTTTCCATCTGCAACCCCAGATTTTCTCTATTACATCATCAGTTTCAGTTCTCTTTGTGTGTTCAGTCGATGCAAATAGAACGGGAACACCGGGAATAGTCAACCAGGGTGTTTCTGCCTCTCGGTCGTGCCGCGGTGGCTTCTGGTGTGAAGCCTCATCAGCGCATGCGCATGCCTCATCAGACCCAAACGTTTCCCACAGGCTGCTGGGACTGAAATGTGTGACTTTCTGTCCCACTCGGCAGCTCGCCGCCGCCTCACCGTGCCGTCAGAGGGCCAATCACGGGCCTCATGGGTCGTGTGAAGTAAAAGTAACTGATCAGTTTGTACTATGATGGCTGTTTGGAACGGACAAGTTGGTTAATGACTTTGCCATTTCTCAAGTTTCATTTTAACTGTAAGGTATATGGAAAATGACGCAAGATAGAAACCATCAGTTTACTGTGAAATGTGATTTGCAAATTATTTTAAAAGTTGTATTTTCACTTTGTTCTACCTTCCGGTATTTTATTGTTTGATCATTTAAATCAATTCCAGGTTCTCTTACCTGCGAGCTGCAGCTCAGCTGTTTTTGAATATTACAAAAAAAATGTCTTTGTGTAAAAATGGCGATGGTCCTAACACACACTATCACGTGAACGAGCCTTATGTGAAGTAACGGCTTATTTCTTGTATAGCGGCATGCCAATGGTGACTGGGTGTGGTATTCAGAAATAATACTGGAATACCCATCTGTCAGCCAGCGTTTCCTACTTCAGGTTTCACACACACGCAGTATTCCACAGTCTGTAGGAGGGACACCTGATTGCAACATTGTTCACTCTAACTGCCTCCCTTAGGTCATATTTAATGATCCCAAAACAAGGTGTTACACAATAACCCTTTTGCTTGTGATTAAAATGCTGTCTGTCAAATTAACTTATGTTTCACCTCCCTCCTCCTCCTTATCCTTGAACCCTCTGTCTCTCCTCTACGCCTCCTTTGCTTTCTCCTCTTTTACCCCCCCCCCCCTCTCCCTCTTGCCCCTTCCACACAGATGCTCCCAGCCGCCCAGCTTGACAGGAGTGATGGGATGTGTCAACTAGGTATTGCACCTATCCCAACATTTTACACTGCAAGCAGGGAGACTGGCTGGGTGGGAACGGCTTCTTTGGGACACAACACTGGAGTAACTTGTGGAAAGGGAGCCGGTGGGTCTGTGTCTGCTGAGAGTCGGGGGGCTACTTTATGGTTCATAGCTCCCAAAGTCAGCGGACGTGGACTGCAGCTAGTTAAAGGTTGCAACCTTTTTTTAAATCCTACATCACGTCTTTTATAAAAAATATATATTTTACATCAGAGAATAAAAAGCAAAGTAAGTCACCCTCTTAGACACACAAATGGGGAGCCGGGAAACAAGGAAGGAAAGTCTAATAAACAAGTGCGTTGTTTGTTGTGAAAGAAGAGCAATGTTTTTTTTCCTTAAAGTACTGGTTTGGTAACTTGCTTTCAAAGTCCTGAGTAAAAGGAGCATTTAAATAATGGAACATCTTTGTGTGGGAGGAAGGAACGGGATATTTTGTTCTCCCGTCTTGCAGACTTTCATGTCCTGTAGGTGAATTTGAAGAACTCTTATGATGGACACCTTCAGTGGAACCGTGTGATATCGCTCAGTATCCTCGTGGGATGCCCTTTAATTTAACACTAGTTACAAACTGGCTGATGCAACAGCTGCTGTAACGAGACTCGGCGGAAGGTGAAAAGGGTCGAGCGCCGTCATCTTAAATGTCCAAACATTTTGTCTGTTCCGCTTTGTCATGTGATTTAACCCGAGGTATCGCTTTATTGTTCTTGTCCAGGTCTAGTTTCCTGTGCGGCTGAACATTTACTCTTTTCACATATTCTACTCCAAACTGGGGTTTCTAAACAGTTGGTTGGTTAGGTAGTTAACCTTTTATCTAATCAGAAAGTAGAGACTCAAGGTCATAATACATCTTCACAAAGCAACCGATCATTGCCCCTCACACACACGGTGATGACTAGCCAATAATATTGTTATAGATAAAATGAGGACAGGAAGCCCCTCAGAGGAATGACTTCCCGAAGGTTTTCTGCAGTTTAGTCCTTTTGAAAACCTTTTTTATCGTAAAGTCCTCCGATAGTAGATTCCACGTCTACATGTACAAAGGGAAATACACAACTCAAGGATTGTTTTACACAAACGAGGGTTAATGTGGCTTCAGACCACTCGATGATAACCTGCCCTCGCTGCCTCCCGCTCTTCCTCCTCCTCCCCCGTCGCTCTGTGGCTCCTCTCCATCAAACCCGTGTTCATGTTTCACTCCTTCCTCTCCTGCACTCTCTCTCACCCCTCTGTGTCTTTCCCTCTTTGTGTGGCATCCTGGATTAACTCAATGTAGAAATGGTTCTTTCAAAGGTGCACGGCTGCAATCAACCAATGATTCATCAGCACTATTATTTTAATGCTTCTTCTGTAAATTAAGTCTATTAAATGTCAGAATACTTTACAATTACTGTTAATTACAAATTACCTTTTTTGACTAAGACATTGAGGTTACGATCACAAAGCCGATGCGATAAGATCTTGACAAGTTGGGATGCTGCAACCCGTGACGTTAGAAATTGAGATATCAATCTCTCCGTTTATCTGTCTCTCTTTCAGTCCCGGATGATGTAATCGGAGGGACGGATTCGTCTACAGCGCTCACACCAGAAAGAGACCGAGTCGGGACAGACGAGGACAACCTCCAAGAAGCAAGGATGGGCGTGGGAAAGAATACCAACACCAAGTCCACGGACAGTAGCAGCGAGGCAGGGAAATTGGAAGAGGAGGGCAAGCATGACGCCGATTTCTACCCCATACCGGTACGCACTTCACACAAGTTACAAAGCACGGAGAACAAAGACGTCACGGACAAGGTTGTGTGCGCAGAACCAAAAGACCTCCGTCCAATTCCCGCTTCCTTTCTTATGGGTCAGATGTAGCATCATGTTTTTGTTGTAGTGTACAGGGGGAGCAGAGGACCAGAGTACACACACTGTTCTTCAGTGCGGTCTACTGCTCCCTGGTGTAAAGGGACCCCTCTGCTTACACAGCACCTCAAATTTAAATTCAAATTGTCATCACTGTAATAGATATGATGATAATAAGCATTACATAAAATATGTTATACGCGTCAGGAAGATGAATTTCTGTGTTCCACAAGGATTGTTAATTTCAACAATTCCTTTGACATATGACATACGAATAAGAGCACACTCAAGGTGTGTCTTGTCTCTGAGGTTTCTCCCAGGAAGACGTAACCGTGTAAAACAGCTACCCTGTAATTAGACAACTGACAGATGGACGAGCGCTTTCTGCGTGTGTGTGCACACAACTCTTTTGTTTGTAAAGAGGCGAGTTTGCATCTGTTAGGAAACGCGTGTCCACATGCAGGTCGGCAAGTCGGTTCACACAATTTTTTTTGTTTTATAAGCTGTTAGTCAGACTTGATGTTTCTGATCTTTCCCACGACGGAGCACGCAGACAGTTATACAACTTCCAACCCTCTCCCTCCTCCCGTGTCTTCTTTTTGGTTTTGCAAGTGTCATCGTCATCGTCATCAGACACCGGTTCTTGCCAGCAAACTGTAATTAAGAGGAACCGTGTTTATCGCCTTAGGCAAGGACAAAAGGGTGGTATTGAAGATGCTTGCTTAATGCGATCTTAACTAGTCGGCCCGTGTGCGTAGGTGGTGGTGAACGGCGTGGGCGGGGCCAGTGGAGACCAAGACACAGAGAACACGGAGCTGATGGCCGTCTACAGTAAAGAGAATCAAGGAGAAGAAAAGGTGAGCTGGAGAAATGGAACTGAAACACAAACCCGGTGTTCAATACGGGATCCAAAGTGCAAGTTCACTCCCAAATGAGCCTCAACCCAAGCAGGCGGACACACACACACACACACCCTTGCGCAGGGTTCTTTTCAACAGTTTCAGTCTTTTCGTTTTCCTTCCTCTCTTTTGCACAGCACTTTACGATGTGTAATCCTTCAGATTCCATCCCTGGTGAGTTTGTAACCCCTTGGCACCACGGTAACTAGTGTGGTTTGACACTTGCGCAAACGTCTGTCGAAAGTACAAGTCAGTTGTTTTCCCAGCGGACGGCAGCGCTCTGTGCACCACCCTGCGTCCATCAGCTCTCCCTGGCCGTTCCTCCGGTTTGCACGTGCTCTTTTCCATGAAGGATTGTGATCACGCCAGCACATTGCGTTTCCCCTGTCTGTTTAGCAATGAACGACACTTAGTTGTCGTAAACTAAATAAAAGTGACATAACTATGATTATGAGAGCAGAGTGAACAGTGAGGCTGATAGTTCGATCCGGGTAACGATGTGTCCCACTGAATACAGACGGGTAAGCAAAAGGTCAGACAAATTGTGTCCTTTTCTTTTTAAGGAAAAAATATTTTAAAAATGGGGTTTGATTCCATGATAATCTAAAGCACGTATGTTGAACTCGTGGACCAAATCCGGCCCACGAGTTGGACAATGACTTGTCTATTGTGAGAATTATAGAACGCTCCTCACTCATGCGCGGTCGCTTCTGCTTCTTTTATATCTGTTCGCCCTCCCTCGCCGGTCCATATGATTTTAATGGTCTGGCCCGAACCTGAAATGAGTTTGACACCCCTGATCTAAAGGATTGTTACTTTTAGTTTGTTCATTTCTATCGTTGTATTGAATACAAAGCCAGGTTAACCCTAACCGCCATGATGCAAACATCTTTTTCCTATTTAAAAAGTACATATCCTTATATTATTGAATTTCTTGACAGTATTTATTAAGATTTACAGTTAAAATAGACTTTGAAGACTTGGTTAGCTTTGTTTCAACTTCGGCATTTAAGCACAAAAAAGTTCTGACTCACCAAACTGTCCATGTTATCTTCTCTTGTTGTGACTGTATTTTCCTTTTGCTGATAGATTGAAGTCATGTGTTTTTTGTTTTCTTTCACCCAGTCTCTTGACCTCTGTTACCCCCCCCCACGTCACTTTCCTTTCCACTCATAAAGTAACGTCCGCTGTTCTCACATCCACATTGACCAGCTTCAATGTGATCCTGCAGTTTAGTTCCTTTACGTTCTCATCAATGCACACAGACTAAAGTATGCTGAATGAATCATGACTCTAAGCTCTGTTTTTAATGTGTGTGTGTGTGTGTGTGTGTGTGTGTGTGTAGAGCTCAATGTGTGAGACGTTTGACAGCACCGACAGCTCGGACGCCAGGAGGATGGACATGATCTATACCATTGAAGACACCCCACCCTGGTACCTGTGTGTGTTCCTGGGCTTACAGGTAAATCCCACGCAGAACACCCTAAACCTTCATGAACAGATACGTGTGTGCCTGACTATCGGATGTGTGTGAGCTGAAAAACAAGCACTCCCTTGTGCATCATCATGCTGGGTCATAGTCTTTGCTGTGGTCAAACTCATCATCCCAGTAACGTGACAAATGGCGGCGTGCGGTCGCTCTGCACACAACCTAAAAATGTCAGTCCAGCTCTGCTTCCTTTCTTATGGCATCATGTTTCGGTTGTAGTGTACAGGGTGAGCACGCACGCACACACACTGTATACTTCAAAGCCAGTTGGTGCATGCTGCCACCGCTCGGTCAGTCAGACCCTTTGTTAGTCTTCCTGGCACAAGGCGAGAACGAGCTGATCTAAATTCAGTGTAAAATTCAGCAGCTGAAGAGCAGGATATTTTTTTTGCTGCGGGCTTCCTTTAGAAACCGATACGATTTCCAGTCAAACAAGGAAATACAATGCAAGCCCAAAGTGATTCGTTTTCTTCATGTGTCTGTATAACCCCCACAGTATTTGTCACGCAGCTGGCGGCTATTCACACAAACCGGATTTTGCTCACAGTGGTTCAGTTGGTTTAAGATAGTTGGTAACTGTCCTACAAATGACGTAGCCGCGTACGCTCAAACTGTCAACATCCACGGACTGAAACACTGCCTCCTTTCATCTTGCCTAACGGGATTTTTGACAAAGCCTGAAGAAATACAAAGTTCTCACATGACTGCTTTCATGTGTTGTCACTCACTTCTTAAAATATTGCACCGCGTCGAGTCATCAGCTCAGAAAAGAACCGAAAGTTCTCTTTACAGCCACAGAAATATGACGCTGTGTATGTCAGCTGATTTCAGTCATGTTGGATGTGATATTTGTGGGATCATGGTGCACCTGCAGGATGGAGTTTGAGGTTGTGTTTTTACAGGCTGCGTATACTTAGAACGCATCAATTCAGTAAATTTTTAACTTTACATTATTGCTCATGCAACTGGATCTGGGCTCAGTTGCTTTTGTTTTAAGCAGATTTTAAGCATCTTTTAAAAAAATGTTTTTATTTTATTATTTACATATCACCAAACTCATTACCGGACCAGATGTGAGCTTACACTCATGTCACTATATTTGAGCTATATATTTAGTTAAATATTCAAATGATGAACATCCTAATAGCTCAAGCAACTATGGTGTTAAGTAAGAACGGTCAAACCATAGAGACACACACACACACACACACACACACACACTGACTCTGTGGCCTCTTGCCTCCGCAGCACTACTTGACGTGTTTCAGTGGAACGATCGCCGTGCCGTTCCTCCTCGCCGAGGCCATGTGCGTCGGCTTCGATCAGTGGGCCACCAGTCAGCTGATTGGGACCATATTCTTCTGCGTGGGGATCACCACCTTGCTCCAGACCACACTGGGCTGCAGGTACGCTGACAAAGCGCTCGTAGTCTGTCCATGCACACTACGCCGCTGCTGTACGTTGTTATTCTGTCTTTCACTACCTCACCTCTTCCCTTTTTGTGCGTGCGTGCGTGCGCGCGCATCAGCCTACACACACAGAATGTGTCTTAGAATGTGATGACTTAACATTTCAACTTCTTTGTTTCGTTCATGTGACTGAGTTTTCAAAGTAAAAGTTTTTCTTTGAGTAGAGCATGAACTTCCCAAAAAATGTATTTTATTTGACGACCGATTAAAAAACGCAGGAACCTGGAGACCTGTAGCAGGGGACAATCGACCAACAGGGAGACCAAACGTGTTGCGTTAAAGCCAGACACAGGGACACTCGCTCGATGTCCTCGACTGGTGCCTTGTTATTTTTTTCTGCCTTTATTTCCTACCCTGGGCTCAGAGAAACTGTTTGTGGTTAATAAAAACGTCAGATATTATTGGAGGTACCTGTGTACCTGAGTTACCTGAGGTAACTCAGTCCTTTGTCTAGATTATTATATTTAGTAGTTTTAGGATCCTCAACCAAATTTTACTGTGAAAAATGTTGTTTGCCTTCAGGCTTTGTTCAGGCACTTCCTCAGTGTCCAAAAACAGAAAGAATGGATGACCGGAAACTCTGCTTCCGGCTCCATGTCATTGGACCCCACAGGGTCAAGTGCGTCATGCAGAACATTTTCCATACAGACGGGCTTTACTTAGCCAGGATATTCATATATAGATATTTGTTCTTAAGGTATTACAGTTCTGGTCAACAACAAATAAATCTTCCATCTTCAGTGTTATCTGCAGCCTTCTCCTGCTCCACCACGGGCGCCGGACATTAAAGGGGTATTGCGTAAAAGGCTTGCAAGAGACCAGTTCCAAAAACCATTTGTCAATATTGACCAAAAGAGGCCAAGATAAAATGTATTTTTAGTCCCTGACTCTAGCTTCTAAAAATGCAGGATCTTGCACTTGCCATAATGTAACACTACAGTAGCAGGCTCCACACATTGTCCTCGTCGCAGCACCAACAGGGAAGCTTGTTGGTCAGGATGCGTTCTGTCCCTCCTCCTCCTCCTCCTCCTCCTCAGCCGCTCGCTTCTGACGCGACCGGAGACTCCGCAGGTCTGCGTTCGGGTTCAAGCTAAAAGCTAATGTAGTTTTGGCGTTTTAACGTGTGTTCATTCAAGTCAGAAATTTAGTGGGGACGGTGGAAAGAGGATTGGTTATTTATGCTGCCAAGTGATTGAAAATAATTGATCCTACAGGGAAGGTGCAGTGTGCTTCTGAGGAGCTGCTACCCCGCAGATGTTTTTTGTAATTTGAGATCATCCGTGTAGATTTTCTTTCATGAGTCTTTTACAGCATTCTTTATGACATGGATGATATTCATGCCATGTCTATATATATTATTTCTGTAAACTCCTGGAAGACCAAAGGGAGACGTCCCTCATGGGTCCTCCTTAGGGTTTGTTGCTCAGTACAGGGAATTAAACCACTTATCTTAATGTCCCATGGTTAAACGTTTCTGTTGATCTTAAACACGCCATGTAGCTGTAGGACTATTAGAACGGCGCGTTAGTTGCACAACTGTTTTTAGATAAACAAAGTGCCAGTCCAGATTTGATCTTTGTCATGTGGTCCTTCTTTTGGCCAGCGATGAAGTGAGTATCTGCAGTGTGCAGGTGCTGCTTTGGTTAGAAATGTTCACTTCCTCTTTTCAACGAAAAGAAAACTGCTCCATTTAATTATCGGTTCATTCTTAACCTTTTGTTCTGTTCTTTGCATTTCCACTGATATCGTGTCAAAGTCGTTTATGTATTCTATTTTTAACACTGATACGGTTATTAAAGATGTTTAAAGGTCAGTAATCATCATTGTCTAAATAAAAGATCTATGGCATTGATAAGTGAACTTCGACCCCATCATGTGTTTGACCTGGATTACCCCTGAACACAACAGGGGGGATTCTCACACAGTGAACAATATTCAAATAAGCAGAAACGGCTTTAAATCTGGGATTCCAAAATGCTTTTCCGTGGTGGCTGTGCACAGAACATCCCCTTGCTTTCCACACAATTTGGTCTGAGATTAATACTTTATTTTGAAATGACTGTGTGTTTTAGGTTGCCCTTGTTCCAGGCCAGCGCCTTCGCCTTCCTCGCTCCAGCCAGAGCCATCCTGTCCCTGGACAAGTGGAAGTGCAATAACACAGGTACACTCCGCTCTCCACTCATTCACAGCTCTCCTATCTGATCTCCTGTGCAGGGCTGTTGTATCTTTACTGTGATTTAATCTCCAAAGGCTGTCAGCAGCAAAGGCTGCGAAGCCAGGATTTGTGTGCCTGTTTCAGATAGTGCCCCATTTTAAGTTGTCGCATTCTCTCCATCCTTTGTTTTTCCGTTGGCAGAGGTTCCACTATTCAACAGCACGCAGCTGCTTAACACCGAGCACATCTGGCACCCCCGGATACGAGAGGTAAGGAAAAGCAGGACAAATAAAATACCAGAACGCTAGATAGTAAACGCCTTATTGTGGGAAGGCAGGTTGTTTGAATAAATATTTGCGTAAGATATTGCACAACACTAGTAGGATTATTGATGTTACTTAAGCTAGAGGTTCTTTTTTTCTTTCTTTTCTCATAGCGGCTGAAAGGCAACGCTGTCTGTAAATGGCTGCAGGGTTCGGTTTTCCGTGACACAAGCTGTTCATTTGTATTAACCTTTTCAGTTTGCGCAAGCCAGTTGTGTAATTGTTTTTTATGTAACGCACAAATGAGACCAGACCGAATTAAATTGTTGAACGGGACATCAAGGGGCCGAGGGGCGTGAGAACACGCACCTGACCAGACGACACCGAATCAGACAGATTTCATTTTTTATGATCAATCACTCGAGCAGGACTTTGATTTAGAGCCTGTGTATTTTTACAGTTACTGTAACACACTTAGCTGATTATGGATTAAATTAGCACTGATGCTTCTACTTGGCCCGCATAAATAAACAACACCATCAGTGAAAGGACTGACTATTTCTATGCAGTTACTCTCAAATGTAAAGCGCAGCAGGACCTTGCTGCAGTAAAACGATTCTAAAAGAATGAAAAATAAGAATTCTGTTGTCTCCGTTCTGTCAGATCCAAGGGGCCATCATCGTGTCGTCCCTGGTCGAAGTGTGCATCGGAGCGCTGGGTCTGCCCGGCCTCCTGCTGAAGTACATCGGACCCCTGACCATCACCCCCACCGTGACGCTTATCGGCCTGTCTGGTTTCCAGGCGGCGGGAGAGAGGGCAGGAAAACACTGGGGCATCGCTATGCTGTAAGCTCAGCTCTCACGCAAAGAAATGCAAATTCATGTGCCCACTAAAGCATATTTCCCTACCTGGCTTGTGGGTCACGGAACTTCACAGAGCATATTCCCCGCAGAATTCCCCCAGAAAGGAAGAGGTTTTGAAGGCGTAATGATAAACCTGCATGTTTGTGACTATTGGATACAGATCCCCTCTAAAGCTGTGGTGTGATCCGTAGTTCCTGCTGTGTCACGGCTGTTAACACCATGTCTGGAGGCTTCCTCCTCTCGCTCCAAAAGGGACAGAGGATATTTGCCTGTAATTTGCCACTGATTTGTTTTTCCTTCGATTGGCTTGATGGCCCCTGAGGTCCAAGCCAGAAGTCCGACATGGGCGGCAGTAATTCTGTACAGGATTTGTTCTCTAACACGAGTAAAGAAAATCCACCAAACTGAGGGAGATTGTTTCTGTCTGCAGGACCATCTTCTTGGTGCTGCTCTTCTCTCAGTACGCCAGAAACATTCAATTCCCGCTGCCGGTTTACAAAGCCAAGAAAGGCTGGACCTTCTACAGGCTGCAGGTCTTCAAAATGTTCCCTGTAAGTAAACGACTTTTAGACGTACCTACTTACCCCAGTGTGTTGCTTCTTCCACACACTGGCTGGTCTCCATGTTTATATTCCCCAAACTGTGCTTTTAATGAATTAATCTGTTTAAACCGCAACCTGGGCTCCCATCTAAGTCCCAAATTATTCAATAAAGCTCATCTCATTCTCCCTGAGAGGTTCCCCCTCCGCCTGCTGCTGTGCAGTGTGTAAGTCTGTGTTATCCTGCCCTCTGCTGGTGATGTACTGAACACAGTTAGTGACCGTAATACTCTCTGATCCATTCATCTCAAGAGGAGTCAACATTTTAGAGAGACAAAAACAGATTTGTCCATACTCTAAATAAACTACATTCTCAGACGGAATAGCTGCCACAAGGATGCAGGATTTCTAAGGGCTGTTAGACATTCACAATGTTCAGTTACCGGCCAAAGCATTATTTTATTTATTTTTTTTTCCGTCTGATTGGTGGTTTCTTTTCCCCCCCAGATCATCATGGCCATCTTGGTGTCATGGCTTCTGTGTTTCATTTTCACCGTGACTAACGTTTTCCCGCCGGAGGTGGGCAAGTATGGCTACTACGCCCGCACTGACGCACGTCAAGGAATCGTCGCGGCGGCACCCTGGTTCAAGGTCCCATATCCCTGTGAGTGTGTCTCGGGGGAGGACGGGGGGGGCTTATGCCTGCTCGCCATAAACTGGTGGGCGCTTGATGTGTGGACAAACGACTAATTTAGAGATTAAACGTACAAACTCCATCAATCCATTTCGCGGGCCTTCTCCCTCTGACCGGCTCTGCTTTTCACATCAACAGTCCAGTGGGGGTTTTCCAACGGTGACGGCTGCAGGTGTGATCGGCATGATGAGCGCCGTGGTGGCCAGCATCATCGAATCCATCGGGGATTACTACGCCTGCGCGCGTCTCGCCTGCGCGCCGCCGCCTCCGATCCACGCCATCAATCGGTAACTCTTCAGTTTGGCTCTTCTCCTTCTTTCCGAAACTGGAACAAACTTTCTTTTAGATCATTTAATGAGCTTTTTTTTCCTGTTTACTCTGTAGGGGAATATTTGTAGAGGGTATTTCCTGTGTGCTGGATGGTCTTTTTGGGACAGGAAATGGCTCCACCTCCTCCAGTCCAAATATAGGCGTCATGGGGATCACTAAGGTAACGCACAGCTGCACTCAATTACATTTGACTTTTCATCCTGTCATATTTTTATTATGTTCTGTAATTCGCTTGGCTTCTGTCTTCTTCTGGCTAATTTTGGCAGCTATTTTTGATTTAGTCGACGAAAACTATTTTTTGTCATTTTAATCCTTCTTAGTTTTAGTCTAGTTTTCGTCAATGAAAACTAATTTAGTCTAGTTTTAGTCACATTTAATAGCCATATTGTAGCAGTTCTATCAAAAGGATCCACCTGTCACGCGCCTCTATGTTGCTTAGTAACGAACGTACGGTGGCCGAGGCGGTTTAACAGCGTTCTCATGATGTGGCGTGTGAACTATAGGTGAAATGCGTGTCAATGCGTGAGGCTTCAGAACCTGCAATGACTTTATTATGTTAGACGTGTTTGGAGAAGCGTGTAACGGGCCGTCTCATCCAGCCGAGGAAACGCTGCCTGCCGTCGCCAGAAAACAGAACAGAAAGGTCCGCATGGATCTCTGCTGGCCGACAGTCTGCTGAATAGCCCCGAGCTGTTGAACGGGTCTTAACCTCCACGCACATCTGTCTCTGAAGTACCGCGGCTTCAGCCTGCTAACGGTCAGCTGCACTGAGACCACTGAGCTAAACTAAGGAAAATAGTCGGCGCGGTCTGTAGTCGGTGCTCTCGGAACAGAGAGTGCTGGTTTTGTGATAATCTCATCACACTTCAATAACCGTTGTTACACTACAATAAACTATATAGAGATATAGAATCACTCCCGCCAAAGTGGCCAGTGAGAGAGAGACTCTTTACTTCCACCCGGATTTGGCGAGTCGGTGGATGCTGATGTCAAGCCCTGACTATAAGTTTCCATTTAAGTGTTACTAAAATTGAAATTAAAAAATGTATTGTGACTTTGTCAACCACCATCTCGTTAACGAAAGTTAGAATAGATTTAGTCATAGTTTTATTTTCAAAGATCCGTTTTCGTCACGTTTAAGTCGTCTTAGTCATGGGAAAAAGGTCCTTAACAAACATTTTTCGTCATAGTTTTTGTCGACGAAATAAACACTGCTTCTGTTGCCAAATGTGCAGAAGTGGTCTACCCATTCTGTTGTATGAACAAATTATGAAACCAAATGTGTATCGCTCGCCCTGACTGGCTCGCTGTGGCTCCCTCTGATCTCCAGGTGGGCAGCCGACGTGTGATCCAGTACGGAGCCGCCATGATGCTGCTGCTGGGGCTCGTGGGTAAATTCAGCGCCCTGTTTGCCTCCCTGCCCGACCCTGTGCTGGGAGCTCTGTTCTGCACCCTGTTTGGTATGATCACCGCGGTGGGACTCTCCAACCTGCAGTTCGTCGACCTCAACTCCTCCAGGAACCTCTTTGTTCTGGGTTTCTCCATCTTCTTCGGGCTGATGCTGCCGAGTTACCTCAAACAGAACCCCCTGGTCACAGGTGAGTGGAGGCATCTACCTCAGGAATGATTCATGGAGCTTTTAATGTGGACAAGATTCTCTGTCCTTGCATTGACCTTTTTTAATTTTATTCCTTTTGTACTGCACAACAAACATTAGTGCGATTAGACTCTAGTAACTCATCCACTTGTTGAGAAGCTGCATTTTAAAGAGACACTTATATGACTTTTGTTCCACCTGCATGATGTTTGTCATTAAGTAAAGTGTCATTTTACTTTTCATACACTTTCGTATGAAAATGGACGTGTTCAGGGTTTTCTCTGTGGTAATTGGACTCTACTTTCATTGTAGCAAATAAACCTTCACTAATTCAGTCGCTAAAAACCCCTTTTGGGGGAATTGATCCGAAATGAGGTCCGGTAGAGATTCACAGTGTTATTCTTCAGTTCCTGAAACGATGCTAACTGAGCCATAACAAAGTCTGTTACTCAGCCGCTGTCTTTCTCTCTCAGGCGTAGTCGAGGTTGACCAGGTGTTGAACGTGCTCCTCACCACTGCCATGTTCGTCGGAGGCTCCGTGGCCTTCGTTTTGGACAATACTATCCCTGGTAAGGTGTTCCATCCACTCTCCTTTACGGGTGTCAATCGATTTAAAAAGGAGTTCAACCTAAAGATGATCGTACTTTCTGCATCACGGTGATCTAGATAACAATTTAGCGGTAGTTTAGAGTGGAAAATCTATAATATTCACCACCTGTTTCAAAACTGTGGTCGATCGGTCTTCCTCGTCTCCACAGGCACCCTCGAGGAGCGAGGCGTCAAGAAGCTGAAACGCGGCGCCGGCCTCAGCGCCGCAGAGCTTGAGGGGATGAGATCCTACGACCTGCCGTTCGCAATGGACTTCATCCGCAGACACCAGTTCTTCAAGTACATCCCCATCAGCCCCACCTTCCAAGGCTACCAGTGGGGGCGGATGAAGGAGGCTTGCAGGAGGAGGCCGGGACATGGGGATGCGGCAAAGGGGGGTGGAGGAGCGGGAGCGGAGGGAGGAGGAGGAGTAGCAGCAGCAGCAGCAGCAGGAGCGGGGGAGAGTCGGGTATAGCAGATGTTCAATGTGGGTGAATCAGGGGAGCAAGGGATGGTGCACTAAGGTTAAAGGATGGAGGAGTGGCGGACAGAAGCGGTGCAGGATTTGGGACTGTGGAAGAAGATGTGGTGCACCGACGTGCCTCCCTCCCCCTCACCTCCCCAACTATGTCAGTATTTTTTTACCTGAGCTTGTGTGTCCTTCTTTTCCCAAATTCCCACTATGCTATTTGAAGCATGCTATAGCCAGTCACAGCATGCTCTAAAAGATGGCAGCATGTGCAGGTTAGTTGGTGTGTGTGTGTGCGTTTGTGTTTGCAGCGGGTTGGTGCATTAATCTACGTCCACTTTAATCAAGGAGGAGACTGATGGACGTATTCTGCCCAATTTCTGTAAAAGTTTGTCTCTCTTTATGCTAGTTGTGACCATACAATCAAGGATTATGCAAAATGTCTGCAGCAGACCGTTTGCCACTAGACTCGTTATGCATCCACATTGGAGACAGACACACACGCAAACACACCAACAGCCTCACCAGAACCAGCTTGAGAGCCACAATGCACGTCTGGAGGGGGGGGGGGGTCCATCATGCACATAGATGGAAGGGGTTTGTCAGGTAACCGTCACCATGCAAAGTAATTTGTCATATTTCTTTTATTTTCATTTTTTTTCTGCCTGTTTATTTCAAAAGCACAATGTTACTCTGAAGCTCGTCTCCCTCCTCACCTCCCTTCCCTCGGAAACTCCTCAGAGACCCGTTTAGCAGCAGATCACATTCACTCATGGCGGTAAAGAAACTAAAGAAGCCAGTTTTTCTCTCTTCTCCTCAACAAGATCTCCAATGTCACAAACCGGTTAACAGCTCTTTGAGCATCGGTTACTTACGAGACTTTTACTGGACACCGTTCTCATTTTTCTGTCGAATGGAACTAAATCATCATTTATTTATTTTCAATTACCTTTCATTTGCTTATTTCGCATCTCCTCCAAGTGAAACCGCTCCGTGGCGAGGTCTACCCAGCATGCCGTTTGGCGTGGAGAAAATCACAGCGCAGACGGAGACTCCTCCCACTGTGGCTCGTCGTCTGGTGGCAGCACGGTGCTCCTCTGTGGATCTTCACTTGTGCTCTGCAGCGTGTGTTCGGAGGGACTTGTACAGATTAAAAACCACCATCCAAACTGGCTCCATCCGTCCGCTCGGGCCGGCAGAAGTAAAGGTGGTGGCTTTTGTTTGGAGGTGGAGGTGTTTGAATGTAATTGGAAGGGTGGTTATTCAGTTCATAGCTCCCTGGCAAAGCAGATGTCATGAAGCATTCCTCGCTTATTAAACGAGGTTTATTAATTCCTTACATTCCTCTAATATCTGACGTTAGACAACTGCTGATGTCCGTGTCTGTTGCAGCTCCTTTTAATTTGAACGCTCTATGTGGCCCTCGTGCTTTTCAATAGAAAACCGCTTTTTAAAAAAACACCATAAATGAAAACTTTAACTGAAAAGGAGCATGATGAGAAAAATGGAAACTACTAGTTTTTTAGCAAGTACAGATTTTTGCTAAACCAAAATGTTGAAGTTGTAATGTCCTCTTATGTGTCACCTAAAACCCAAAAGCATTTATGTCACTTAAGACATTTAAAAAAAATTTAATCTCATCCCAAATTGACTCACTTTTTATCTCTTGTTAAAGCTATTTATTTATTTATGACCAGACGATTAGTGGTTGCTTGCAGGGCCTGTGTGTCTGTCTTGTTGAAAGTATATTTATTAGTTTACTCGCTCATATAAAGATCCGTGTCAGGATGACAGCGGAGCACGCTAAGCCTCGGCCGGTGCTGCTAGACACTAGTTTCTTATGGGAGCTTCGGTTTCATTCCATTTCTCTCATTTGTTTATTATAAACAACAGAAAATCACTGAAAAAAAACAATGTCGGGAACCGAATAGTTTTGACAAAGTTCACTATCAGGGCCTTCTTACTACAAGTACTGTTTGCACATGTAACTGTGCAAAGAACGGAACCCGACATGTCACTCGAGAGCTTATTCAGATGTTTATTCTATGAACGTAGTCTTGTTCGACGGAAGTGATTCCGACTAGACGTTCTTTGGGCCTTCCTCTGCGGCGGCCCCGTTTATGACCTCAGTCACACAATGCAAGCGTTGGTTCTTTTTCCACCCCGCGGCGGTGAGGTTATGTCTTCAAAGGTATCTGAATGTTGTTACGGACTTCTGCTAGAAATAGAGTTGAACTCTTGTATTTCCACAGACCGGATGTGGGTGTTTATCATTCATATTTGGATGAACACACGTATTTATATGGAGGGAGATGGTGATGGTGGAGGAGGCCCTGCCCTCGGACCACCCACGTGTGCACAGACTCCCAAACCTCACCGGTCTGGCTCAGCTCTGTGGACGGCTGGTAGGTGACGAGCACGGTTACCGGCCGGCCGGCAGGACTATCGGCGCGTTCCTCGCTGCGGGTGGCAGGTGGAGCAGCAGCATCTTCTTGTAGAGCGGAGAACGAGAGGAGGTGGTTCGAGAGGTGTTGCTGTTTTTGTTGAGGGGGCTTTCTGTGTTAAGTTTTTGTCTCATGCACATTGTCCGTACATGGGAATGCGCAGATGATGGTGATAATCACGCACACGGCGCATGACCTGGTGGTCTGTGTAGTACATGCAACCAGCACTTACTGCTGCCGCTACGCCCTCCATCTCCTCCCATCTCTTGCTCTTGCTCAGCCTCTCCGTCCTCTCTCGTGTTTAGTGAACCCGGTTTTCTCCCCAGTTGACGGCTGTGGACGCAGAAGAGGACGCCGGCTGGCCGCCTTGTTAAGACCCTGTGAACCTGCCTTATCACTGGGCAACCAGAGGAACGGAGGACGCCTCCTCTCGGGTTTATCCCTCCTTCCTCTTTAGGATCCTACGTGTTTCTGACCGGTTTTTGTCACAGTTAAACACACAAGCACCGACTCTCTTGATTTACATGCAACCTACAGCTCTTAAGAAGGTGGCCACAAGGTGTGTGACAGATCAGTCCCTTTCAGTTATTTCGAAGGGGATTATACCTGAAGAATATACTATTGTGCGCATGTCTTTTTTATGTGTTTTTCTTTTATACATTTTTTTTTTCATGCAAATATTTGTAATAAACGAATTATAACTTTTAATCATAAACCATGCTGGAAATCGCACCATTCTGTTGTACTTTTTATTTAAAAGTAAAATGCATTTTGATCTTATGTTTTTGTGGTTTGGTGGAATCTTTGTTTTCTTAAGACCTTTTCACATTGTATTTTTTTACTCTAACATTGCTTTCATGTCCCTTTTAATGCATTACAAGTACAAATGAAAGAACAAGCTGAGAAACTTTAAATAGATACACAAAGAAATGAATATTTAATGGAGTAAAGTTTGCTAAACCTTCTGAAAGATAAATTGTGTAATCTAATTGTAGCAACAAAATGTTTTAATCTTTGTTCCTAAAACTATTTAATAAGATGTTACTGAATGAATACAGTCTTTTGTCTTTATTGATAATCCGAAATACAGTTACAGTTAAAGGAGTTGAGGCAGGTGTGGAAACTTTTTTTTTTTTTTCTTTTTCAGAAAACTTTCTATTTTGCCTACAAAAACTAAATGATTTATCTTTTTTAATATGAAAACATTAAACAATCAAACATTCTATTACGGGCAGAACTTTATTCTGCAGCTAAAAATACTACCCAGGCAAAAGCCAGGCTTTTAACTTGCTTGTCGGGCAATTGTCTTTTGATGTAATCACATGTGACTTGAGAATATGTACCTTTTGATAATATCAACTTATTTAGTTTTCGTTTAATTAGGTTTTTTTAACCAAATTTTAAGCCCTAAATGTAGTTTTACGAAGTGTAAGGGAGTGGTTTGTGAAGACTTGAACCTTACCTCTTCACGAATGCTACACGGCTTGTACAGAATGTTTACATTGATGTTGTATTTAACTAAATATTACCCTAATTATCAATAATATGCGTCAGTGGAAGACTAAAATAGTTAAATGGCCTCTTAAAACTTGCTTGGGCCCATTTTATAAAGTGGCAAGTAATCAGATTTGAGATAGTGGAACCAGCAAATATTTGTAATTACACTTAAAGATCAAATAATAAGATCGGCCGCAATGTCATAGAGCAATAAATAATCAATTATTTAGTTATTTCTTTCTCTATGGGTGGACCGAGTTTGAAGACGCTGGGACGGTCTGCGCATGCGCACATCTCCCATTGTTTTGGCCTCTTTCACTTGTCTCTGCGCGCGAACAAAGGGGCGTTAGCGTCGCGTTCTGATTGGCTCTCGGGCCGCCGCTGTCCCCACGTGGTCCAAAGCACGGCAGACGGACCTCTCGACCGGGGTGTTTCTCCGGTAACGGGCGAGAAGAGGAGCGACGGCGCTAGAGAACCACGGGAGAGCCTGCTGCCGTTCGGTGAGCCGGGACGCAGCTCCAGCGGGTCGGACAGACGCGTCGCCGCGGGTCGCTGCGGTGTGAGCGCGTGCTCGTTGGTAAGGTCAGCCGGCTAAAGGACAATTAGACATTTATCGTCATCAAAAAACACCCGCGAATCATTTGTGGACTAAACATCTCGACTGCGAGGCGTTTTCTGTGTGTTTAAATCACAAGCAGCGGGAACAGGCGTCCTCCGTACCGCCGGAAGCGTAATTATCTTCTCGTATATTATCTAAAGGAAAAGATCACAAATGTCCTAATTTGGTCTCCAGCAGCGAGTGCGCGTGCAACTGTGTTCGTCTAAAAGGTTACATAAGAAGCGATGGATAGTTGAGATTCCTCTCCACACACACAAGGCTGGATAGACAAAGTGCATAGTGTTGTGTTTTATTTGTATCAGTATTACTACAGCGGCCCTGCAGCGAGCTGGGACTCGTCTGGGAGAAGGTTTCCATCCTTCCTTCAAGCATGCTCCGTTTTCATTGATGCTCTTCAAGATGCAGCTCATTTAACCGTGTGATCGTTTCTGTCTAGCTGCATTTGGGCCGGGCCGTTTATTAAAAACAATACGAGTCAAGATTAAAGATTAAACTTGAATCGACACCCTGTGAGCTGCTTTACTTTAAGGCGCGATGATGAACTACTGAGGGAACGCTTCATCTTTAATACAAGCGCGGCGACCTAGAGAAATGGAGCACACGGTGACCTCTGTTGGCTCAAAACCCAAATTCAGTTCGCCATTATAGAAAACTATAACAATTATTCTTTTTATTCACAACCCAAGCACTGCATGCTGAGTGAGCAGCAGGAGACACACACACACAGAAAACATCTAAGCTCCTACAAACACAAACTCACACTCTTTTTGGTCAGTGGGAGCTCAGATGTTTTCAGTGTTGCTATGACAATGGTGACAATGAGGCGGCGTGGAGGCTGCAGGGTTTGAAAGCAGACAGGAGGAGCTTTGTAGCTATTCATCGTCCAATGACTGTGACAGAGGAGGCTCGGGGACAACGGGGCAAGAGGGCAGAAAACAAGCCTGCATGTCAATGAAAGACCGGGGGGAAGCGGGGGCAGGAAGTTGTGGTCCTGAGTTTCTATAGCCTGCTGGATGGTTTCCAGTCTTTCTCCAGGGAATCACAAAGGACCGAGCTGACGGTCCAGACCGCAGAGAGGAAAGAATCCCCATAAAAAAAGATGAATTTGTGTGTTATGAAGAGAAAGTCAGCGGATGGGATGAGCGGCTGAATATTGGCTGATGAGACACGGGGGAACAAGCGGGTATTTATCCTCAAATACTTGTTATGTTTTGCCGTCAGATACACGCTCTCTTTTTGTACCAATTTTCACATGAAAGATTTTGGCATGTTGGCACTAGTCTGCAGACTTTTACCAGCATCAGGCTCACGTTCACTGCGCACGCCGACGACACCCCCCGCAGCTTCACAGGTGAAAGGTCAGACATCTGCCAACTCCAGCAAGCGCTCTATTTCCGTCCTCCGTCGTCGCGCTGCTTCACGTGAGGTTCCCGTTTCCCTCCGTGGGACACAATTACAACATTGTCCCGGTCTGACGTTGGGCGTCGCGCCCGCGTCCCCACCTGCCAAACGGCCCGCGGGCGCAACGAAAGACCAACGGTCTCCATTGTGCAGCTCAAAGGTTGATCTTTTTTAGGGCCAATACAGGTGCTGAAATATTGATGGGCCGGGCTGATTGGCGTTTAATATTTAATTTAGCCTCACGTTTATTTCAGTGATTGAAAGGCTCCGTTAATTCATCGGCGTTGTGTGTTTTAAAGCTGCTACGAGTGTGGAGTGTGCGATGTTCAAGTGTGCGGGAAGACGGGTTGTGTGTCAGTCTTGTTAGTTTGTCTCGTTGTCATCTCGGTTGTGTGTGTGTGTGTGTGTGTGTGTGTGTGTGTGTTAATGCAGCCGAGCTGAATTGAGGAAGTTTCAGGCCTGCGTCGGTTTCCTGTGCGACTGACTTGCGCGAAGGAGGAAGTGATTTAACGGAAGGGGAGCACTTCCTTCTAAACACCCCCAAGTCGTCCTCGTCAGTCAGTTGTCGGCTGTCAGACCCTCAAGAAAAGGCGTTTGATACGGACACCTTTAGACTGAAGGGCTAATCCCTTAAGAAACGCACAGTTTACCTGCACCCTAACAACCCCCCCCCCCCCCCCCACCCTCTCTGTCTCCACATCTGCAGCTGTCTCTGGTGACTCAACAAGATCTCCGTCTTCACCACGGTAACGTCCCTTGTGGTCTTGTAGCTGACATTTGTACCACTTTTATTTGTCCTGTGTGTCCCTCCGTCTTTAGGCATTAATGGTTTTGTTGGGTGACGCTCTTAGACGCACAAGATTGCAGATGGGATGTTGTCTGTGGTGGATTACACGGCTTGGACTACTTAAAAGTTCACTTCACTACGTAAATGAGATGGAACTAGTGGCTCGCTTTGACAACAGACGGTAAAACCTCGCTGAGTCTACAGGCGAATGCTAACAAGTGAACAATGATGCCAGCGGGCAGATGTTTTAGCCAGGATGCCGTCTTGGTTCAGTCTGCTAACAAGCTAACATTCGCTCATTAGCATTGAGCACAACATGCAGCTCAGGCTGATTTGATAGCGATTCACTCTTTCAGGTATCATGTACATTAAAACGGAACAAAGCACCAGATTAGATCCGATGATGCCCCGCCCCCCGCCCCCCCTCCGCCCCTCGAGGACTAGTCTAGATATTTGGGTCAGGCCGTGTGCCAGACGGTCCAGCTGTTGAAGTGAAACCCGTAGAGGAGGTCAGCATCAGCAAAGTCGTTAACACCCCCACACACACTCATCGTGTGCTTGTTGTCTTTATTCATGGAAAATCAGCTCGACGTTTCTTCAGATGATTCAGTGTGGATCAAAGCGTTGAGCCAACATGGCACACAGACGGTTCGGTCACCTCAAATCAAAAACGACCCGAGCTTCAAAAAGTGTCACAGTAAATGTTAATTATTTGCACGAGGTGTGGTTGTGCGTGTGTGCGTGTGTGTGTGTGTGTGTGTGTGTGTGTGTGTGTGTGTGTGTGTGTGTGTGTGTGTGTGTGTGTGTGTGTGTGTGTGTGAGAAATACAAAGAAAGGGAGAAAACAAGATCCTTTCCACGACGTCACATTTTGATACATGAGTATATATATTTATGTAGATGAGCTATGAGCCACGTGGTGAGTTCAGTGAGAGAGAGAGAGAGACACGGACACGAGGAGGACACGCCGTAGGAAAGAGGAGGAAGAGACATCGGACGGCAGCTGGCACCTTTCGTCACGCGCCAGATGTTCAGACTGCGTGGCGGATTTAAAAAAAACAAAAAAAACATGCAGTGACAGGAAAGTAGATATGATCTTTGTTTACTGTTCGGAGCTTTACCTCCTTCTCCTCCTCCTCCTCGTCTCCTCCTCTCCAGGCTGCTGGTCATGAGGAGTCATGAGACCGAGGGAGAAAGTGTCTGAACTCTCTGTGTTGCTCCTTTGTCTCCCAGCTCCTCTCATGCTGACGGAGAATGGATGATCCAGAGTACGGGGTTCAGATCGGAGAGAACAAGTTCATCAGGAAGTAAGGATTTAAACACCTCGCCGCTTTTATTCACCAGTGGGATGTACGTGTTCAATCCCTTACTGCTCTGCTTTCTGAGCAGACGTGCATTTATTGATCCATTTGAAAGGTTCTTGTGCAGCATTTAGATGTCAAATGTAAACATACGGAGGAGTCTTTGTACCGGAGCGCTTTCTTCCTCTCTGTGTGTTTCGTACTCTTGAGTTCTCCTGTAGTTTGTGACGTAGCAGGCTGCGCTTTGATTTACTCCACAGTCCGCTTTTAAAGACGCCGTGTTCTTTGTCTGACAACCTCACCAACACCAACACGTCCTCGTTGAAAGCCCCCTCAGCATGTTCCTGTCCGACAGCCAGACCCACCCGATACTTTCGCCAAGTCCTCTCAAACCCCTTTTTTTCTGCCAAGTATTCCTTATTTATTTCAAAGGCTGCCTTTGGATGAAGGCAGAAAGTCAATCACCCCCACCTGACGTACGATGCGGTTTACGTGATCCTCGTACACATACATTTACATAAGTGGGCTAAAATAAGCTCCTCCCAGTGATTCAACATCTCTGTCTCCAGGGCAACAGTTCTCTCACATCTGAAGACGTACAACCTGTATTACGACGGACAGAATCTACAGCTCAGACACAAAGAGGTGCGTGCGTGCGTGCGTGCTTGCGTGTGTGTGTGTGTGTGTGTGCGTGTGTGTGTGTTGACCGCTGCTCCTCTGTCCCAACAGGAAGAAGGGGAGCTGATCGTCGAGGGCTTGCTGAATATCTTTTGGGGTCTGCGGCGACCAATCAGGCTTCAGATGCAGGATGACCACGAGCGGATCCGGCCGCCGCCCTCCTCCACGTCCTGGCACTCCGGTTGCAATCTGGACAGTCAAGGGTAAGAGGTCCGGACGGATCCGCTGACCGGAGATGCTGACGCGAGCTGGTCCCCTGGGACAGATATAGATTATGTGTAGTTTGTGTGATGAAGAATCAAGTTGAATCCGATCATTGTGCTTTGCACTGTTTGCATCAGACCGAAGGGATCCTTCTAACGCGGATTGCTCAGTTTGGGGTTTTGCCCAAAGCTGCCTCAGATCGAACCGTGTCAATAGGCTTGACGACCTTTTTCTGTAATCTCATTCTTCAGGAGAAGCTAATCTTGTTCCATGAAAATAGAAACGTCAACTTCACGATAACGCGTTCTCTACAAAGTATCTTTAAATGATCCGAATCAGGTTCACGTCCCATGACTCCGCTTGGTTTAAAACGAGAATGAGCCCTAAAGACATTTTATGTCTTCTTCGCTTTTTTTAAGTTTCCCCAACAGCACAGAGAGTCAGCAGAGCCCCCCCACGCTGGAGGTGACGCCACCCGACTGCCAACCGGAGGAGGCCGATGAGATGGAGGAACAGGCAGAAGGTGAGTCGCTCGATGCAAAGACCAAAAACAGCCGGGTCCCTGAGTGAGGCCCTTTCAAGCTTAAAAGACACACTGTGGGCCAAATCTCTAATTAACCCTCTGCTGCTGTGTGCAGGGTTCGGGTTACATGGCGCGATGGAAAGGAATCAAAGCCTTGTCCTTAGTTGGCCCGCAGGGTTTTATATTCCACCCTTAAAAGAGCTTTGCATTTGAATACAGTGAGATATTTATGTGAGATAAGAAGTGAGCGTCACAGTCATCTTATGATATCCACATGTTTGAACATCACCTCCTTTGAAAAAATAAATAATTGAAAGCACACGACAAAATATACCTACACCTAAAGATGTAAGTGGCAAATAAAATTATAATAAATATTTGTATTCCTTTTTTTTTAGTAGATCTTAATTTTTATGGTAATATTTATGTATTTTATTGAAATAAGAATGTAAACGCCAACTTTTAAGGGCAGCAGATCGTTTCTTCCCTGTTTTTTTACACTTAATTTAAGGATAAGAATGTTTTTGCTCATGGTGAGGGCCTCGCAAATGATAGCGGATGTTTTGACTGTGGATTGGTCAGAGGACAGCGAGACCTCCGCCCAGCTGCTCAGGACGAAGAGCGACGCCGGCGTCCTGAGGCGGGGCCAGCGGCGCTCGCCGAGCGACCAGAGGAAGATCCGGCGCCATCGCTTCTCCATCAACGGCCACTTCTACAACCACAAGGTGCTGCCCGGCAGAACGTACTCGGGGAGCTTGTGTGCTGCTGTTGATGGGGGAAAATGAATGCATGTTTCTGCTTTTGTCAGACGTCCGTGTTCACGCCCGCCTTCGGCTCTGTGACCAACGTCCGCATCAACAGCTGCATGAGGACGCCGCAGGTGCTTCGGGTTCTCCTCAACAAGTTCAAAATCGAAAACAGCCCGGACGATTTTGCGCTCTACCTCGTCCACACAAGCGGAGGTGAGTGTGAACCGTCCAGTGTGTCTCCCCTGTGATGGGAGGGACGTGTCCATGAAGAAAACGCAGACTGATGTGTCGCTGTTTCCAGAGCGCGTGAAGCTGAAGCGGAGTGACTTCCCTCTGGTGCTGAGAATCATGCAGGGCCCGTGTGAGCAGGTCTGCAAGGTCTTCCTCATGGAAGAAGACCTGGGAGAGGAAGTCACGTATGATGTAAATCCCCATGTGTACTCTGAGCATGTCCGACTCGCCCACGTCCTCCGATTCACCTCACATCACCTTCTCTCTGTGTGCTCCTTTCTCCTTCCTGCCACCAGGTGGCGCAGTATATCAAGTTTGAGATGCCCGTCCTGCAGAGTTTCATCACCAAGCTGAAGGAGGAGGAGGACAGGGAGGTGCTGAAACTCAGGAGCAGGTACCTCTTCTACGTGTTCATCAGCTGAACACGCCATCGTAATCCATGACGAATGCATTCAGCCGTTCTCCCTCTGCGCTTGTCTGCTCGCGCTCGCAGGTACACGTACCTGCGCTGTATCATCGAGAAGCAGCTCGGTTGTCTTCCGGAGGGGCCGACGTGCATGTGAGCCGCCCATTGGACATTCGAAAGCAGCCGCGCCTCCACCCAGCCGTGGCCGAGGGTCTACGTGTTTCAGGGACCGTCCTGAACTGCCTGCGAGGAGCATTTTTTTTTTTGTTCGTTTTACATCAATTAAATCAATCAAGCACAAAGAAAAAGCACAGAAAGTACATTCCAGACTGAATGAGCCGAGATCCAGACGCAGTGTCTTCTCTCTCCACCCTTCAGTTTGCCAGCTGACGCCCCAAATCCGTTTAGAGCGCCGACGTCGTACAACATGATCTTATTTAAGTGCCTGTTAAAGGGTTTCTCCAAGCACAAGGACACGCGAGTTGATGCTCTGTTTTCAATGCATTGGCCTGCAGCAGAGTGAAGGAGAAGAACAACTGCAGAGCACGTCGGACCAGACGCTCACGCTCTGAACTGTGGAACGTCTTTTTATTTTATTTTTGGGACATCTGGAATAGAAATAATCTGGTCTGAAAAGTTAAACGGAGGGATTATTGAAGGGGGATAATCTGTGAATGTCGGGACCATTTTTCCATTGGTTGTCTGTTGAGGTTAATGGAGCTTGCTAGCTCGCTAGTTTAGCGTAGCGCAAAGACTGGTAGCGGCTTGTTAGTCGGTGTCTTTCCAGAATGAAAATAATTTATATACCAGCACTGCTGAGGCTTGAATATTGACATCATTTGTTTTCATCTCTCCAAAAAACAAAGTGTGTCTTGTTACACTTTTTTTGTAAAGATTAAACAAGTGTTGGTGAGCTTCAGAGGTGCTGGTGGGCAGATTTACTCTCCGAACACAGTCCGGCTAGTTAGCTGCTACCCACCTTCGTGCTAAGCTAAGCTAACTAGCTGCTTGCAATAGCCTCTTGTTTTCTTTAAGTATTATAAATAAATTCCGTCCTGAAAGACTTTTTGCCAGTGAGTCGCGCTCACTGCCTGACGTCACACAACGAGATGTTAACAAGCACAGCGAAAAAACGTTTCATCGTTTGAACAGTTTTCAAAACCGTTCTTCACAAAAAAAAAAAAGTCTTTTAACATCCAACGCCCAGGGACTCGAGTAGAATCCCTGCAGACTGTGAATGCCGACTACCTTCGTTCCAAGAAGGTTCTTAATGTATGAATGCACGTGTGCAGCTCTTTGCGTTGGTGTGAGCGTGTGCATGTTGTATTGTCAGTGACTCTCGTAAGGCTTTTGTATTGTCTCTAGACATGTTAAGAACTCAAGCCCCGACTTGGAAAATGTAGGGTTTTTTTTTTTAACAATGATTGTTATTTAATAAAAGTTATCCTGATATATATACACAGGATCTGTAATCCCTCAGTGTCATTTGGGTCAGTGGAGGAAAACTTGCATGTTATGAAATTAGGTTGTATAATTCAAAATGAGGAGATTTAAGATGAACTAATCGAATCTTCGCGAGAGTTCGTTGAGTGACTGACGGTGAATTACGGTGTGATGTCGGCGCTACAGCAGCTTACTGAGCACCAGCCAATGAGCAGGTGTGAGATTGTCTGGAGGATCACACGCCGCTCGTCTCTCACAAGAGTCTGAGCGAGGAAGAGGATCACTGTCGTCTTCGTCTCCGCCGCACACCGCCGCTCTACAGGTGAGATTGTTCGCTCTCATGTTTTCACTGCTGGAATGTTACAAGGAACATTTACTAAACATTGTACTTCAATTGTTGTCTTGTACTATTTACTTTTTTTTTTTTCTTTTTTTTTCAACTTGCTTTTACCATTTAAAAACATGAAGGACCATAATACTAATATACTAAATGGTACACAAAGTATTGAAAAGTGGCTCCAGAAACTAACATTAGATAGCTGTGTGTGTATTAGTTACTGATGTTATTTAATAATAATATAACACTGAATGTAGTCATTCCATCACATGTGTTTAGATGTTTTAGCTTAATTTACGTGATAATACTTTAACTTGGTGCACATTTTGAGTACTTCAGCACAGGATCTTGCAACTCCGACTCTCCTCCCCGGTTTCTTTCAGTGAATTTCTGTTATTTAATTAGTCTCTGTCCCTGCAAAGCAGAAGTAATACTAAAAGGCTGACTCCAAATTCATAATGAAATCTTTTTTATCTTCCTCCTTGTAAATCAGTGCTGCTGCAGCTTTATTCTGAGTCACTGGATTATTGTGAGGCAGAGTGACCCTGTGTAATTATAGCTCAACTCATCTTTTTAGAGGACGCAGATTAGACGGTGTACTGTTGGTTGAGACCGATGATGTCATGCTCAGTGCTGTAAGAAGTAAGCTCATTGTTTACCTAAGGACCATGTTGTACATACATACATAAGCAGCACTTTAGTACTGGATTTGGCCATTTCAATCTATACTAATGCACCATATTTTGCAAGCTGATCCCACATTTTGTTTGTATTTACATATTTTCTACGACAATTAGTAACTAGTAAGGAAGTAAACAGGTATATGATTTCCGTCTTAGTATTGTCTATTGTAAGTATTGTCTGATATAAGTATAAAGTACATGTACTTACTTTTACCATTTCATAGTACTATACTATTACCGTATTTACACATTTTGTACAAATATTCAATGATATATAACACTATACTTTAAAACGTCAGTAAGTTTAGTTTATACTTACACTATACGTGGTGGATGCTGGTGTTGGGCGTCTATATTTACGCAATTGTCCGTTATACATTTCTGGAATATTGTTGTAACGTATATATTGTCAAAAGCTTTTTAATGTCGTTATTTACTTTAATTCTGACCAAGATAAATTAATTATTACAGCAGGACTTGTTCACGGATCCAGAGCCAGATCTCATCTCCTGCAGTCGATCCGATAATAAAAGGGTGTTAGAGATTACAGAAAGCTTTCTGATCCCGGGTCAGTCGCGGCGCTGCATGGAGTCGCTTGTGCAATACGCGTGTTTCTCATAACTGGATTACGATCCTTGATCTGTCCTGCTCCTAATTTAACAGCGACGTAAGAACAACAGCGTCAGCGATGAAAACATCCCGTCGGTTGTGTCTTCAGGGACCAGTACAACCAAGTTACACGCGCTCAAGCTTTTCCAGTTTCTGCAACATTTGTGAGGCAGACATTGTGCTTTTTACTCCACTACTCTGATTTGACCGTTACATCACTCGGATCTTTGAAAAAGGAAAGTATATGATCCACTTCTACGCCTACGAAGTGTTTATGTAGATGAATCTACTGAACTTTATCCATTTGTAAGACGTAAAATACCATCGACATACCAAGTGGTATATATTCTAGGATGTATGATGTTGATTTCTTTTGATATATATAAGTAATATTTTGCAGATAATCCATCATTGGTTCACTTTTCTATTATTAAAAGCCCAAAAGGTTGCGTCACTTTCTCGAAACAAAGCAGCAACGACTCCACTCCTCCTAATAACGCTTCCTCTCTCTTATTGTTGCAGAATCCAAACAATAATGTCTGCCTTGCAGAAAGTCCCCCTCACAGCGGCCCTCTGCCTGCTGCTCCTCGTCACCCTGTTACCCAGCTCTGAGGCCCGCCGGGGTCGCGGAGGCTTCGGGGGCGGCGGCGGCTTCGGCCGAGGTGGAGGTTTCGGCCGAGGAGGAGGTGGAGGTTTCGGCCGAGGTGGAGGTGGAGGCTATGGGCGGATCCAGAGCAGTGGCCCCAGCGCGGGCAAAGTAGCCGGGGCGGCTGCAGCGGGCGCCATAGGAGGAGCGATGATCGGGTCCGCCCTGAGCCGGCCCGGGTACGGAGGAGGGTACGGAGGAGGGTACGGAGGAGGGTACGGAGGAGGGTACGGAGGGTATGGTGGCGGTTACGGCTACCCACGGCACGGGGGTGGAGGCTACGGCCCCAGACCCGGCTACGACCCAGAGGGCTCCGGAGACATGGAGTACTACACTGGCGCGTCCAGCGGGCCCATCTACAACAGCATCGTCGTGGTCATCGGCGCCCTGATGTCCCTGCTCGTGGCCCGGTGGGGGGCTTTGGAGTAGAGCACACACGGGTCCAAACAACCGGACTAGGAAAACAACCTGGCTGAAAAGATCTGATCTTTTTTTAAATGATGAAGAGCTGTGGCCGATTGTTTCGGAGTTTGACCTTCACAACACGTCAGCGTGACACCGCGCTTCAATCTGCAGCTGTTTGGACGAACAAACAAACCTCCTGTAGAGATGTTCCATGAAAATGTTTCCACCCCTCCGGTTCTCCTTTTCAAATCAGCCAGTCTTTTCTTTTTGATATACTGTTGACAAGTGTTTTTTGATCACACGTTTTCTCCGTGAAGATAGAACAGATCGGATGTGTGATTAGATTAAGTCTACCTCGGGAAGTCGTATCAGGTGTTTAAGAGCTGCTATCGTAATGCCATTTCTCAGTGTATTTACTCGTATTCCTCTAACTCTGCGTTTTCAAGTGTTTACTTCTTCAAGTACTTTGCTTGTCTATGAATAATTAAAGTACATGTGTTATGCCATATTCTAGACTTTTATGAAGAAGGAAAAGCTAAATGTTCTTCCATGTCTATGATTGTTAATAAAAAATAACTTAACAATAACATATCATTGTTGAATTTTACTGTCTACACTATCGTGACAACGTTATCGCATTTGTTGACCACAGACGAATCTGACTCTGGAAAACTATGCTCTTAAGCGTTAAAGAGCTAAAACAGAACCTTTCAGATGTATCTCATGATCATTAACTAAATTAAATTGGCTGCATGAAGCTTCAAATCAAAGCCCTTAAGATCACGTGGACAGTGACGTCCTCAAAAAGAATACATGCAATATATTTGATGAGGCAGGAGAGGGAACAGGACGAGAATATGTCATTATAGTGACAGTAAGGACTCAGCTGCTCCCTGTGAGCTCCTCCCATGGGGGCGGGGCCTGGGACAAAGGATGAGGGCACTGGTTACACTGGGACAAAGGATGAGTGGACTGGTTATACTGGGACAAAGGATGAGTGGACTGGTTACACTGGGACAAAGGATGATTGGACTGGTTACACTGGGACAAAGGATGAGTGGACTGGTTACACTGGGACAAAGGATGAGTGGACTGGTTATACTGGGACAAAGGATGAGTGGACTGGTTACACTGGGACAAAGGATGAGTGGACTGGTTATTCTGGGACAAAGGATGAGGGCACTGGTTACACTGGGAGCAAGAGAGAGGATGAGTGGACTGGTTACACTGGGAGAGAGAGGATGAGTGGACTGGTTATACTGGGAGAGAGAGGATGAGTGGACTGGTTACACTGGGACAAAGGATGAGTGGACTGGTTATACTGGGGCCGAGGGGCAGCAGAGAAGTGGATGCTGGGTCACATGGCAGGCTGACGGGGGTCTGGCGGTGTGTAATGTTCTAGAATGACATTCAGACACGTGAGTGCAGCAACACACTCATCAAAAGTGCACGTACGTGCACGTGGCACAGCTCTGTTTGCCTTCATGTGAGTTTGAGGCCACAGCTGCTGTTGACTTGGTGTTGTTTACTCAGCATGTCCCCCCCCCCCCCCCCCCGCTCCACATTCTGCATTAAGTGGATATTATGAGTGCCTGATAACGCTCGTCACGCCCACCACGTCTGAGCTTTGTGTCTTTCAGGCTGCACTGAGGGAGGCATTGGTAGGATTACGATTGATGATCAGCTGTATGCAAAGACTGCAAAGGCAATTATTGAAGTGACTCCAGCAGTAATTTACAGTACATACTGTAAACATACATACTTTGACACTGAATGCATCCTTTTTCTTTTTTGGGCCAGAAGGTGGTCTGGACCTAACAGCAGTGTCATGTATCATACAGTATGTCATATCAAATATGTTCTTCACATCACAAAAGTAACGTAATTTTAACTGACTCACCTTCATCAAATGTCTTTTAAATAACAGTACTTTTGCTTGAGTATAACGTTCTAGTAACTGCAGCTGGAAACACTAAGAAATTGCTTTACACTGAAAAATGGAAAAATGTAGTCACGTCATTTCCAACACTATATAATTATATAAAAAATACACCAGTTTTATTAAGCATGGTATTTAATGGACAGATGGAAAGTCTGATGGGGCTTCATGTGCTCACAGCCAATCAGATCTCACCATTGCTCCTGTTTGCTGTCCTCTATGTCTTAGTGCTCTTGGTGGACCTTTCGCGTTCAGTCCTCACGCTTCATTACGCGCTCAGACCCGAAGCGCAAAGTCCTTTATTATACCACATGTTTTTCCACCGTTGGGTTACTAGTCTACTCCTGCGTTTCTTCTGAAAAATGACATTCAGACGGGAGTGGTCACATTTTGTTCCCTTTTCACACTGTGTTCTTTGTCATTTAAGATGATCGTTATTCATCAAATTGATCTCCCTAATCTTTCCATGCGATGCTTGTTCTCCTCACACCCAATTCTGAAAGTCATAATCACACATCAGTAAAGTTTAAGTTTTATTTGACAAGACAAATGCAAAAAAGTGCGAGTCGACCCTCAGTATTCAGCAGGACAGTAAATGGGATCCCTCACAGTCAAAAGGCATTATTAAAAGCGGCACATTCTTCAGATACATCTGGAGTAAACCGGGTACATGAATCGGCGCGTTAAAGGTACATCTTCTGAAGGGGCTTCTGATCGCTCGCCAGTCAAACGGATTTCACCTCCCTGATTGAAATGTGTTCCTCCTGGTTTATAAGTGGAAAGTAACTTTATGCATTTACAAACCTGAGGTACTTTTACTTACGTATTCTATGTTCTGCTACTTTTCTACTTCTACTCCACAGCAGCACAGGGGGAATATTGTACTTTTTACTCCACTACATGTGTCTGACAGCTTCAGTCCAGATTTACAATTAGATCTTTTTTTCTGATGAACTGAAGAACGAAGATCTTTTGTGGGTTAAGAAACGTCTCATAATGTTCAATCTAAACAGGCTATTTGAATAAAGGACAAACATATAATATATAATCTCATTGAGTATGATGCATTGCTCAAGATAAAAAACTGCCAAACAGTATATAAAGAACTTCAAAGCAGAATTCAACTTACATGTACTTGTAATAATGGTCCTCAAACATCAGATATAATAGTCAAGAGAGGGTTATGTACCATTGGCATAGTAATTCTGATCCCACACGCCTTATTCAGACATGTTGGAGGTAAAACCAATGATCAATGTTCACACAAGACATTATGAACTCTGGAATGTGTGGTAGTCGATTAAAATATGTCTGTAGAGGCATTGTACATTGGAGCTGTTTGCTTTAAATAAAAACTGTAAATAGTTTTAAGCAATTGGCTTCTGTGAAAGAGAAAAGAAGAAATCCGATTGGTTGAATCTTATCTCCTGTACACATGTTGACACACAACCTTAACTATTATTGTTGATAATGCAAGATGAGATTCAGGAGGATATCGAGATGATTCTGATGAAGTATCTCCATCACAAACCACGCAGAGACAGGAGAGGAAGGACGGACACAACGGACAGGGACGAAACACTTGTATAAAAAAAGTATCCGGAAAATAGACGACAGAGTTCTAAGCGGGACACAAACGGCCAACACGGCAGGAAAAGCGCACTTTGTTTCGTTGCCAAAGTAATCGTGTTAGTACAAGAGCATGCACATTACCGTCCGCGTCTCTCCGTGTTAGATAAGTACCCACGGATTTTATATTTAGTCTTAAAAAAAAAATAATAGTATGTTTTTTCTTCTGATGGACACACATCATGAACACAGAGTGGGAGTGGCACTGTGGGTTTTAGAAGCGGGTGTGTCGTAATTGAATCGCTCCATCCCTCTAGAGAGCACGTTTAGTTCGCTTTGAATGCACGTTAACAGGCCGGCTTTCTTTCCGGAATGTGAATGCGGCCCTTTGTCTCTCAGAGGAAGACACCAGTAAAATCGGCTCCAACACAGGCTGTCTTGTTAAACTGTTTCCCCTCTTTTCATTAAACACGTGGTTCCAAGATGAAGCACTAAGCGCCAGTCACGCAGGCATGAGGATGTGGACGCCTAAGATATTAAGAAAATGTAGAAACCCACAGACAATAAAGAACCCTTTCTCCCTCCCGTACAATAAACACATTCTCCATCACTTTCCCGCCAGCGAAGGCCTCAGCGGAGCAGCATTAGCATGTTGCTGTTCAGTAGCATCAGAGTGGCACTGGTGACCACGGCTACAAACCCCAGCGCCTCCGGTCGCTGCGCCCCGTCGGTGGGCCTCACCAGGTACCTTTCAGCGTAGACCACGTACAGCTCCAGGCACCGCCTCGCTTTCACCTGCTCGATCAGCGCCGGGTAGCCGATCTCCTCGATGCTGACCGTGTCATCGTCCTCGACGTCGGCAACGGCGGCAACCTGCGAGTCCGGAGGCCAATTTGGAGGGCGCGGGGTCACGGGTCCGGGGGTCAAGGAGTTGTTCGGAGCTGAGGCGACGACGCTGGCATTTGCAGTTGTGGTAGTGGCGGCCGGGTTGTTGTTGGTGTCGACTGGCTTGGGATTCCCCGCTGGCAGAAGGTCGGCCCTCTTCATGCAGGAGTCCATGTAGCTGTCGTAGGTCTGAGGGACTTGGCTGTACCTGTAGTCTCGGCTGTAGTCGTTGGCGTCGGTGGACTTGGCCCCGTATCTCCTGTACATGTAGTGGTTGTAGTAATGCTCCTCCTGGGGGTTGTGGAAGCTGAAGGGAGGACGGGGGAACCTCCCGAGCCCGTAGCCCAGGGCCATCCCTACCAAGGCCCCTCCGCCGGCTGCCATCACCGCGCTGCGTCCGAACCCTCTGGATCGGTCGGAGGGACGCATGCCCATCGACTGGACTGAGTGGGAAAAGGGAGAGCCGCCGCGACCGGCGTGGCCCCCGTATCCGAAGCTGCCCCCGTACTGAGGGCTCAGGACTCTGTTGTTTGGGTTTTGGTTGATGTAGCCACCTCCATAACCCCCATAGCCACCGTGAGCACCGTACCCGCCATGGCCGCCATAACCCCCTCCTCCGTATGGGGAGCCCCTTGCTGGATACTGATTAGGGTAGCCTCCCCCCGGCTGCTGGGGGTACCCACCTGGATTCCCGGGTCTGCCTGACTGCGGCGGGTAGCCTCCCTGATTGGGCTGTGCGGGCTGCTTGGGATACCCACCCTGAGAGCTGGAGCCTGCATTATTTCGGTTGCCCGCATTACCGCTGGTGCTGCCTCGGCTGGACCAGGAGGACTTCTTGGAGCCGATGCCCTTCCCGAAGCCGCCGCCTCCTCTTTTGGCCAGTGAAAGATGAGTGTGACACAAAAGGAGCAACAGACACAGCTCGGACAATGACCCCGGCTTCATCTTGGCTCTGCAGGGCGAGAAAAGGGATCAAGAAAGGGAGAAAATATGAGATAATTCGTTTGGATTTACTCTTTTACAGTCCTCTCTTATTAAATGAAAGCTGTCAGTCTCCAGTCAGTCTCCAGCATACTTGTGTCACATCCCTTCACCTTTGAGTTACAGAGCAGTGACCAGAAAGCAGCCGCTTTGCCTCCTGTTTGGGCCGTGTCTTCTGCTAACTTGTTCTCATGGCTCAAGCTCGCAGAACCGACACACATGTTCACAATTATTCAAAGACTATAGGTGTATTTTTGCACACATGGTTCCCCGTGTGGTAATTTGTGGACCGTAAGAGATGTGGGTCCACAAATTAGGTTTCCAGGTTGCCTCCAAATAGCTCAGTGCTCTGAGATCTGTGACTGCAGGTGATCTTGTGGAGTATCTTGTGTTAATGAGAAGGATCCCCTTGTTACGAATCTGTATCCGTACCCCATGAAGACCACACCCAACATGCCACGAGACTACATACATCTTGCTTGTATTAGACAAGCTATCACCTTTTCTGGATGCAAATCAATGAGCAGTATCTATTTGTTGTCCCATGAACATGATTTCCACAGCAGCGTCACCATTATCACTTTTATCTTCCACTGTGCACCTACTCACCGAGTACCGAGCCAGGATTTTATTAGGGCTGCATTCGGATATCTTATCAATCAATATCAATCATCTCTCACGAAATTAAGGGGAAACGTCCTTCAGAGTCCATCAGTCCGTTTATGCCCTGACAGCCAGGCTCAACCCTACATTATTTCACAGTTCACCCTGGAGCACGAGGCTTATGAACGGCCGAGGCAGCCTGTGACTCAACCGGTGGCAGCGAGCAAACTCACGCTGTTTCCATCGCAACGCGGCCGATGGCTAAATGTTGCCGTGGCTCCTCCGGGAGTCGCGTCGCTTGAACCGACTAAAGACGAAAGTCGGTAAACGTGACGTCCTCGGGTCGTTCTGTACACTGACACGCGGATCTCATCACGACGACATCCGCGTCCTTGTCGTGCGTGAGTGGGGCTTTTCCAGCTGTGTCCGTGTTCTTCAATTCTGTAAATCCATCGATTCATCGACCCGCCGCTCGTTGACGTCCAGTCGGACTTTAATTTGATCAGCTTCTTCCACGACATTACCGGGACTTTGAGTGTCTCTGTCTCCATGGAGAGCGTGGGCGTGGTAGTGACCGGTCCTCGACATCCATCATAACCGGTCTGCTGCGGAGAACAGATCCGGATCCGATGCGACCCCGACGGGGATGATTTATGAGCGCAGCCGGTGTTCAGAGGGTCAGACCGGGCTGTCGTTCACTGCCTCTGCCCCTTTTATTGAACCGTGGCTCCAAGAAACCATCCCGTTATTTAGCTAAATACCGTGGAAACGGCGATGAGCTACGTGCTGTTTTTTATTTGTATTATATCACAGACGCGATGTAAATAACAACAACAACAACAACAGCAATGTGGAGCTCATCGCTCAGAGCAGCGTGGAATGGAGAGGATCTAAAGAAAGGAGACGCATTACCTTGAGAGGTGGACGCGTGGATGTGTTAGTCCGTGTTGTTTGTCCCGGGTCGTCTTCTCCACTCGGGAGTCCTCACGGCTCGAGTTTGGGAAGCGGGTTATTCCACATGACGTCACGGTGGATTCACGAGCTCCGCCAATGAACCATCCGCTTTACATCAAAACACGCATTCAAGCAATATAAGTCATCAGGACCAGATGGTGGGATGGAAATAAAACATTTTATTCACTCATAAAAGATTTATGTCAGGGTTTATGGTTCTCTTCAATCTTCTGTTTTTGTTCAATATTGGTAGCACAACTTGTCGCAAATAGGAAGGTGAGGGAAAAACGAAAACAGCTCCGCCGATGGTTTGACATAGATGATGATTATTCTCTGACGCAGTGTTTGTTCTGAACTCAATATAGGATGAAGGTGCTTAACTGGTTCTGAATATGAGGTACAGGTGCTGAACTGGTTCTTAATATATAGGGTAAACTGGTTGTGGATATAAGGTACAGGTGGTGAACTGGTTGTGGATATAGGCTGCAGGTTCTGAACTGGTTTTTAATATGGGTAATCTGGTTGTTGATATAAGGTACAGGTGCTGAACTGGTTCTCAATATAAGGTAAACTGCTCTCTATTGAGCTCAGAAACCTCTCAGCTGCTCATCGGCAGCATATTGTTTTATTCTTATTAAAAGAAGAGTGCAAAGAATTTCAAAAGAGTAAGCTAAGCTCCGCTGTGGTTGCTTCAGGTGGCAGAACAAAAAAACTCAGTGCACTAATATTACATTACATGTCATTTAGCTGAGGCTTTTATCCAAAGCGACTTACAATAAGTGCATTATAACCAATATGTTGTTTAGGGTGTCATGAAGATAAAAACACCTCGTAATTCAGACCAACAAAGCCAATGTTGTGGTTACATTGGCTGTCTTGCAGTTATAATGCATATAATGTAATATGTAACACTGGACTGTAGCAATATTTTTAGAAACATTTTAAGTAGCATATTTAATTGGATGATTTTTCATTAGTACAGCAAAGGTCTATAGAAGTGAGAGCCGCAAAAATAATGGATGGAGATGGACTGTTTTATTTTTTAAAAATCCAATCCAGACATAAATATCAGGAAACAGTTGGTTCTGTTTGGGTATCTTGTATTTAATTAACTGTATCATAATAACATGTTCAGTTAAGTTTAGTACAGGTTTCAAATAGGTATAATCCATTACAAATATTCTCAGTGTAAAAACCAAAATGATTATTACTCCAACGCAAACTATATTATTATGATCTAATTTTGCTTTGGACTTTCCTGTTTATATACGCAGTTTATCACTTCACGTTCCAGCTCCAGGATTCAAACTAATCACTGGAAAGTTGGTTGGAACAAATAAAACCAGACTCCACAGTCCACACAGACCGTATGCTCTCGTGTGTGGTTTCTGGGTGGCTTTTGTGACGACCCAAAGGATGCTAATGTCAGCCTGCTAAAAAGCCACACAACTCAACATATTCATTTAAATCTATGAAAAGAAATTCAATGTTTTAAACAACAAAATGTAATTTTAAGCAACGTGATAGGCTTATAAAATATAAGATGATGTTTGTTTTATTCCAAATTTTACTTCTATTGACAAAATTATATATATGTGTATGCACGTATTTCTCCATACAACCCCATGAGTATCTCTCTAGAAATGACACTGCCATGTTCAACATCTTGGGTGTTTTAATGCTAAAATGTGCAAGTTTAGACGTCATTTGTTTTGAAAGAATTTTTTCTAGTGCCACCGTATTGGTAAGTTTTTATAGTTCATCTTGGCAATCTACCCAAACCTCATCAAGATTTCTTTCTCAAAATTCAAAAAGTTGGCCTGGGGTTATTAAGAATCATCCAACTGCCCCTATATCCCCGCTGCCATTTAATACCTTTGACACATTCATTGTCGTAAACCTCATTTCTATATTTCTCCATCACTGCAACTCTTGATGAAGGACTCAGTGCAGCAGCTTCATGTTGCAATTCAGCAACATCAACACAGAGCTGGTGAGCACAGCTAGGAGACCCCTCAAGCCTGTCTCCAGTTGCTGCACCCCACCCGTGGGGATGGGCTCTGTCGTTTTCTTCAAGTATTTTTCGGCATAGACCATGTACAGCTCCACACATCTCCTTGCCTTCACCTGCTCGATCAGTGCCGGGTAGCCGATCTCCACGATGCTGACGGCATCGTCGTCATCATCGGTAGCAGCTTTTGTGAGAACCTGAAAATCTCGAGGCACTGGGACGGGTTCGGACTTATTTAAAAGGAGCGGTGAAGAAGTTGTGGCGGTCGAAGAGTTTCCTGTTGCAGTGCCGTTGCTCTTCGTTGTGTTGCTGCTGATGCTCACATCTGGAACAGCGAAATTAGTTGTGTTAGTTACAGAAGACGTTGAGTTGGTTGCAATTTTAATTGTGGTAGTAGCGGCCGGGTTGTTGTTGGTGTCGACTGGCTTGGGATTCCCCGCTGGCAGAAGGTCGGCCCTCTTCATGCAGGAGTCCATGTAGCTGTCGTAGGTCTGAGGGAGTTGGCTGTACCTGTAGTCTCGGCTGTAGTCGTTGGCGTCGGTGGACTTGGCCCCGTATCTCCTGTACATGTAGTGGTTGTAGTAATGCTCCTCCTGGGGGTTGTGGAAGCTGAAGGGAGGACGGGGGAACCTCCCGAGCCCGTAGCCCAGGGCCATCCCTACCAAGGCCCCTCCGCCGGCTGCCATCACCGCGCTGCGTCCAAACCCTCTGGATCGGTCGGAGGGACGCATGCCCATCGACTGGACTGAGTGGGAAAAGGGAGAGCCACCACCAGCACCCTGACCCCCATATCCAAAGCTACCTCCGTAGTGAGGGCTCAGGACTCTGTTGTTCGGGTTGTAGTTCATATATCCACCGGGATAACCTCCATTTCCACCATATCCTCCATAACCTCCACCGTATGGGGAGCCCTGTGCTGGGTTACCTCCTGGTCGAACTCCTTGATTAGGGTAACCTCCTTGATTAGGGTATCCGCTTGGTTGACGAGGGTAGCCTCCATGATTATGGTAACCCCCCTGATTGGGGTAGCCTCCTTGATTAGGGTAACTTCCTTGATTAGGGTAACCTCCTTGATTAGGGTAACCTCCTTGATTAGGGTAGCCTCCCTGGTTAGGGTAACCTCCTTGATTAGGGTAGCCTCCTTGGTTAGGGTAACCTCCTTGATTAGGGTGGCCTCCTTGATTAGGGTAACCTCCTGGCTGCGCTGGTTGCTGAGGGTAGCTTCCTTGATTAGGGTAACCTCCTGGCTGCGCTGGTTGCTGAGGGTAGCTTCCTTGATTAGGGTAACCTCCTGGCTGCGCTGGTTGCTGAGGGTAGCTTCCTTGATTAGGGTAACCTCCTGGCTGCGCTGGTTGCTGAGGGTAGCTTCCTTGATTAGGGTAACCTCCTGGCTGCGCTGGTTGCTGAGGGTGGCCTCCTTGGTTAAACTGTTGTTTAGGTTGTTTTATAGTTTCACCCTTGGACTTTTTTTCTGGACTATTTGTTTTGGGGGTCTTCTTAAAGAGACTTATTTTCCCACCAAGCCCTCCACTTCTCTTGGCCACTGTACAATAAGCGTGAGCCAAAAGGAGGGACAGACCCAGCAGATGTATAACATGAAGCTTCATCCTTTGCACTGCATAGAAGACCGAGGGGAAAAAACAAGAGAACAAGAGGCAGAGAAAATATAAGGAGACAAGTTAGATTTGATTATTTAAAAGCAAAGAAGTATTTTCTGTTGAGCACAGTATTATCTTTAAAAACACATACACACGGCCAGTGCTGTAGTGGTAAAATTAGAGGTGGGTAAACTCTGAATTTTGTGATCATACAGACCTCAACGCGATGCGAAGCAACGCAACACAAAGCGTCGCGACTCTTGTAAGGCTGTCCTGGCTATATTGCATTATGTTATCAGTAAAAGTCATATACAATCAATGACAATGAATACATGTGTTAGTAGTTTGTAGTTTATTAAATTTAAGAAAACAGTAAAGAAAAGTATGTCAACACAACACAACAACACAATTGCAGATTAAGAACTATCTACATACGGAGTCTCCTTTTTACAGTAGTGCCCAGAGGGCCTCCTTGTCCTCCACGTCAGGTCCTGCCTTGCACAGAGGAGCCATGAACCATGGCTCCTCTGTGCTTCTCCTCTCTCTATTGGACCTGGTGTTTCTCCTCTCCCTGTGCTCTCTGCATCATTGCCTGTCCTCTCACTGCCTGAAAAAATTTGTTGAATTTAAGAGTTAACCAGCCTGTCAATTACACTGACAACATAAGTTAAAGGAACACTCATGTACTACCTATGTCATCATAAATAGCCTATACAGCATGTTTTTTTTCACGTTGAGAACTGACTTGTTTTCTAATCTACGCGTCACCAGGCGTTTTTCCTTGTCCTTTTACCGTGCACGACCAGCGAACACAGAGCGCGCGACTACCCCCCGCCGTCGGTCGTTCCGCACGCAACGACTACTACACCCTCCCCCCCGTCGGACCTTCTCGACCGGTCCGCGAAATATTGTCTGACATGAAACCGGTCCGTGAGGTAAGAAAGGTTGGGGACCACTGGGCTGATCCACAACGTGTGTTTACACACCTCCTGGATCCTGATTGGTCGCTGCTGCAGCCGCAAGGCACTGATTGGATGCTCACAGACTATAATGCAGCGCAGATGAACATGATTCAGACTACGGCGTTTATATGTTCAACAATAGGAAACGTAGTCTTAGCTGTTTTAAAATTACACCAAGTTTACTTCGGATTATTCCAACGGCAGAATACAAGGCGCAGGGAACTTTGAGGTGCGTAAACGGCGTTTACGTGCGTTTACCCTCCACTACAGCCCTGCACACAGCCAAGTTTTGCAGGGGACATTGACTAAAAGCATGCCCACCACATTCCATTCATTATTTACACATAGCTACATTAAAACCACACTCGTGGCAGGTGTTTCCTTTTCCTTTTTCAGTCTGCGTCACCGATCCGTCATCGCATCACGGTGTTTACAGGTCACGAGCAGCCCCGTCTATTTCATTTGATTTGATGCTCTCTTAAAGCATTCTATAACTTCTGTGCACTACTTGGTCCACCTGTTCCCGTGTTGCCCATTAGGTTGTTTAGAAATGACGCAACATGACGTCGGCAGTCCGGCTTAAAATAGAACCTTGAGACAAGTGTTGCGCTTCACGCGCTCGCTTTTTTTTGATTACATGTTGCTTTCCAGAAAACACACCAGCTATGGAAAAGTTTCGAGACGAGTCCCAACTGGAAAGTGAACACAATTGACAACGTATAAAGCACTGACCGTGTACGTCGGGGTCCACTACGCCGAGCCTTGTTCCCAGACGGTGCCTCCCCCATGTATGACCTTCCCCCCATGTATGACGCCCCCCATGTATGACCCCGGCGCCTCTTCCTCTGCGGGTACAGTGTGTTTAAACCTCTCCAGCACCCCACCAGGTTTTGAGTTGTCCGTCTTGCTCTGAAGTCTTGTTCCTTCTTCTGTTCAGAAAGTGAATATTTGATCACAAATGTTTAATTTGTTTAGTGAAGCACCAGCAAAAAAAGAACCAATCTTATAACATTAAAGTATTTTTTTCAACAGTATGTAACTAAGTAGGCTATAATAACTCGCGTTACGGTTCTTTGCTATTTAAATGTCCTGATATTGCCATACAGAGTAAATGTTACTGTACTCTCCTGTGACTGCTGGTGAGATGTGGATTGTTCCCTGAAGGCGGCGCCACGACGGCCTGTTCTGGTAACACAGATAATCACGTGACCTTAAAGTGGACAAAGAATCCAACTAACAAGTCAATTAACATGCGTGTTCACAACGGATTCCTGGTGATCGTCCAAATAGATTTTATCGTTACAGTCGACAGAGAGGACACTGGGGAGGGTTTGATGAATTTAATTTTGTAAATGTATTTTTTGCCCTGGTCAGGTGATGCATACATTCCATTCAAGGTGAGGTGGAACTGGACAGCGGTACTTAAAAAAAAAAATATATATATCTGTGGGTGGATGTTACTGTGGATGCAGAATGATACGTTCTCTTTCAAATAACAGACAGAAAAGTACAACCATGTGTTTTTCAGTTGCAGGGTTTTCGGAGGCACAGTAGGAATCTCGAACCAGGCGGTGCCAGTCGTCAACATCAGAAACTCCAAGAAACCCTGAGCAACAGCACATTTATGATGAGTCTGTCTCAAAAGCTCAATGACAGGTGTTGTTGAACCTCAGAGACCTTTTTCTTTTATAAAATTAAATGCTGTTAATATTACCGCCTGGTTGTTATATAGCAGAGCACAAACCAGATATGACCCGGTTGTGATTAATTTAATTTCTTTGTGCAGAACTGAATGAAAAGCTGATTGCTTTTTCATCGGTTATCAAGAGTTGACCATGATTATTAATTTGGATTGATACTTGGATCAAATGGGGGAGGAAAAAGGGAGACATTCCACTGAAGGAAAAAGTTTACCTGGGCGCTTTAAACACACAGAGGTGACTGACCAATCAAAAACTGACAATTGCACAATATAGAAAATATGATAAACTGCAAACAATTGCCATTCAACCTCAGGCACATATGTAAAAACCAATATTATCATTTCTTTTGTTGAAAAATATCCTTCCACTTACGGCATCGCCTTGTGGGACGTGCCTCTGGATAAAAGCAAAGAGGGAAAAATATGGAGACGGAAAGTTACTCCAACAATGTAAAAAGAGGGATGGAAAGTCTTCACTGTCCAGCACATACAACCATGTTTTTGAGAAATACACAACGATGTGATAAACCTTCCCAATACAGCATTTAGCAGGGCAAATTAATGTAAGACTTCTGCAGCCAAAATACTCCAAAAATAATATTTGTCTCACATGTGGCTTGAGGATTAAAGCTGCTCCCCATATTAATAATATATCTCAATTGACAACATCAAGTATTTCTCTTTAAAGGAATCCTAGTATCATAGTGTTAAAACAGAATATATACTTTCTATGCAAATAAAATCTGCACTTTTATTTGAATTTTATTTTTTTTACACAGTCCGTTCAGTGGTTTAAGGTGCACTTTACCACAGTCGCCTCTGACTTTAGGGAGTGACCTCTCTCATAGTTAAATGCAACAGCGAGCAGCTACGTTATGTCACCCTGCTGGAAGGGGAGGGGGGGGGGGCACACACAGCTACTGAACCAAAAAGTCCAGCAACATATTCTTTTAATACCCCCCCACATAAAAACAAAACAAAAAGGATGACTTCTCTCTTGACACGAACAGGAGCGAAACGGTGCCCAGATAAGAGAGACGAGGACTTTTGCAGCAAAATGTACAGAGCCGCTGCGACGCGCAAATATACAGGAAATTTACAAATTTACAGGACTTGACCGTCTAGACTGTGAGGGGACAGACTGCTCTGCCGTTTGCGGTTTTGGGAAGGTGTGGAGGGGGGCGGGGGGGGGGGGTGCTGGTTTTCGTCCAGCTCTGACGGAGACGGGCAGAGAACGGAGTGTGAAAGCAGGAGAGCTTAAAGGGCGGCACGCAGACCAACTGGCCTCTGTGCCCGACGAGACGGTGTTTTAAAAATAACACAGGTCCACTGAAATGGAGCCGGTCTGAGTGAATGCGCTCTCTCTCTCTCTCCCCGGTCCAGAGTGTCCTGCTCCGCTTTAAACACCGTTGGCGCTCATCTTGCTCTTCTGGGACAGCTCGGTTGCGGCTTTAGCCTGAGGAAGAGGTCGCAGAGGTCAGTGACAACGCTGCACTCACGTTCTTCTCCGCATTGAAGACATATTAGTCTTCATAGTGTTAAAGGCATTTAGCATTTAGCCCTTGGTGGAGCAGCCATTAGATCTGGAATCATGGGATACTGGTTCCTCAGTCGCACATTGTCCTATGGTATGCGTCTCACTAGGACTTTCCATGCAGCAAAACTCAGAGCACTACACTGACATCTCCAATGAAGCACAGCCTCAATAACAGTAATCTGAGTAACAGGTGAATAGAATGGTTTGTACTACACCGACATACCTCAGTGCTCCTCTCTAAATGAACATGATAGTAAACCGGAACGTCCACAGCAGAGGACGGACTGTTAAATGGAAACTGAAATGATGTTTCAGCATCCCTAAATATGTGATTCATCTGACCGATGTTGGAATAATGAGAATAGCACCGTCTTGAAATGATTCAAGTAGGTTTATGCTTGTGTGGAATGAGTTAAGAGACGGAAACCGGGTTTAATGGCGCCGACATCCTGACAGCAGCGATATGAACCCAGTAGCTTTAAAACAAAGACAGAAACGCTTTGTTACAGCAGGACTGAGTGCCTCTTAAAGCGACTGGTTGCTTTGAAGAAGAGACGCCTGAAGAGTGCTCTATATTTATCAGCTATTTTTATACCTCACACAGATTCATGTCAGGTGCTCACTTCCAAATTCAGCCGGTAGCCTTTTTTTTGTATTTTTCTGTCTTCTAGTCGTCAGCGCTCTACATCTCTACTTAAACGAATGTCTACAGCGTTCAAGCACTTTCAGAGCTGCGGGCCGTGTGCCACAGGGAGAGATTAGCATGCCATGTGAGTAAGATTAACGTCAGATTGAGCTAACGGGATTATGACCCCCCCCCCGTGTTGCATGTGGATCCCACAGGTCTGACGGGCGCTCACCTGAAGGACTTCGGCAGGAGTCAGAGGTTGGTCCGACACCACCGGAGCCTTGTCTCTCATCTCCTCCACCTTCAACAGACGGAAACAAAAACATTTAGAAGACGGGGGGATTGAAAGGTTCCTCTGTACACCCGAGGCTCTACAAACTCAGAGGTGCAACTTGTCACTTAAATGAGAATAGTTGGTCCACCTTAAAAAGGTCAGGCCACCTTAAGTAAGCTCAGTCTGCAGCTACAAAATGAATGAACAGTAAATAATACTGTCAATTTACAAATTGTTGTCAATAATAAGAACCATCAGCAAAACACTACAGGAATAAGAGTTAAAAACGAAAACATTCCTGATCTTTTGAATCTACATTACTGCACAAAAGGAAATATCAATATTGTAACAGTCTCATTGACGGTGCACACGCGTGAATAAGGAGCTCCGCCTTCTTCCTTCACTCACCCCCTGGTGGGTGAAGGAGTGAGAGACAGTGCATCTACCGCTTCGGCCAACATCTACTCTGCAGCGATGAGCTCATTTCCTCTCGGTCATCAACACGGCTGCTGATACGCCGATGCTGCTGTGCGACTTACTCACCGGTCTGTCCTTGATGATGAGCGCGGGGTCGGCCAACAGGTCCGGGCTGACCGAGGTTGTGTTTGCGGTGACGTTCTCCGCTGGAGGATGAGACTTCTGCAAAGAAGATTCAAAGTCATTATTGTCATTTACACACGCCCTGTGTAATGAAATTCTTGTGCTTGCCTTTCCAGAGACAAGAAACCACCACAAACACGTGGTTACGACTTGCTCTGGGTTATTGTTCATCAGCCGGGTTAAAGTGATGATGCATCAATACTGGATATTTAAATACATGTAAATGCATAGATGTAATTTCAAGGGTTTTGTTTGAGTTAAACTTTTCAATGAAAAGCATTTCGGACAGCATTTCATCAGAAATATTTTTTGAGGGTTGATTAATATTTTCATCTTGGTCATGTGTGGTAGAACATAAAAGGTCTTTGTGTTTGGCAGTTTCATATTTCACTCGTCCGGTGTTCGGCATGCATTAAACATTTTATTAATAGAACGTGTCGCGAGATCCAAAATGCCCCAGATTTGTCACTGCACTCCCTCGGCTCCCCAGCAATGCAGCCATCAGGTGTGAAGCACATTGGATTAACAATTCTTGAAATATATAAATCCACATACAGACAAAAAAAAAAAGAGATTCCTTGCTTAAAAAGATGGATTTTAAATTTGATAGACTAAAAAAATGAGTCGACAAATGACTATTGTTGCAGCGCGGGTCGCCAAAGAATAGCCAATAGCCATTTACCAGCTTGAATGATCAGCTTCCTCGAAACTGTCCATTCATGGGAGCGAGATTATAAATAGGTCGAAAAGTTCAAACCTCCAGCTTGGGAACGGGCGGGATGACTGGAGGTTTTGGTTGGAGGTCCGTCAGGTACATGGCTCTGGAGAGCAGCAGCAGCGATGGAGGGACGTTCTCCTTCAGGTGCAGGTCCAGCCACTGCACAGAGAGGAACATCAATCAGACGGGGGACCATGACTTCACATAGAAGGCTTTAATCTTTTAATACAAGTAATTCCTGCATGCAACAAAAGCGCTATTTGCACCATTTTTTTGTCGAAACATCCAACTTATGTCGAAGTTGAAAGGCTGCTGAAATAGCTGCATCATAATGCCAATGTGCGAGTCTGAAATCACAGCTCCTCACGTCTGGCTGCGAGATGAAAGGCAAACACATTTGAAAATGCCTGTTTTCCGAATGGAGTTTATGCTATAAGAATGCTATTCTTTGCTTATGGCAGTTTCTACCACATACATTCATACACAGTTTTTTCCTGTCCCTGTACAAAGTGGAGCTCTGGGTATTTACGTTCTTCTATGTTGCGGAAAATTTTAATCTGGCAAAACAATACCATAATAGAAAAAGACATTGAGTAAACTAAAGCTGAGGTTGCTTTGCTCACCTGCTGAATCTGCTGGTGCAGCTGGTCGGTGGTGAGACCCAAAGACCTCATCCCTCGACTACGACACGCGGCCTGTAATTCTGACACGCTGAGAGCTGCCACGCCCTCCGCTGCGATCATCTGTGAAGAGACGGAGAGGGTTCAGACCAAAACTGCTGCACGAGCATGAGAAAGTGCTCTACCTGTACCTAAAAACGTAACATGAAACCACTTCTAGAACCTTCTACGTTCCCTCCTCTTGTGACGCCGATAGTCCCTTTTAAAAGGCCCTCACCTCGTCGTCTGCCTTGATGGTTCGGAGCTGCATCATCAGCTGGAAGCGCAGCAGGTTGTTCGTGCCGATGGGCTGCAGCTCCAGCAGTTTGCACAGGGCCACCAGCTGGGGGCGCTCCAGGTGCTCCAGCGTCAGCTCGTCCTCAAACAGCTTGGAGAACCGCACGATGTCCTTCGTGGTGGGCTGCTCGCCGGTGCCGCGGACCTGGCGAGGACGAAGAGACACACACACAGTCACTAATGCGAAAGGCATAAATACTCCGAGCGAGTCGCCCCAGGAGTTAAAAATAAATAAAAAAGAGGAAAAAAAATTAATTTGATCAAAGCTGTTTCTGCAGAATCGATCTTTCGGTGGAATTGAATTTGGCTGAATTCCACCTGTCACACGGCGACTTCCACGGCCAGCGCTTCCCCGTGGTTTACAACTTTGCACTGGCGGACCTCCGGCTTCATTTAATTGGCGGCCTGATCTGAGCGCGACATGGGCCGGTGGTGCGACTCGACGGTTGAAAGCATTTCAATTATTCGAACATCCCCCTAAAAACCCCTAGCAGTTTGTTTACTTACCCTTTTAAAAACCTTAATAATAAGCAGCATTGAAAAGCATTCGCTGGGGATCTACCTTCTGAACGTATGTGGAGAAGCGCTGCGTCTCGTCTTCCGTTAGAGCTTTGGCTTTGTTCCGTCGGGCCATCTCGGCGATGGTCTCTTGGAGGAACTTGGCCAGCTCCAGCTTGGCTGCCAGGCCTTTCTTCTGCTTCTCCTCCTGCACGGAGGGGGAGGGAGCAACGGGTTACTTTGAGGCTAATGGGACTTTGTTCGCCGCTGTAGATCGATCGGCAGTGAAACGTGGTGTTTACGAGTTATCTACAGTTCATCATCACAGAAGACTTTTCATTCTGGGAGCTGGATCAATACAATGAGACGCAGTCATTGACTGGAGGCCAAAGACGTAGTACAAAAAGCACATTTCACAAGCAGTTCGGATTTAAAGCAAAATTGTTGCTGCATCACTTTTAACTTCATATTTTCTCTTTTACTAAAAGAACTATGTCTCTCTTAATAATAGAGGCTGATGCCCCAAAAAGGGATCATTTATCTGTAACGGTTTGAACCGTTTTAGATAAACACATCTTAAAAGTATCGTACAGATCAGTGTTTATTTTGGCAGCTATTTTTGATTTAGTCTTAGTCTTTAGACGAAAAATGCATATTAGTTTTAGTCACACTTAGTCATTTTAATCCTTCTTAGTTTTAGTCTAGTTTTCGTCGACGAAAACGACGAAAACTAGACTGATGTAATTAGTTTTAGTCCCATTTAACAGCCTATTAAACTCCTTTTCTTCCCTTCTGGCCCAGGAACCCCGTGTGTTGTGTCTACAGCTGCATAATAGTCTAGCTTGCAGTACTTGGTTGTCCATCACATGTCCCTCCTAGGACAGGTCTATAGATGTCCCTCCTAGGACAGGTCTATAGCCGGGGTCGGCAAACTTTTTGACTCACGGGCCACAACGGGTTGTAAAATGTGACGGAGGAGCCGAGCCAAGAACAAATGGTTGAAGTGTTCGTGTGAGCTGATATAAATGACATGTGAAAAATCATTACATGAAAGGATTTGGATTTTAACAAATAGCAAAGCATTTATTTGAAGGCAATTTAACAAATTGGCAAATGTGTAACAACTTCGTGAGGACCAGGGATCTAAACTTTGTCTGTTTACTTGCAATGCTTTTGAAACTTCACAGTCCTTTATTGTTTCCACTGTCCCAACTAAAGAGACCCCTTAACGTCCTACAATCGGTGCAATACATTATTTTCTTGGCTTCAGAACCTGCAATGAGTTTATTACGTTAGACGTGTTTGTGACGGAGCGTCTCATCCACCGAGGAAACGCTGTCTGCCGTCGCCAGAGAACAGAGCAGAAAGGTCCGACAGTCTTTAAAGGAGTCTTCATGTTTCTGTGAAGCAGCGCGGCTTCAGCCTGCTAACAGGCAGCTAAACCGAGACCGCTGAGCTAAACTAACGAAGCCACATTCAAACTCGCCAAAGCGTAAAATAGTCGTCGCGGCCCGTAGTCGGTGCACAAGAACCACCGCTGCACCGCTGCGAGCGTTCTGGGTTCGTGGATGACGTCATCATGACGCGTTAATATCCGCCGTACTTTGCCGGTCTGTTGTCTGTCAGCTGCGGGCGAATTTAGGGGGGAAAAGTATCGTCAACCACCAACATGTTCGTCTCGTCTCGTTAACTAAAGTTAGAATAGATTTAGTCATAGTTTCTATTTTTTAAGATCGTTTTCGTCACGTCTTCAGTCATGGAAAAAAGGTTAGTTAACAAAAAATTTTCGTCATAGTTTTCGTCAACGAAATTAACACTGGTACAGATTATAGTATTCTACCTACCACTACCACTCAGAACCACCTTGGAACATCAGAGCTAACACCTGCAGCCTTTCTTATACAGCACGGTAGGAGGGAACAAAAGGAATTTGGCATTGTTCTAATTACAGGAACCATTGTTTCTTTAAAGTCAGCATCCTGCAGGTTTGGAGAACTTTTGTATTTCATGTTACGGCTCCTTAAGAATGAAGATTAGATAAAAGTCTTCTGCCTGAGTTCATCTCACATATCAGAGCAGTCACATGATTACAATGAACCCGGCGAGGTCATTGAGACTGCAGGAATGTATGTGTGTGTGTGTGTGTGTAGATGGACACATGCCTTTTTGGACTCCGTCTCGAAGGTGGAGGGCAGCATCTCTGGGAAGAGTTTCAGGAAGACGGGTAGAAGGAACTCCATGAAAGGAACGATGATGAACACCGTGAAGGGCACCAGGCGGAAGAGGTCAGCGCAGGTCCGTAACAGCTGGGAAACCAAAGTGGCAGACAAAGTTAGCAGGAGGTGGGTGGGGGGGCGACATGTGGGCTGGGGACACGAGCATCGCCGGGACGCCGTCATCTGTCCACACTACGACATCACTATTTCTCATCTGAAGGTGCGATAAATTCAAATGAAATCGTAGGCTGTAAAATAAGGAAGAACCAGGGCGACTACTTCTGAAGTCCTTTGTTTAAGATTTAAAAAAAGAAACCATAGGAATGTGAAGGAAACGACACAGACACGATGCTGTGACCAGAGAGCAACAGAGGAGGATCGGTGCAGCAGGCCGGGGCATGAAAAATGCACCTATGACTTCAACTTGGGAAACAAGTGAGTCTGAATCCTAATATCTCTTGATACACTACAGTTTGTGCAGCCTAAAGAGGAGTTTACTTTAGTTTAGGTGCAGAAACTATGAGCTTTAATGGTTTGAATGAAACCAAAAAAGCTTCTTTTCTTTTGAGTAAAGCATCCTGCGTATCTGATGTTACTGATGAAGCGCCTCTTACCCGTCTCCTCTCCCTGCGTGTGAGCAGCTGTCCGTGCAGCAGCCTCCACACCATCCTGCCCGCGATCTTGATGTCGATGCCGAGCAACCGGAAGCCGTTGTAGTAGTGCTTCAACTCATCCACTATCTTCTGATGGAGAGCCTTTTTCACGACTGTCCTCTCCTGCACCGGCGGGACGGCTGCCAGTGTGGTGGAGGTGGTGGTGGCGGCGCTGGTGGGACGTTGGACTGGCAGCCGACGGAGGTTGGGACTTTTTAGCTTCCGGGGAAGCATCCTGGGTGGCGGTTTTAGTGTCCTCCTGCTTTATTTCTTGGAGCCAAACGCCTGAACTGTGCAGAGATCGGACGAGCGGCAGCGGGTTTTGGCCGCGGTCGATGGCGCGACCTCGATAACAGTGCGGGGAGCCGTAGTGCGAGTGTCTGAGTGGCTGCGGAGACGAGACCTGGCAAGGAGGTGGCTCTACGTGGAGATAGGCTTTGGAAGACAGAGAGGAGCAGCTGTTCCTCTTGGATAACAAATAGGATCCCCTGTTGACAGCAACAAGACAGAGACGTTAGTTTTTACATAATATTATGCTATTTAAAATCTGTATTTACAATACACAACTACAATTTGGAAAAAGGATGGGATTTAATTAATAAAGCTGCAACATTTAGCCAATGAAAATTACTTAAATTGGGGACTGTCTTAATGCTTAATTGTATACATCATATCAGTCTTTTTCTATTCCTGCTTTTTCTGGCACATGTCTACGTTCCTGGAGCTTTACTGCCACATATAGATCAGTGGATTAATGGCAAATACTTCCCTGTACATGTGCAAAACGTTGCTGTAAACTTAATTTAAAAACAAAAACAAAGCACCGGCTGATCCAATTATCTGTAAATTCTAAATGGTCGATGTCAGGCCTTATTATCCTACAGATACTAAAAGCGTAGCCAAGGAAGGCAGAGTGAGGACAACGCCGCCCAATCGGCTGCCAGTTTCTCATCGTGCGTCATCGGTGGAAACCACAGCAGTTGTGTGTTTACCTCAAGTTTGTCACGAGAGCCACTCACAGGGCTTCTGTGCAGCAGACGTTAGGTAAACAGAGACAGCTTGTGGCTCTCATCGCACTCAGCAGAGAGAACATAAGAGCCAGCAGTTACTGCCGCGCGCTTACCTGGATCTTGTGACTGCGAGGAGCATCTGGTGACTAAAGGCTGCCATGGCGGGGACACGTTTCACTGCTCTGTCAAAGCACACAGAGAGACAGAGGGCGCGTGTAACGTCGCGTGTCTGGTTACAACTCACTCACCCGAACGGTGCTGCAACAGGCATACATTAAAAAGTGAAATACGCGCAACATCTGGCAGACCTCTCGCTCACAAACACACGCACGCACACAGTCCGCTGCCATAACAAACACATGACCGATAGCATGACAAGCTAGCGAACGGTGAATGGCATGACAGCGCTAACATTAGCATCGGCGTAGACGGACAGCTCAGTTAGCTCAATATTATGCAAGAGCTCGAAGCAGCACCGGTCGCAGCTTATCTTACAAATATCGCACATCAATCCTCTCGGTGTAAAGCCCAAAGGATGTATTTGCAGTTAAAATCCACCTATAACTGACGATGTGTGTTTGGGGAAAACCTAACATAACAAACAGTTATTAGTAATAGGCATAACTAACTCAGTTTGAGTACGTTACTAAAGCGTCTGTTGTGCTAAATAGACGTAACGTCAACTTTAGTTAAAAAAGTAGGGAATCCTACAATTTCATCATTTTCCACAAACGTTAGCCAAGGCCATTGCTTTTTTTACCCAAATCTGACACTCTAAAAATAAAAACCAATATTTTTACTCTCTAAACCTTTGAAAGTTGCTGGTTCACATTAGCATCATGCTAGCAGATTTAAACCATAAAGGCTAGCTTGGACGCCTCGGCTATGCAAGCAGATTAGCTTACCGCTGGCTAAGCTACGTTAGCTAGTAAAATGGCAGCAGACGGATGACTAACCTCCAGCGTCAAAGACGGAGCTATGGCTGCCGCTGCTGACTGGGCGTTGGAAGGCTTCTCGGTGAGACGTAAATAATAGTGATCCATCCACAACAGTCGGTCGAGGTAAACGGGAGTGACGAGAGTAAGGGCTGAGGTGTTCATAAACCCATTTACGGTGTGTTTACACCGTCAGTCGTCGTGTTTCGGCTCCACGTCGTCCACTCGCCAAGTGCAGCCTTCTCAGGCAGCTGCACTGAAAGGTCACAGTGTACATGCGTGAATGTTGTGTGCGGTTACTACCGAAGATCGTCTATATTACGAAAGATGAATGAACCTGCAGTTAAAAATAGTAACGTCCCACCGGTTATTTGCCTTGAAGCATTTTAAAATCTGAATACGTCATTAAAAAATCGATTTAAAAAATGATATGGTAAATGCCTTCAAGCAGAATTATAATTTTCACAATAATCACCCTTTTATGGCAAAATCCTTGAATTTGAAAGGACTCCCCACTATTGATTTGGGGGGAATTTGGTTGTGCAGCTGTACAAGTAGAGAAATAGGAACATCCTGGGAGGACGTGAACTGGAATAGGAAGTACACATGAAGAGAAACTACACAGAAGCATTTGGGGAAATACAACATGTGAGTGGTGCAGATAAAGTGACAGTGTAGTACTAAATAGCAGCACTGGCAACGTGTCTGTATGAATATAATAGAATATAGTGCATAAACCAATGTAACATACTGTTGCATAATATGATTTGGTATCAGTAAAAACATTTGTGTAGTAATACTGCATACCACAATATATAGTTATACAATATACCATAGTAGTGTAAGATATAACACAATATTATGCAGTACATAATATACATAGTTTTTATAAATAAATGATGGTGCCGTGAATTCTGCAGCAGAGTGAGACATCTGTCATTGACCGCTCCTCTCTGCTACGGCTCGGGCGAGCAGGCGTATAAAAGCCAATCAGACTCGCCTCGGTGGTGCAAACGTAGCTACGGGATCTGCATCACGTTGTGGTCAGCATGCAATTTCAATAATAAAAAAAGTATTTAATATGTTCACATCCATATAATAAAAATAACTAAAATTAACAGTTCTTTTTCTTGATTTTTTTACACTGCCCCCTTCTCAAAAGACATTTCATCCTTTCATATTAGGAGGAATATTTCACATGACTTTTTTCGCTGTCCCCTATTTTTTCCCCCCAGCAGATGCCACTGGCAGTAAACTACACATCCCGGAGTGCTCCTCCGGTCTGCACCCGTGTGGTTTTGGCGCTGAGCTGCAGGAGAGACGGTGCACTAGGCTCATCAGGAAAAAAGAGAAAAAAGAAACTGGGTGCTTTTTCTAAACCAAAGAGAGAGGGAGCTAGAGATTAGTATTTTCCAGCAGAAGACTGTACACAGGAGGGCGGCGAGAATTGAACACACGTCTATCTGTAACAGGGTTCCTCCGGTCTCCGCTGAAGAGGAGCCCAGCTTTGGGATTGGGCAGCGAGCAGATAGCGTAACACCCCCTCCTCCTCTCTGTTGAGAATTGCGTTAAATCGAGAAAGGGGAAAAAAAGGCCTCAGCTTTATCTATATAACCGGTTTTTTTTCTTCTTTTCCCCCCTCCTTATATATTATACGAGGAACCGTTGCTGGCTGGTGTATGTGTTTAGAATGGGACACACTGAAGGTATTGATATTTCTCTATATTCTCATGCATCTCTCTCAAATCTGTGCTGCTCCTTCGCTCTCCTCTTTAGCGATAAGCGTGTATGCTATAGCTGCTGCATGTTGTTGTCCCCCCCCCCCCTCCTTCTCTCCCTCTCCCTCCGTGCCCCCGTCCCTCGGACCATTTGTTTGGGGGACGTATCTAGCTTATTTTCGGGCACATCTCCCACCAAAACCGCCTTTGCTGGAGGTTCAATCACGCCAGACAATTTGATTTAAAGGGGCAAAGGCAGCTATGTTGGCAACGGAGCGTTAGCCTAGCTAACGTTAGCGCCCCCCCTCTCCTGCCCCCCTTCATCTTCTTCCATGTGTTGTGCACAGTAATGGACACCTCGTAATTATATATACAACTATACGTGTGTGTGCCGAAAAACAACCGGACAAATGTCGTGGTTGTTTTATGTCGGCTAAAACGGTCCACAACGGCTAGCCTCTCTCGATGGCAGCTAGCTTAGCTTCAGGCTAACATCGCAGAAAGCTATAAGATCATTCAGAGAAACGGCTTTGCTTTTTTCTTTTTTTTCTTCTGCGCGCGCGGTCGTCTCGGCCCGTCGTGAACGTTCCTCACATCACACACGAGCCCCAAAATACCAACACACGTCCTCGCGGATCGCTCGTGACCGTTAGGTGACACCTTTTTAATGATGTTTACGTCTCCGTTATTCACCTTTGCCCACCAGTGGAGCCCATTCACGCGTTAACACTCGTCCGGCCGACGGGTCGATCAGACGTCTGAACGCGTGAAGAGGAGGCGCAGGGAGCTGCTGTTGCTTTTGTTTTGTTAAGGAGAACCACTTAATGATCTCTCGCATCGTTAATGGCTGTCAGAGGGGAAACTTGTTAATAGTTTTGTGGTCCTCTTATGTCTCCTGACGTGCACCACAGCCCCTGCGAGTTCAACTAAACATCTGTTCTATTAAGATACCTGCAGATGTTTGTCGATACATTAGTATTCATATTCATTAGTCTTATGCAAATGTGCCAGAGCCCCAAGTCAATTTGACCACATTTCCAAGTCAACAAATAATAATCAGATCATTTAGTTTATTATCATAGAAAAGTGATTTACTTTTGCCAGGTGTGCTCGGAATATGGTTCAGTTATTCATCTGATTATTGCAATTATTTCATTGTGTTGTGAGGTGAGGAAGCATATTAAACCGTATATATGTATTCGGAGGATGGTCTACATTTGCTTTGACTTCATAAAGCATTAAGCTAAATTACCCATCAGACGCCGTACTGCTCAGGAGGCCCCAGGCACCGTGATTTGTAATTATTTTGTTTGTCGCAGATGTGTTTCCAAATCTGCAACACTAAAGTGACAAGTTAGCTGAAATGGTAAAAACAGGTGCTACATTATTTAGCTGGAAGCAAACCGTATGTTTTGCAGATATGTGTTTTTACCACGCAGCCACAGGTCCGACAGTTTCACCTTCATGAGGTTAATAGGAAAGTCCTCTGTGTCAATATCTACTGTACAAAATTCCGATCCTTGTTTTAATAAGATGATAACAAACTGACATGCAACAAACTAGGAAATTATCATTTTCAAAGAATTTTTCTGGTGTGATATTTGAATGACTCTGTACCAAACAACAACGTCTCCTTGAGTTTGTAGAATACGATGTCCGGACCAAGACATCTCTGCAGGACGAAAGTATTTAAAACTAAATGCTATCCTGCGATTTGAAAATTACAGTTGGCCATATGGCATTTCTGATCAAATTGTGAATCCCGTATATACGTAAATAATGCATAGAAAGTGGCGGGAGCCACGGGGTCGTTAGGGGCCCTCAAAGGGTCATGCAGAGAAAATTAAGCTGGTGCTACATGTCCTATATTTCTCAGCGCTTTTTACAGGATAAAGGAGATGATCTTGATCAGGGTATTGGTCCTTTTTGCTTTGATTACTGTGATGAGGATTTAATCCGAGCCTCTTTTGACTGCATACGTCTCTGTCATCAGGTCCAGTCAAAGAAAAAGACAGTTAAGGATGCAGGAGCCCAACAATGGATTTCTCCTTCTCTTTCATGCAAGGGATCATGGGAAATACAATTCAGCAACCCCCTCAGCTCATTGACTCAGCCAACATCAGACAGGAAGGCACCTGCGACAGTGACCCCGGCGAGGATGGTGGTCCCTCCTACGATGCTGCCCTGGATGCAGAGTTCTCCTACCCGCCGTCGGCCTCGGAGGACATGTCTCACGTCTCCAACGGCTACCCGCCCGGCCTGGGCATGTACGAGCCGCAGGCCAAGTTCTCCATGTACTCGCAGTTCCCCAACGGCTCGGCCAACGGCTACGGGGCCATACGGAGCTACGGCGACCACGTCCTCATGCCGGGGGAGGGGACGGTCCTGAGGGGCCCGGGTCTCCAGGAGAGGCCTTTGTCCCCGGTGTCCCCGCCCCTGCACCCGCACCTCCACCACCATCACCCCCATCACCACCTACTCCACCACGGCGCCCACCACTTCCACTCGAACCTGCCTCACATACAGACCCAAGCGCACCCGCAGAGCCCCCCCCCGCCGCCGCCGCCGCCCTCCCAGCACCACCTGCCCCATACGCCTCACATCATGAGCCACACTCTTCCCCCTCCTCCGCCGCTGATCCTGCCTTCTTCCAGTCCCCCGCCTTCCCTTGTGGACAACACTCCTTCCTCTCAACCCCCCCTCGGCCTGTCCAACACCCCCGATGGGCCGCTGAAGAAAACCAGCTCTCCAGAGATCAAGCTGAAGATCATAAAGACGTATCAGAACGGGAAGGAGCTGTTTGAGTCGGCGCTGTGCGGAGACCTGCTGCAGGAACTGCAGGTAGTGTGCATGTCCGAGCATGTTACTCACACACACACACACACACACATCTTTATCTATCAAAGTTATGGCTGTCGGATCTTTTTCGGATCAAATTCAAAAACAAATGACTTGTTAACTGTTGATTATTCATGGAAAATTGAGGATTCTTTTGTTTTATTTGACTGTAAATGGAATATCTTTGTGTTTTTCAAGATGTCAGATTGGATTCTGGGAAATTGTGACGGGATTACTTTAAAAAGACATTTTCCGAATAATCTGCAAATGAATCATCATAATAATAGTAATAGTATTCTAACACAATGAGCCTCTTCATGTGAACGTTTTGTTTAAGTTGAACCTCATAACTAACTAATAACTAACTTTACAAGCTTTTAACCACATCGCAGTCATCCATGTAAGCGTTAACCTTTATGGCTCTTTTTTTAGATTAAAAATAATCAATATATCCCAACATGGACTTGCTTTTGTAGTTGCATATTTTTTTTATCAATGTCTGTAAATAACAAGGCTAACTTGAATAATAATTGTTTCCCTTTTTCCCTTGAAAAATGACTTGGTTAAATGCGCTGAAACGCTGCTGTTTAAATTTCCACATGTTCGTGCTCTGAATACAAACAAAAGCATCCCGTGCAGACAAATGACGAGGCAATGTCAGACAAGGCAGGTTGAACAACGGAAAGATTTTTTTCACATACTAAATGTCTAATGTGCCCCATTGGTATCCATTCACTCGGTGCATCTTGGTTTTCTTTTACTCGCGCAACTCTGATTTCAGCTGACGCAGAGATCCGTTTTTGAGCGGCCGTTTATGTAAAAGTCAAACGGTGTCTCATCGCCGCCGCTGTGTTTTACTACTTTCTGCTTCTCAGAAGGACGAGGCCACTCCGACGCAGCGCCGACACGAGAGGAAGAAGGAGAAGAGGAAAAAGAGCGCGCAGCTGCAGCTGCAGGAGCAGGACCTGGACCAGAGCCAGGAGCAGCAGGCACAGGAGGGCACCACGGAGCAGACGGAGGACCCCAACGCGCAGCCCCGGGAGACGGAGACGCCCCCGGCCCCGACTGAGAAGCCTCCCAAGACAACGATCAAAGTCGAACCCAAGACACCCAAGGCAAGTTCGCCCTCCGCGGCCCTTCGACTCCCATCTTTGCCTGCAAATCCCCCGCAGCTTGTGGCCAAGTCGGTGACTCACTGCTGTTTCCCTCCCTGTTTAGGTCCCGAAGGTCCACCATCCGTCAGTGATCCAGGAGACGGGCTTCTGTAAGGAGTTTGTGATAGGAGACCTGGTGTGGTCCAAGGTGGGCACCTACCCCTGGTGGCCCTGCATGGTCTCCTCTGACCCGCAGATGAAGGTCCACACTCGCATCAACACCAGAGGTACGTGCACACGCGCACGCATCAAGAAACGCAAGCGTTTGTACGCGGGCCGACGTTAAGACTTCTTCCCCTTGTGTGTCTTTGCGCAGGTCACAGGGAGTACCATGTCCAGTTCTTCGGCAGCGTAGCTGAGCGAGCGTGGATCCACGAGAAGAGGATAGTCCTCTACCAGGGGAAGCAGCAGTACGAGGACCTTCAGGCCGAGACTCTGCGCAGGGCCACCAACCCCGTAGAGAAACACAAAGTATGTACGGAGGCATCAAAGAAGTGTTGTCAGGCCAAAGACCGGAGTGTCTCAGATTTGTCCAGTCCAGCAGTCCAGTTTGTCACCTATTGATACGGAACTGTTGAATCCTGATATTAATCTTTAGGAGTAACAACGTGTTCGCTGCTCTATTACATATTTGAGAGGACTTTGGTCTCCAATTACAATTTCCAATTTTTCTGGTTCTACATTTTATTTTCCCACTGCCATGCCTTTACTAAATAAACGAGCCATTTTGAGGCATTGTTGTTCGGTTTTGTATCAGATTAATTTACTGTGAGCGGTGTGTTTTTCATATAAAGAAGTAATTTCTCCTGAAAATCTGCGCAAACCATGTAGATAAAACCGTTTCTTAATGATTCCATTTATGTTGTTTGTTTTTTTTGTCATTTTTAAACCGTCATGTATCGGTACATATTTGGGTAAGCTAATATTGATTGAATATCAGGTTCCATTCAGAAATAAAGTTCATGAGTTGTCCGGTGTTTAATCCCGGTTTTCTCCTCCAGCTCCTGAAGCCCATCCCTCAGCGGGAGCGCTCTCAGTGGGAGGTGGGTGTGGGCCACGCCGAGGACGCCTTCGCCATGTCACGGCAGGAGCGCATCGACAACTACACCTTCATCTACGTCGACCCAGACCCCATCGAAGGCCCCTCCAGCAGGAAACCCACCATCCGCGCCGAGAAACGAAACCGCCGCTCCAGCGGCTCTGTGGGTAAGAAGGAGGAGGGCGGAGTTAAGTCGCCGGGGAAAGAGCAGCCGGCGCGCCAGCAGCCGCCACGCCGGCAGCTGCCGCGCCGGCTGTGTAGCATTTCCAACGCGGACGACGCCGCAAACTCCAAGGCCTCGCACGAAGACAAGGACCAGAAGGGAGACTCCCCGAAGCCGGACGCCGGAGGCGACGCGCGGCAGGGTTCGCCGCCGCCTGTCAGGGCCTGGAAGACGGCGGCGGCCCGGAAGCTCCTGCCTCTCTCCATCACCATGAAGAGGCTGAACGTGGAGATCACAAAGTGCGACTGGCCTCTCCTGCAGAAAAAAGCCGCTCTGTCTCCGAAAAAAGAGCAGCTGCAGGAGGAGGAAGAGGAGGAGGAGGACGAGGAAGAAGAAGAGGAGGAGGAAGAGAAGGAGGAGAGAGTTGCGAGGGAGGCCCGGCAGCCCGACCTGGGATACTGCTCGCCCGAGGACAGCAGAGCTAAACCCGAGCCCAGTCCGGAAGAGGAGGAGGAGGAGGAGGAGGGGGAGGACGACGGAGAGGGAGAGGGAGAGGGAGAGGAGAGGAGAGAATCGCCCGCCAGTCGGAGGAGCGAGGAGGGAGGAATGCAGCAGACCTCCTCTCCTGGATCCCACCACAGCAGTCCCCACGGTCGGTAACACACAGACACCAGCGGCGTGTTCGTGACAAAACTGTGACGTCCTTTTCAAGTCAGTAACACATTATTTTCCCGTGTTCTCCAGGTTCTCAGGAGAGGAAGCTGCAGCGGCGGTCCGTCCGGAGCAGGTCCGAGTCAGAGAGAGGCAACGACCCCGTCCCGAAGAAGAAAACCAAAAAAGAACAGGTATTGTTTGTCATACAGGCACAATCTTCAGGATTTTAAGGCGTATTAAATAATATAAAACTGCACAGAGGTTTGTTAAATCTAGAGGGCGGATTTAGTATAAATATTTATTCTTGTGCTTAGTACAAAAATGTCTCCAAACTTACTTCCTGCTTGCTGAATCAAAATGAATCTCACAATGACCGAAACTGCCTCGTTTTAACCACGACGCAGGCTGAGACGGCTCCCGAGACCACGCTGAAGACCGGTTCACAGAAAGGTAGGGCCTCTTTCCATCACAGCTCCTTTTGAAACGTCTCCTTACGGTTGAGTGAAATCCATCTTTTCTTTGGTCATTTTGCCGTCCTCAAGGAGCCAGTGAGATCTCGGATGCCTGCAAACCCCTGAAGAAGCGAAGCAGAGCGTCGACGGACGTGGAGATGGCGTCTTCTCAGTACAGAGACACCTCTGACTCCGACTCCAGAGGCCTAAACGACCCACAGGTGCACTCAGAGAAACAAGAAACCTGCAATATTGAGACGCATGCATTCACGCCTCACTTAGAGATTTGTTGTATTATTCCCGAGACAAACTTTCAGTCAAGTCGTCTGATCGTCATTGTCTCTGTTTCGCTTTGCATATTCCATATTTCATATTGCATATTATTTATTTGCATTTTCAGAAATGATAAAGATGTCATTTATGATTGAATATGAATATTTCTGGGCTCTATACATTTTGTTCGGACAAAAGACAAAGACAACTTGATGATGGGAATGGACTAAGCCCCGAACCCAATGATTCATTGGTTAATAATGAAAGCGATCATCCGTCACTGGTGTGGCTGTCCACACTCTGCAAACAGCAGCAGCTGAGCAGGGCGACGTCTGATCCCACTTCTTCACACAAACCGCTTCTCCGCGTCGCAGGGTTTATTCGGGAAGAGCCTCGACAGCCCGGCAGCGGCCGACGCAGACGCTTCAGACACTCAATCCGTGGACTCCGGCTTGTCGCGTCAGGACGGCAGCGCCGGCAAGAGAGACACCGTCTGCCAGGTCAGCGCCGCTGCCGATTCACCGCTGCTGTCTCAAAGAGCCTCGAGTTGTCCATTAATACGAGCCGCCTCTCTCTCGCTCTGCGTTGTGTGTGTGCGCTTAGGTCTGCGAGGTGTACGGAGAGGGCTTGCTGGTGTGCGAAGGCGACTGCGGAAGACAGTTTCACCTGGACTGTCTCAGCCTGACGGCCCCACCCGAAGGCAGGTTCACCTGCCTGGAATGCATGAACGGTGAGAGGATTTGGTAACGCCATCTTTAGGTCACCATCAGAGACTTGTAAGTCGTCCCCGAGAGGCTAGTGGAGAGCATCCTGCGGAGGCACTAGCCTTTAATAACTCAGGGATCCAGTGGCTGTACGTAGCTAAGCCGCTCTCCTTCCATCCAAGCATTTGTCCCCGTCGCTGCACTCGACACCACGCGACTGAATTACCATAAATAATCAACAGGGGTTTACCAAAAAGGCACAAACAATACGTGGCTCCTCCCCCATCTCCACAGTCGGATCTTTTGTTTTGCGGCTTTGCGTTCGATGACTTTCTTTAAAAAAAATAAAAAAAATTTTTTTTACATTTTCTTCCAGGCAATCATACTTGTTTCAGCTGTAAAACGGCGGGCCGGGAGGTGACGCGCTGCTCTGTGTCTGGATGCAGCTGTTACTACCACGAGGACTGCGTCCGCAAGCTCCCGGGCACGAGCGGAGGTTCGGACGGAGGCTTCTGCTGCCCTCAGCACAGCTGCTCTACCTGCTGCCTGGAGAGAGACCTGCAGCGGGCCAGTAAAGGTGAAGCAGCCTGTGCTTTGTTCTCTCTCAGGTCTCTGTTGGAATCTGCAGGGGAAGCTGTGGGCTAACGAGCCGCTGCTACATCAGCAAAGTGTATGACAAGCAAAGCCTTCGGGCTTGTTCGTGGATGTTATTGACCAATAGCAATAGAAAAAGGATTCCAACGGAAAAGTGATTCCATGGGTGATGGTGGAACTTTCATGTTAGAGAGAACATGTGCAAGAGGAAGAAAAGGGTTGGTTTTTTTTTGGAGGGAAATCAGATTGAGAAAGAGAGGACTTTTTTTAATCTTCCATTTCATGGTGAAATTTCTTGGTGACACATTCTTGCAACAAACATCCCGTTTCACTTGGAACTTAAAGCGCTATTGGTTGATTGGTGAGTGGCATGTCGCTGCACCAATTGGAGCAAAAAAAAAAGTAATCTTTGTCTTTTTAGATGATGGTGCATTATGTTTGTCGGAAAATAACCGACCTGCAAAAAAAAAAAGAGGAAGCGATGCACCGTGCAAAGTTGAGATAAAAACTTTCAGTGAATTATGTTTCACTGTGTGATAATAGTGTTTACTGTGTTGTAGCACTCCGTGGCCTCTACGTGAAAGACGTCTTTTAACCCCATCAGTCACCTCACAACCAGCCAGAGTTACCGTGTGACCCTCTAGACCCCATGTTGGGACCCACTGGTCCAAAACACTCAAGTGTGAATGTGTGTCGTCTGATCACATTTGATCGTTGTTCAAAGGCAATGAAGCAAAGATGGGGAGCCTGAAAAGCTGAGAACTTCATTATTACACATCACTATTTAATCTGCCAGAGAAAGTAGTGGAAGTGGTCGTATTTCATCCTCCTCAATCCTTTTTTTAATTTCAACTGAAACCTGTGAAGGCGTCTCAACTGATTCATTCTAGAAACTCTGCAGTAATGAGGGGGAGGGAATGTTTTTGTGTGTGTGTGTGTGTGTGTGTGTGTGTGTCACATTATACAGTTGTAATGGGGCCCACTGAACTCCGACGTCCCTCTCCTCGCCCCCCCCCTCTCTCCCCCCAGGTCGCCTGATGCGCTGCATCCGCTGTCCGGTGGCCTATCACACGGGGGACAGCTGCGTGGCGGCGGGCAGCGTGGCGCTCACCCACCACATCATGATCTGCAGCAACCACAGCGGCGCCAAGCGGAACGGCCTCCTCACCTCCCCCATCAACGTGGGCTGGTGCTTCCTGTGTGCCAGAGGTGAGCTCCCACTCACTGGCCGGCCACTCCTCGCCGTTAATCTATTAATATGACCTCTGTCTCATGAAATGTTTTGTGTTCCATCCCGGTACTAACTGACCGATGCAGGCCGTCACACTGCACTCTGCTTAGAGCGCCGGATGGTGACCAGGGAGAAAACATGGGATTTCTTCCTAAATTTTAAATCCCTTTCAGCCTGTTTTAGATCCGATGTTTTGCCGGTCCAAGTTGAGTGCACTGTTCGGCCACTTTGTGTCGGGACAAACTCTACTTGTTTGTTCTGAGTGTGCTTGTGTGTGTGTGTGTGTGTGAGAGAGAGAGAGACTGTGAGACTGTTTCTCTTATTTGTGAATTTTGGGTAATCTCGAGTTTTGACCCCGGCTCACCCCCGTCTCTTCCTGTGTGTCTTGTGTAGGACTGTTAGTGCAAGACCTTACTGACACCATATTAAGTTCATATGCCTATAAGTCCCACTACCTTCTGACTGAGTCAAATCGTGCTGAGTTGAAATTACCTATGATTCCCTCTCCTTCGTCAGCTACCAAAAAGAATGTTGGGAAAGGTAACTGAACCGTTTTTCTCTTTCTCCTTTTGTCCCACTGGTCTGTGTTTGTGTCGTGCCTGCTCCCCAAACCCCCTTCCCTTTTTCTTCATGTCAAAGCCTTAAGGTGCAAAGTCAATTAACTGGTTACAAACAAAGGCAGTTAATTTCAATGCAGTGGCGCAAAGTAACCTCAGCCAAGTTCACTAACACATTCACGGCAAACAATGGGCCTCATGCAAGAACCCCTTTCTGCGTGTGTGTTGAATGTTTTTCACAGCAGGCATTTTGACCAAGGCGAGTAGCACAAGCACAGGTGTAAAAAACAAAATGAAAACAATTTACATTAGAAAATGTGAGAAAAGAACCAGGCAAAGAGGTTCATGAGGGCACTCTGACAAATGCTAGTGAGCATTATTAATATGCTGTAAAACGTTCATACAGCTGACAGTGCTGTGTCATCATAGCAGCGCTGCACTGATGCAGAAATATAGAGGATCTTGCCATTAAAATAAATTCACTTCCCGTGTCCCTAAAATTGACATTTGGTTTGACTCATTAAAAATGCTCAAACTTGATTTGTAATCCAAAGAATTTAGAAGATTTTGTTTCTACCAATTTGCTGATGGGTTATTTATATTATTATATAATATAATTTTGTTTTGATAATAAACAACAGAGTTTATTTGTTACATATTATGGGATCGGTACCCCAGATATTGTAATCTGAGATGATCCAAAGTCTGATTGGTGGGTCCCTCGCCATGGGACAACACGTGGACATCTGTTGGTGTCCCATTAGAGGACAACCTTGAGTGAAGCATTATTATTACGTTGCTTTCTAAGCTCCAGAATGAACCATTCAGAGAAGATGTTGTTTGACCCGACGGCAGATGCAACAAAAAGAAAACCGATAGATGAGAGAATAATATTCTTTTTTATTTTATCTTGCGTTGATGCATTTATTCATTGTTTATTCCTATTACAGCGTTATTATTTTCATTGTAGGTTGTGAGGCTTTCTTTCTGCCTGTGGAGACGGAACTGCATTAGTTTTGTGACTAGATCTCCTCACTCGCTCGTACGTGCCTTTCAAGAACAAGTCTATTCATACGCGTGGTTCTGGCACGAGGCCCATTGTGACATTATTCTGCCCTTGCATGAACAATCGGGTTATATTGCTGCAACAAGCTGTTACAAACAAGTTAAATAAATTATTTTTCTAATTTTCAACATGGAAAGTTTCTCTGGAATTGGTCACCAAACGTTCAGGACTTGGTGTGTGATGCTGTGCATTAGTTCAGGTCCTGTTTGGGGTTGTGGAGCTTGTTGCTGTTGGAGGACGCGCTGCTTCTCTGCTTCAGCACTCTGGGCTTTTTTTTGTTTTTGTTTATATTCTGAAGTCCTCATACCTTTTATTTTTTATGCTTATTGCAAGGTGGGTTTATTTTTTTCTGTAATTTTTCCGACTGAATTTCTCAGAAGGAACCAAATTCTACTCACCTCAAAGCTTTGACCGGCCTTGGATGGAATACGTTCTCAATCGGGACGAGATCTGATCACAGACGAGCAGAGATCCGCACAAGAATAGCGAGATTTCGCTCTTTCAAAGCTCCGTAAAGCGTTTTTGCATATTGCAAAGTGATAAGCTCCATGATTCCATGCAAGCTGGTCTGTGTGGGATGCGTGACGTGTGATGGGACGAGTTTGCTTTACTAGCAGGACCGCATGCCTGCTTTTTTAAGTATAACCCTGATTCATTGTTAACTCGCTGGCTGATTTTTATTCCTGTGCTGCTGCATGTATTTCCCTTAGACTGGTCTTGGTACATTGCTCTGAATCTGATTGCCAGACATGCTGTAACTGCTGCAATGTAAAACTGCCCCCATCCAGCACCAGTGGAGCCGCCACTCAAACCCCAAAAACTCCCCATGCAGATGTAATTCTGATGGTTTATCCATACAAATGTTGTGAACATTTACATGAACAATATTTTCATATCACGCCAGATGTTTTTGAAGTATTTGTACTTTTTCTCCGGCTTGTCTGCAAATGAGATTCAGAGTTTGTCCAGGTTTTAAGGTGCATCACCTAATTGTACACTCCTCCTCTCTTTGCATACCCATTTCCCACAACGCATGCGCACACACACACACACACACACACACACACACACACATATACATATACATCTTACAAATGCAGGAGGCAAGTTGCTGTGCTGCGACACTTGTCCGGCTTCCTTCCACCCGGAGTGTCTGGAGATGGAGACGCCGGCGGGGCCGTGGTCCTGCAGCGATTGCAGGGCGGGGAAGAAACCGCACTACAAACAAATTGTCTGGGTCAAACTAGGCAACTACAGGTACGGAGCACCGGCCTCCAGGCCGCCCGGGGGGGTCGTGCTGTCACTTTATGGTACGGAGACATCCAAAAGGCAAAACTACCCACAGAATGTGTGCGTGACAAACTAAGCCACAGACGTTTGTAAAAATAGGGAATATTACTCTCTCTTATTGTAGAAGTTTAGTGCAACAAATTAGCGTTGCACAAACTAAAAGATGATTTTAGATGTAGGGGACACAAATAATGTCTCCTCCATGTAAGGAAAAGGCATTGTGTTAAATACTGCCTTCGTGTTGGCCAAACCTGTAGATGAGTCGGAGGTCTCAAATGAGTTATTATTCGCATAGAGTAAATGGGTTTGGTGTGACTCTCCTCTTGAGCCTTAGTCGCTTTGTTTCATTCTTCACCACACTCTTCTTCGTCCTCACCTTTCCCCGTCCCGCTTCCCTCGGCAGGTGGTGGCCAGCGGAGATCTGCAACCCTCGCCTGGTGCCGTCCAACATTCAGAGCCTCCGCCACGACGTCGGCGACTTCCCCGTCTTCTTCTTCGGCTCCCACGACTACTACTGGATCAACCAGGGCCGCGTCTTCCCCTACGTGGAGAACGACAAGAACTTTGTCACGGGTCAGATCAACATCAACAAAACCTTCAAGAAAGGTAATTTGCCCCCAACGCCACCGTACCTTTGAGACCAGTCTGCTGCGATTCTCATTATCTTCAAAGCACGGGTGAGTCTCTTGAGATGTTGTCCCGTGTGTTTTTCAGCTCTGGAAGAAGCGGCCCGGCGGTTTCAGGAGCTCAAGGCGCAGAGGGAGAGCAGGGAGGCTCTAGAGCAGGAACGCAACTCTCGCAAACCTCCGCCCTACAAAATCATCAAGGTGATGTCCTTTTAAATACGCCGCTTCGGACAAGTGACCCCCGTATTCTACAAGTGTGTTTACTTCTCCATTCGGTGTCTTCTTGTATCAGTCCAACAAACCGGTGGGGAAAGTGCAGGTGCACGTCGCTGACTTGTCGGAAATCCAGCGATGCAACTGCAGGCCGACAGACGAACACCCGTGCAGCCTCAACTCCCAGTGTCTCAATCGCATGCTGCAGTACGAGTGCCACCCGCAGGTTTGAGCGCATTCCTGATCGTCAGCTCGGTGGTGGAGCTTCCAAACCGGCGACGCAAACACTTATCTACCTTTTTATGTGTGTTTGTCTTGCCGTTGTCAGGTTTGTCCCGCAGGAGACAGCTGTGAGAACCAGTGTTTCTCCAAGCGGCTGTATGCAGAGACGGAGGTGATAAAGACTGACGGGCGCGGCTGGGGCCTCCAGACCAACCAGGCTCTTAGGAAGGTCAGTGCTGAGAAATCCAAAGCGTCACGTGTGGTGTCATCAGATTCTAAAACCAACGTGTCGGGATCGACCGAGAACTACTAAAGACCCGACGAGCTGGAAGAGACAAATGACGAGCGTCAACTGATGCAGGCATCTCATGTGAAATGCCTGCACCTCAGATCCAGCAGTATTTTAGGGAAAGATTTCTGCAGCTCTTTTATTTCAAATTATGATTAATAATGATGAATAATAAAGATTCATTATGGCCTCTTTGGCCCCTCTAAAAGGTTACGGTAAAAAGACATTTCAAAGAATGTTTGGTCACTGGATCCTTAGTTGTTGTCTAAAATCAAGACGATGTCGACGGTTTATTTTGATTACAATTTTAAAAATGCAACATGGCTATGGGCTCAAAATCTTCTTTGAGTTCCTTGTATTGGAAATACAATATAAATATATATGTAAATGGTCCATTTCCACAAAAATAAGACCTATTGTAGGTCTTATACTGAAGAGCCTCTGCGCTGCATGACATGTGACAGCAGAAAGGTGTCATTGAAGTGGGACAGGGAGCCCAGAGAAGGAAATAATCTGAAGTGTGCGACGCCTGTTTGCTCCCCCAGGGCGACTTTGTGACGGAGTACGTGGGGGAGGTGATCGACGCGGAGGAGTGCCAGCAGCGGATCAAACGCGCCCACGAGAACCACGTGGCCGACTTCTACATGCTCACCCTCACCAAGGTAACGCCTGCGATGCCGCCGTACGCTGGTTCCCCCCCTCGTCCTCCCGGCGTCTCAAACGTCCGTCTTCTTCCCTCGCAGGACCGCGTGATCGACGCCGGCCCCAAAGGGAACTCGTCTCGCTTCATGAACCACAGCTGCCGACCCAACTGCGAAACCCAGAAGTGGACGGTCAACGGGGACGTTCGCATCGGACTCTTCACCCTTTGCGACGTCGAGGCCGGTGAGTTCACGCCGCCACCGGCGAGCACGTTCCGTTTCGACACGCCGGGCCGCGACGTCCGTCGGTGAAAATGCTGTGCGTGGTGTTCCCCGCAGGCACGGAGCTGACCTTCAACTACAACCTGCACTGCGTGGGCAACCGCAGGTCGTCCTGTCACTGCGGATCCGACAACTGCTCCGGGTTCCTCGGGGTGCAGCCGACGGTGAGCGCGCCTCCCTCCGGCGACCCCGCCGCGCTCCCCGGCTGCGCTTCATGACCACTCTGTGACCGCGTTTTCCCTCCAGAGCGCCGTGGTGATGGAGAAGGAGGAGAAGGCCAGGAACGCCAAGCTGAAGCCGAAGAAGCGGAAGCTGCGGCCCGAGGGCAAGCAGACGCACGAGTACTGCTGCTTCTGCTGCGGAGAGGGGGGCGAGCTGGTGATGTGCGACAGGAAGGACTGTCCGAAGGCGTACCACCTGCTGTGTCTCAACCTCACCAAGCCGCCATACGGTAACGAGAGAAGCCTGCACTCTCAGCCCAGTTCAGCCGCAGTAACGCAGCTTTTAGGATGTGGCATGCTTGCAAAAATAACTTTATTGGTACCTTATTGCCACACGCTAACCAAACATCTCTCTGAATAATACCCGAGTGTAAACCTGATGAGCAACCCACAAGCCACAGAGCAAATACTCGAGCAGTATCGAGCTCCAGTATTTCTCGCTTGTTTTGGACCTCTCGTGGAGGTCGACCCCTCGCTTTGGTTTTGTCTTTAGCGATCAACCTCTGAAGAAACAATCGATAACACTTGAATGGATAACATTGTTTCTGTTCCAGAAATGCGTATTTTATGCTGTTGTTTTCTTGTGGACCGTCTCATGAAGCTTCGCCCGTGTCTGTCCGCAGGACGCTGGGAATGTCCGTGGCACGACTGCAGCCAGTGCGGCGCCCCGGCCTCGTCCCTTTGTGACTTCTGCCCCAGCTCCTTCTGCCGGGATCACGAGGCGGGGGCGCTCACCTCCTCCGCCCTCGAAGGCCGCCCCTGCTGCCCCGGCCACGACCCCGCCAGCCCCCTCGGCTCCCTCTCGGGCTCCGCCCAGCCGCGCTGCTCCGCCCTGAGCCCCGCCGCCGTTAAGGAGGAGCCGGAGGCGGCAGAGTGACGCAGTGCGCGGCTCCCCTCGATACCTCGTTGCCCGTAAGGCCTCCTGGGCTCTGATCCCGCTCTGACGAAAGGGAATACAGAGCTTTTTTCTTTTTCTTAACCAGTGCCACGGCCCGAAAACACGCCGACAAACACCTCGGTGCCGTTTTGTTGCAGGAGCAGAGCAACGCGAGTGTTGGCGGCGGGGGAAGCGCACCGTTTGCCTCCTCTCTCCTTCGCCACTAATGCTCCGCTCAGACCAGAGCGCCACCCCATCACCGCTCTTCCACTTTTTTTTTTTTTCTGCAGCTGTGGAAATTCACGTCGTCAGATACTGGAACTACCTTTGAGGGACTCAAGGGGGGAGGTGGATGGAGAGAGGAGGAGGAGGAGGTAAAGATAACAATGTCCGCTGCTCCTCCCCTCGTCGGCCTGCTGTAAGCGGCGGTCGGAGTTCCCCACACAGGATGATGGCACACAAGCTGACCTTCCTCCTCCTCCTCCTCCTCCTCTTCCTCCACAGCCGATCGTCGCTCAGGACGTGATGGTGTTTGTCTCTTCAAAAAGGGAGGGGGGACCGATCTTTGTGCAATGCTTTTCAGGACCACACTACATTCCAACCTTCCTTAGACATGTTTTTTAATATACTTCTGGGTATAGATGAATATAATTATATACAGTATCTATGTTTGTTAATGTTTACAGACCGATCCTCTCACTTCATCTCGGTGAGTGGCGTATTACGTTTGTTTGTTTCGGTGTGCAGACCTCCTAGTGAACATAGTCCTACTAAGGTGAAATATAACGGTATATAGCGTAATGCTATGACATTACAGTACTTGTACGTGATTTTTCATATTACCAGTCTCACTCGCCATGGTGTACATAAATTGGCTCACGATATTGTAAAGTAGGTGAAGATCGTGAGGGGCGGAGCCTCGCCTCTCTGTTCGTTAGGAATCTCCTTTTATTTTCACTTTTCAAGCAACAGGACAGATCCATTTCTATTTGATTTGCTTTTCTTTTCCCCTTTTTTCGGATCAAGTTCTGTACCAACCTTTCCTCCCAACTGCAACTGTTGTTATTTGTATTGTAGAGGGGGGGGCGGGGGCGGGGGGGGGTCTTGTGATCACTGGTGCTGTCTTAAAGTATTGTTGATCAGCCTTAAGTTGGATTTTGGCTGTAGTGACTGCTGCCCAGACGCAGTATGTTTCAGTAACGTCGTGTACTGTGACCCGTTTTCATTTCCTTTTGAACTTTTTATTTGCCAAACTTTTCCTAAAAAGCACTTTTACACAGCTTGTCGCTACACAATTTAGTTAGATCATACATATACAGAAATGTGTAGTAAAAGAACATTTGACAAGTGTTTCAAAATGGATACCTCTTCTTGTAGTAACGTCGGAATTATAACTGTGTTAAAACTCTTCTTCTCTTTCATTTTTTATTATTTTTTTGGAGGGAAGTGGCTGAAACAAGCTGCTTTCTTTTGGCACAAGTAGGAATGACTGCCAGCCGGCTCAGTGCAGAAGAGGTCTGCGGCGTCCTCGAGACGCACTTCTTCCTTTCCCACCCCGAGAACGTCCTCGAGGCCGGGCTTCATGTAAAGACGTGGTGGTATAACAGCGGTCCCGCTCGTATGATGTAAAAAATACAAACTCCTGTACAGTGTTTTTAATAGCTCATCCGTAAAATCCAAATCTTTGTGTATTTATTGCACCACATTTTATACCAATTTCTTTTTCAAACTCCAGTGCAGTAATTTGTCTCCCCTTCTCCACCACGGTGTAAGTGAAATAGAAATAATAAAAAAAAAGATATAAAAAATAAACACAGGGAGTTTAACACGATATATGTGTATTTAGTCATTGCATACGTTTGAGTTTGTTTTCACATTGGGTGTAATGATTCCACACTGACAGCCGCTGCTCATCGACCCGTCTCGTGACTCACTGTAAATGGCGTATTGAAGCAGTACAACATAGGAATGTAAAGTCTCAGTTCCACAGCAGGTGTTGTGCTTTTTTGTTTGTTTGTTTTTAAGCCGGGACTCGATGAGGTTTACCTGTTCACTCGCCCGGCCCATCGCTTGCGATTCTACCACGGTCACATGACCGCATCTTAGTGCCCTTGATTGTTATCACTATTTTCCTTTTTTTTAAACCTGTTGTTGTCGAGCTACAGGGTAAAACTGTGCCATTTTTTTCCCCAAATCATTCCGGTTCATTTTGTGCTCTTTCCCATTCAGTCGGTTGCCACTTTATAAGGAACAAAAGCATGTTGAATGCAGACACGTCCTCCGTGTCTGCAGTCTGCACATACAGCGCTCTGCACGCGGAAGTAGAGTAACAATGAGCAGGACTTTAATATGCTAAATATATGCACATAATGCATCAATTAAAAACAGGCACTTCATCATCGTCCATCGTTCTTAGATGTCTGTATTTCAGAGGATTTCATGTTTCATTGGTGCACGCGTGTGCATTCTACAGCTGCTCTTTCTTTGTCATTCTGTCCCTCTTAGGAAGCTTTTTTTCTGTACTCGTGGAGTCCTGGAGAAAAAAGACTTGATGATTCATTGCTGCTGTCTGATTTGCCAAATCTTCCACATTCAGAGACACATTTGTGTGTTTTGTTGCAGTAAGAATCAGGGCTTCAGTGTCAGGAAGGTGTGAACTTGAATTTTCTCTTCCTCCTTTATTATTTATTACTCCTTTTTTTCCCCCCTCACATGTCATTACCAGACCACAGGCGTCGTTTGTGGCCCCATAAAACATGTCTGAGTTGTGATTATAGAGCTGTTCTTTTTTCCTTGTCGAGGTGCCTGTTCAGATGAAATGCATGCATGCTTCCAACAACACACACTGGTTTAATCTGCTTCAGTTGGAGACTCTTTCTAAAAGCCTTTCGAGTTATGTCTTTATTGTTGCTCCTTTTCTTGCACCGAGTTTGTGTCATTTCTTTGTCCTCTCCCAGCGGATCCAGCAGCAGTATTACGTCTGCCTCATTTCAGTCTCCAACGCATCGATCATTTCATTCCCTTTAAAATGTGTTTTTTATGTATACGCTTAAAATGATTAAAGAGACGGCATGTTTGCTCATTTAAGTGACCCTTAAATAAGTGTCCAGGATTATTATTCTTTCATTTGTATACACTTAAATTTGGGATGGAACCCCTGCACCTCCCTCCCGCTGTAAGTCAACGGGTACGTTTCCGTTCACTTGCAATGTCGCCGGCTGTCTCCTTTTAATCGACTTGCCGTCCGAGCAGAAATAGTGTTTGAATACATGAATAAATAATTCACCTTCATAAGCACTCATCTCTTTTTACTTGTGGTAAAATTACTCACAGTAGCTCTAACTGGGGTCATATCTATCGCTCTTGGTGTTGCTTTGAAAACGTGGATGAACACAAAATACCATGTTGATTACTGTTGACCTGTGTTACTGCATATTGTCGAAGAACTTGTAAATAGTTTGCATTGATCTTGCATAGAATCATTTTACTGTGGCGTGCTCTTTATTTTTTCTTTTGCTTGTACAATTCTGCTTCTAAATGTGTGTGACTGTTGAGACGACACTCTTTTTGTACATGACTGTCTTTTTATTTGAGAATATTGATTCTGTCCTTTTTCATTCTAAAGTTGAGTTTGAAGAGTTCAGACATGCCTGAAGTTTGACTTTAATAAAGCTGTACTCTGTCTCAGTGAAAGGCTCTCGCTATATGGGATTTATTTGAACACATTCAGCTAACTACTTTTCAAATAAAAGTTGTACTTCATGAAAAAGCCACACATTAAAGTATATTCAAGTAATTTTGCGTAGTGGAAATGAACCAATTAATCCTATCTGTTAGGGATTATAAAGTGCTATAAAAAGTGATCCTGATAAGTGTTCTGGTAAATCATGCCATTTCAAATCTAACACTGTGAAATTAAAGAGAAGGAAAGTAAAAATTGATTCGACATTTTTTTTTATGGGAAGGTAGACGTTCATTCATTGCAGAGGACTTAAGTGGACGTGGCTTTTTGCATCCGCACGTCAAGTTGGATAAAGCTACGCACATGACCGTTTCCGGTCTTTACAAAACAAGACCTTCCACTTCCCCAAATGTAATTGAAATACATTTTTATTTGTAAGTAATTCATACTGAATGATATATTTAAAGTAAATGTAATAACAATAAAAAACACAATTCAGGTTTTCAGTTTAATATGTCTGATATCCATCTACTAAAACAGTGAGATACGGGATCGAGCATTTTTCATCACTACATTTCCACATTTTAAACACACCTTTACTTTGAAAATACAAACCAGAAGTACCCCCGCTGCGGCCGCGCGCTTCACGCGTTGCTCATCTCCTCCGTGGCGTCCCTGTTTACGCTCGAGCCCCGCAGCCCTCTAATGTGTGATTGTGACCGTCGGCAGCAGCAGCAGAAGAGGAGGAGGCTCTCCTCCTGTTAACGACACAACTCAACGCCAGCGCGAGGAGATAAAACAAGGACCCGCTGAAGGTGAGAAGCGCCGCCGCGACTCCCCGGTTTGAGAACGCGGAAATGAGCCAGATGTCTCCTTTGACAGATGTTGCTAGCTTAGCTTAGCTCAGTCTGCTAGCATCTCCTCTCTGCCTCACGGGGACTTAACGTTGGCTTGTTTGCCTCCCGTGTAATTCATCATGTTCATCGTAAGAAGCGGACTTTAACGTCTCGTGCGAATGAGTAGGAGCTTTTTGAAATCACCTGGAGGAGGAAGAAGAAGAAGAAGAGGAGGAGGAGGAGGAGGTGAAGCACGTCGGCCTCCTCATCGGGTCCGAGCGTGAAGGCTCCACAGTGGGGAGTGTCACGCTCTCTCAGGGGAAGTAGTGGAGACACTTTGTAGAAGGGACAATGTCTTCCCTCATTTGTGTCGCATAATTATTTGGGACAATGACAGCTGATGTGTGATGTGGGGAAGCACTGAATTGTCTCAAAAGAACACAAGGATATTTTCCCCTTTTCACACAATTCACGAGCATACATTTTTGTATTTGTCGGTCGATAAGTAATCGGAGATATTACTGAGCGAGAAACAAAAAATAATATTGAATAAAACCTTTTCTAGGGGTGGAAGACCAGCGGATCAGCAGTTATTTGACCGATGTCAGTAATTAGATTTACTATCAGTGATTTGGCATTAACCAAAACCTGTCTCTCCTCTCTCTCTCTCTCTCTCTCTCTCACCCCGGCCCAGGTGAGTTAGATGGAAGCGGAGTGACGATGTTCGCTGTTGACTGAAGTCGCCTCCACCAAACACGATGAAGGGGAGGCTGCTTCGGGGTTTCCTATCGGAAGTTTCCATCCGGCTGGCGCTGCTGCTCGTGTTCCTGTAAGAACGTCCAATCATTTGCATCCCTGCTTTATTGCTCAGTAATTCGCCATATCTGTGCATCGTTTCCAGTGACGCCAAAGCAAACACCGGTGTGTTTTGTTTTTTTCTTTCAAATGTGCGTGTAGTGTGACGGAGCAGCTTTCTCCTTTCTACCGCGAGATCCAGCCAGAGGAGATGTGGCTGTACAAGTTCCACCGCGTGGAGCGAGACCACGTGCCCACCACTCTCATGTTTGTAAGTGTTCTGTCGGAGTCGGATCGTTGGGATGCTTGTGGAATGGACGCACCTGAGTGATCGTTCTGTCCTCCGGGTTTGGGTTCAGAGTGTGGCGGTTTTCACGCCGCTGATTGTGATCCTGGTCTTCACCTTCCTGAAGACGGCGGAGCGAGGAGACGTCAAGGAGGCCTCGCTGGGTGAGACGGCCGCACGCCAGCGTCATCAAAAACAAAAGTGCTGTTTTTTTATTTTTTTATTTTCTCTTCGTGATTCTCTTCCGCCCGTCTTTTGTCCCCCAGCTGTGACTTTGACGCTGGTGCTGAACGGAGTCTTCACCAACGTCATCAAGCTGGTCGTCGGCAGGTGAGCGCGAGGGATTCGGAAAGCCAGCGTCACAGTAGAGCTAAATTTTTTTTTTAAAAGGCTAAACGTGGCTTCTTTGTCCCCCATCAGGCCGCGGCCCGACTTCTTCTACCGCTGTTTCCCAGACGGTCAGATGAACCTGGAGTTCCGCTGCAGCGGTGACCCAGATGTGGTCATGGAGGGCAGGAAGAGCTTTCCCAGCGGCCACTCGTCCTGTAAGCTTCTTCTCACGGCCGATCGCGCCTCAGACTGTCGTTCATGCATCTAAGTGCATTTCGGCCTCCGGGCTTCACGTCTGCTTACGCGAGAGAATCCCGACCTTCCGTCTGTGATCGCCGCCCCTCCGCTTTTTGTGCTTCTCTCTTCCCGTTCTGTTTAAAAGTCCTCCGGCTCTGATCGTCCCCCTCTCTCGCCCTCACAGTTGCCTTTGCGGGTCTGGGTTTCACGGCGCTGTACGTCGGGGGAAAGCTGCGCTGCTTCAGCGCCGGGGGGCAAGGCCGGGCGTGGCGGCTGTGCGCCTTCCTCACGCCTCTGCTCGTGGCGTCCGTGATCGCCCTCTCCAGGACCTGTGACTACAAACACCACTGGCAAGGTCAGTCACAGAAGTGCCCCATGATAAAGTTAAAGGCTAAGGAGCATCATCTTCTGGTTTATCCAATTTAAAATTGTCAACAATTCATTTATTCCATATGCTAAAATTCGGTACCATATTCGGAATACTCATTTTTTTACCTTTTGAGCCCCTTTGAGCTACCTTTTTTGTTTCAAGATGAAAAAAATCCTTCCTGCAAAACAACATTGCTGCGAGATCATTTTGAAAAGGAAGCCAGAGTTCAGTCGTTTATCTGGTAAAATAACAGTACGTGGTCCTACCGCCCGCATTGTTCTTAGATTTTTGACACCAGTGTTATCACGTATCCGGCACCTTGCTCCTGATATAAAACACTAAGCGCCCCGTGGGTCCGGACACAGCCCGTGAGATCCCTGCTGCTCAGACACTTTCCTCCCCGGCCTCTATGTAACATTTTTTACGTGCATACGGGCTTATTATTTGATAAAGTCTGTGTTTGGCTCAGATTTAAACTTTCTTAAATCAATCATCATATCTCCCATTACATCCATCTATTGTTTATTCTCATATTCCATGTCTTTGATTGTCTTTTCTTGTTTGCCTGACGTTATCTTCATACATATTTTGTTTTGGATCCTATGGGATGAAACTCTCTCTTTTGTGCTTTTCTCCTCCCGCATGCGTCCCCCCCCCTCCCTGCAGACGTGTTGGTGGGCTCTCTGCTGGGCCTGGCCTTGGCCTGGCTGTGCTACCGACAGCACTACCCTCCCCTCCAGGACGCCGACTGCCACAGACCTCTGCGTCGCAGGGAGACCGTCCCCGCCGCGCAGGAGCGCAAACTGGCCAACTGCAACTACATCCTGCCCCGGTAGGGGCGGCCGGACCTGCCCCCACCCCCCATCACTGTATATATCTATATATATGTATGTTTGTTTGTGTGTGTGTGTGTGTGTGTGTGTGTGTATATATACAGATACAGATTCCATGTAAAAGGTTTTGGCATTGGATGACCGAGGTGATAACATGATATTTAGTATTTTCCATGAGGCCCGACACACACACACACACACACACACTGTGCATTGTGCCTCTGGGTCACATGATGTCAAACCCCTGCAGCAGCTCAGCAGGGTAACAACAGAAGCTCTGCACTGATCGTCCACTGGCCATCGAACAGCGGCTCGGCGTCCGTGAGGCGCGTTCTCATGTAGCGACACTCATCTGCTGATCAACTGCTTTTTTTCAGCCGGCCAGTTGGGGGAAAGTCCTCAGCGATTGGACGTCAGTTCTTTGTCGTTCGTTCCAGACTTTTCGGGGAAGAGCGTCGGAGGTCAACCTGAGGAGAAAATTATTTTGTTGGGATTAATAGGCAGTGCTTTTTGAAAATAGATCAGTCTTGTTTATTTATCAACTAATGACGTTACGTCTTCTGAAATGTGTAAATGTGCTGCTTTTTCATTGTGAATTTGATGTTGTTTTTTTAATCCTACTTCATAATTTTCTTCAGCGAATAATTGAAATATTATCACACCAGCTGATGTGACTGTAAAGGTGAGCTATTGGCTCGCTGTGGGCTCTCATAACTCCGCTGGGCTCCCAGGCCAACCCGCCTGCAGGGGGGATCCTGTTGTCAGACTGGAACCCCACCAGGTGACGGAGCTCCCCAGTGCTCCGGCCCGGGTTTTCTATCCTGTTACTAGTTGTACTGAAAGTTTTCTCCTGGTTTTCCTTGACTTTTTTTTCTGTTTTTTTTCTCACTTTTTTTTATTTATTTTTCTTATTTATTTTGGAGGGGGGGGTTCGGGCTGGCTCCAGGGGGCTGTGAGTCGGACTGGAAGCAGCCGAAGGACTCTGTGCCTTTTGTGTACTACTCTGTTGGGTTTACGGAATGATTATGTGCTGCATGTTACGGTGTATGCAAACTTTTCTTGAAATTTTACATCTTTTTTTTACATCATGTTTAAATTATGCATGCTGCCTTTCTTTGCCTCAGAAAGAAACAGTACCATTGATTTGGTTGCCGATGGAGTCAAATGTGAAGGTTTCTGGTTGGAAAATAAAAAGTCACATCAAAGGGAGTAAAATAAATATCTAGATTTTTCTTTTCTTTTTTAGCACAATTAGAGACCAATAATATCTTAATTTACTTGGTCTCATTGGTATTCCTGAGCTGATGTACAGGTGTATGTGTATTCAGTCTTGGGGCATGTAGCAGTTTACTTGAATTTTGACTTTCTTTGTCTATGTTAAATGTGATATTATTTAATGCAAATAGGAATCATGTTCATTGGCACTTGGTTTTATAGAGGGCTCTTTCAAACAACAATATCAATAAATGTCCTTTAGAAAATCCTGCATGTTTTGCAGCAATATAGCAACATCTCTTCCTCATTATTCTCTTCCAAATCCCAACACATCCATCTGTTCCTATTGATTTAATGTGATTTTCAGTCCTTGAATACTGCATCAAGTTGTTAATTATGTCTGGACTGCTTGAGGGATGCTGATAAAACTTAATTTACATCCAGCTCATCATGATCTGCCTTTGCTCGTATTCCATGTAAAACCACTTTTGTTTCAATTTTACTGTTTAAAGTGAAAGGGTATTTGAAGTGAAAATAACAGCATACATATTATATTACTTGAAATTAATGAGGCATTAAAATGTTAATTTCATTGGTGCAAGTTTGAGACAATTTGAGTTGCTATAAATACTGATATGTCGCAAACACAATAATACTATGTAAAAATTGTAAGTTGATTTGTTTTTTGGATTTAGTCATTTAATATACAAAGTCAAACTAAATCCGTCCAATAAATGTACTAAAGTAACAAGCACACAGTTGCTGTTCAAAATGTATAAATATAACGTAGCATACAAATTGAATTACTGCACCGCAAATAATGAAGCCGGTTTACCGACATCTCTCTTTTTTTGTGCGTGTTATTATTTGTTGTCTTCGCTTGGTGGGCGCGGCCTCTAACATGTGACGTACGTCACTCTCCTCCCAGCCGATTGGTTGAATCTGACCTGGACGTGACGTAGAGATTTGGCGCTACATTTCCAACAAGGAACAGCAAAGAAAGCTCCGTGTCTGACAGCAACACACAGCATCCCTCTGTTAATTCCGTATTAGCGGTGTTTTACCCGGTCGGTCCTCGTCTTAACCGGCTTTTAAAAATGTTTATCACAGACATAAGGAAGGAATTTTATGACGTTGTAACTAACCAGGTGAGTTATTAACGGTTAACTGACCAACTTGAAACATGACGTTTTGTTTGCCAGCGTTGACGTTGCTTGGGGGGGGTTCGTATTTATATTATATTATATTATATATTATACCTATAAAAAACCCTTTCTTTCAGAGAGTCGCTCTCCTGGTGGCGGCAGACATCGATGCAGTCTGCGCCTGTAAGATACTACAGGTAAGCTAACCGGCTAACTGCTAGCAAACATTAGCTAACGCTACCTTCAGGCTACAGGCACGTGACCTCACGGCTCTCCCCCCTCCTAAGACATGAGTAACCACCGGCTCTACTTCATCAATGAGCAACGGGAGTACACGGTGGCTGTTTTGTATGTTCATACATTGACTAGACTGCATTTAGTTGCTTGTGACACTTTGTTAGCAGCACTCGTTTAATCTGGCGTTATGTTGTTTACAATATATTGTAAACAACAGATTAAACGAGTGCACCTTTTCTTTGGAGGTCCGGACCTGCTTATTTAATACGATCAGCAAAGGCCACTGGTTTGACGTCTAAGTTGCGAAAACCAGTAGTTTAGTGAGCATTTGAGCATTTATTTTTTAATAATTAATTAAATTGAATTTCGCGATTGCTTTCATCATTTCAACTGTAAACGGAAATCCAATGCTCCATGCTGCTGTAGATTACATCTGTAAATGAAATAATAGTCCCTGTATGTCTCCCCGCCAGGTGTTGTTCCACTGTGACCAGGTCCAGTACACGCTGGTGCCAGTCGCAGGCTGGCAGGACCTCAGCACCGCCTTCCTCGAACACAAAGAGCAGGTACGATCAGGGCCGACCTCCGCGCACGTGCGACTAAATGACAGAAGGATGAACTGTTGAGGGTTTGTCCGCCGCTGTTACAGCCGCAAGTGTATAATCTTGTGTTTTGCTGTGTTGCAGTTCCAGTATTTTGTTCTCCTCAACTGCGGCGCAAATGTCGACCTTCTGGAGATGCTGCAGCCAGACGACGACTCCGTCTTCTTCATCTGTGACACTCATCGGCCTGTAGACGTGGTCAACGTCTATAATGACTCCCAGGTGATGCATAATGATGTATTCAGCTTAAGCAACCAAATGTCTATTGGCAAAGTACGTTTTCTTGTTTATTTTTTGAGCGAAAGGAGATTCCCCCCCCCCCCCCCCGCTTTCTCTCGTTGAAAACTCGGTCACCTCATCCGCAGATAAAGCTGCTGATCAAACAGGATGACGACCTCGGCGTTCCCTCCTACGACGAGATCTTTCGAGACGATGAGGAAGATGGCGACTCTGGAAACGAGAGCGACGAAGGCTCCGAGCCTTCTGGGAAGCGGCGGAGATTCGAGGAAGTGCGTGTTTGATCGGATCGGGAAGAACATTGTTGAAATGAATCCGAAGAGTGCCGACGCGACGTAATGACTGCCTTTGTCGTTGCAGGGGGCGGTTGAGAGGAGGATTGAGAGGCAGCGGGCGAAGAGGGAGTGGGAGGGACGCAGGTGAAGTGTTTTTAAAGCGCTGTTCGTCATGCAGTCGTAACAGTTTCTGAATTGGCGCTTTCACTCATTTCCTCAGGAGGGAAATCTTGTTTGACTACGAGCAGTATGAATATCACGGGACTTCTGTGAGTAAACAGATGCATTTCTCAGATTTACATTTGGGTCCCATGAGTCAGAAACTTTTTAAATATCTTCCGCCTTGCGTATCCTGTTTTTCTATGTGTTCTAATCATGTTTCTTCATGCGTCTCCTGTCAGGCTGCGATGATGCTGTTTGAGTTGGCGTGGGTATTGACCAAAGACACCAAGGACATGCTCTGGTAAGCTTTGTGATGTTATTGTTGAATACAATACAACTTTTCCACGTGGACCATCTTATTTTGTTGGTCTTTGCAGGTGGGCCGTCATCGGACTGACGGACCAGTGGGTTCACGATAAAATCACACAGTAAGGATAGCTTCAGCATTTTAAAACGTCAATCAATTTCCTTAAGAATTAAATCGCAGAATGAATTTGCTTCATCCTGTTTTAAGTGACGTGTTGCTGTCTTTGTTCATTTCTCAGTATGAAGTACGTAACGGACGTCGCCACAATGCAGCGTCACGTCTCGCGGCACAACCACCGGAACGAGGACGAGGAGAACTCGCTCTCCATCGACTGTATGAGGATCTCCTTTGAATACGAGTATCCTTGATTCACCCGACGTGTCATCAGCGCTGCTCTTTTTAAAAAAATTGTATCGTTTTATTATTATTCTTTTGCGCTTTCCTTTAACGCTCCGCTTCAGCCTCCGCCTCACCCTCTACCAGCACTGGTCCCTGTACGAGAGCATCTGTAATTCCTGCTACACGTCGTGCCACTTCAAGCTGTGGACGTTAAATGGCCAAAAGAAGCTGCAGGAGTTCCTGGCGGACATGGGGTGAAGGGCCACCGCCTGGACACCCACGCTGGATTTCACTCGGTGAAACGGGGCTCGCTTTGTTTTAACGGCTGACGTTTGGTTGTCGACAGGCTGCCTCTGAAGCAAGTGAGACAGAAGTTCCACTCCATGGACATGGCGATCAAAGGGAACCTACGGGACGTCATCGAGGAGTCTTCCAATAAATACGGGTATGAATCCAGAAATGATGCTCAAAGGTACTGAATCATTTATTCACAGACTGCTTGAAATTACTTTTTCTTTTTCTTTTTTGTTGTATTATCCCTGCTCCATCAGCATGAAGGACATCCGGGTCCAGACCTTTGGCGTTCACTTTGGCTTCAAGAACCGCTTCCTGGCCAGTGACATGGTGCACGCCACTGCTGCCTTGCTGGAGAGCACTGAGAAAGATGACAGCGCCAGCGACAACTTCCTCAAGGCTCTGGACTCTCTTTCCAGGTTTGTGGCGCCGTCCATGACGAGCGGTTAAAATCTGCAAAATGTCCAGATGTTTCTAATCCCCGCCCCCAACAACATTTGTGTCAAATGAATTCTTGCTGGACCCTCTTTTCCTCCTCCTTAAAGGGGCAACCTCGATCGCCTCCACCTGGGCATCGACCTGGCTAAGAAGAAGCTGATGGCCATCCAGCAGACGGTCGCCAGCTGCATCTGCACCAACCTCATCGTGTCACAGGGACCTTTCCTCTACTGCTACCTCATGGAGGTACGAGTGTCCGCTGTGACGCGTCCGTAAGAGCGGATCCGTCCCGCTCGGCTCAACGTCTCTTCCTCCCTCTGCTCTCCCCCTGCGCAGGGAACTCCGGACGTGAAGCTCTTCTCGAAGCCCATGGCCTTGATTCTGCTCTGCAAATACCTCCTGAAGGCTTTTGTCCATTCCGTAAGTGTCTTCCTGCCGCCAGCTGCGTGGCTCTCTGAAAGGAGATTTTCTGCGCTCCGAAAAACACGCTGTGGACGTCACTCGTGTTTTTGTTTTTTTCTTTTCTTTTTTGTGGGTTAGACGAGGAATAAGCGCTGCAAACTGCTTCCTCTCGTCATGGCTGCTCCCAAGGACGTGGAGAAGGGGTCCGTCATTGTTGTGGGAATCCCGCCGGAGTCTGAGACGTCTGACAAGAAGAAGTAAGATGACTTGATGTCTTTTTTTTTTCTTTTTTTTTTATATGTAGGACGTTGCCGAAACAATGCGGAGCAGAGCGACGACTATTCTAAATAACTAACTAACGTTTCTAGGAAGTGCAATTTATTCACTATTCATCATCATTTGTTTTGTGTGTAAAATATAACCTTAGAATATTGAATCATTTTTCTAAATGGTCAAATAGTACATATCTGGTATAGTTTTTAATAATAACAAATATCCAATTTACAATGAAACTCAATAGAGAGAATCAAGTCAGTTTTTCGTTATCCCAAAACAATGGGCTGATGTCCAGCATATCGGACGTTTCTATCGACCGTGTCATGGACTCTTTGTGTTGCGTACTTACAAAATGTCCTTTTCCCACTTGCACCCTCCAAAGCTTCTTCGGTCGAGCGTTTGAGAAAGCCGCAGAGAGCACCAGCTCCAGGACGCTCCACGACCACTTCGACACTTCAAGTAAGATTGACCTTTCCTCTTCTAACGCGGCGCTCCAAACCCTCCGTCCGTCTCTTCGTCAGACACTAGGTGGCGGCCTCCTCTTCATCTCAAGCGCAGCTTCAGTCCTCGAAGCTTTGAGCTTTTGTTTTGTGATTTCCTGTCTGAATCGTTTTTTCGTTTGCTGCTGGCGGATGTGAACGCTCGTCTCTTTATTCTTGCAGTAATCGAACTGAAGACGGAGGACCGGAGCAAGTTCCTGGACGCGCTCATCACCCTCCTGTCGTGAGCCGGAGGCTGGGTTTGGGTCTGTTGGCGTCGCGCATGTTCGGAGTCGCCCGGAAAAACTTTCTCCATGATCTCAAAGTGTGTTCAACCTGTGTGTATATTGTACAGTCTCTGTGAACGTGTGGAACCTCGTGTCTTTAGCTTTTCATTTCTTTTCTTTATTCCCGTCCGTATGTGAGTCGCTCGTCAGTTTTTTAACGTGTTTAATAAATCTTACTATTACTTATGTTTGTTGGTGTTTTTGAGGCCTGAGATTTGTGAAATCAGTTTTTCTCCCTCGAGTCCTGCTTTTTAGATGCATATTGTTAAATATCTCCTGACGGGCAGGAAAAGACGTCCTGGTGTGTAACGGAGGTCTAAAGAAATGACTGACGCATGTTTCCGAGACATTCAGACATTTCTGTAACACAACTGGTGGTCTCTCTCCTCCCCCCAAAAATATCTGTGAGCCTCATCAACTGGGATCGTTTGGAGACAGCAGAACAAGGATGTTGTTTTATAATAATCAATCAAAAATGGTCGACCTTTTGTTCCCTGCTGAAGTCGGGTGTTGCCTGAACTTTCTCCCGTGTCGTGGAAACATAAATGTGTCCAACCCGATTGCACCGATCCACTCATTAGTTTTGCTGACATAACATCTGTATTTCCACGGAAATGAATGACTCTCAGTGGAAGCAGCTCAGCTTTAATGAGCCCGACTTCTTCAACCCGCCCATGTGGGGCCGAACGTGAGGGCCGCGGGCTCCTCGCATGTCGGGGGGGCGGGGGGACCTCGCTCTCTGCGGGGATCATTAAGATCCTGAATCAGGATGCGACGGTGACCTGCAGAGGAGGAGCCTGTCGGGGCGTTTTCACGGGAAAGTCCTGGACGCGGCGAGAGCAGGAAAAAAAGGCCGAGGCGACGGCACGTAGCGTCTGCGTGCCTCGTCGTCGTCACTTAATTGCCTCTGAATGCGCGTGTGTGTGTGTGTGTGTGTGTGTGTGTGTGTGTGTGTGTGTGTGTGTGTGTGTGTGTGGCCGCCTATTTTGAGTCAACAGTTGGAGAACTATTTCCGTCCGTAATGACGCTGTTTACAGTGGCAGCATGGCGATGTTATCCCAGAGAACGGATGCCGCTTATCTCTAGATAGCTGGGAAATCTGTCTGTCTCATCGTTCTCCTCTATTCCTGCCGAGGTTTTTGATACAAACGTACATTAATTGGTCACGAGGACCATTTGATAGCTGTTTGGAGCTTATATTGCCATTTTCTTCATGTTTAATAAACTGCTTCTAAAAGATAATAAAATCCCAAAATTTACAGTACATGTAATATTAATTTAAGTCAACATGAATTGGTCCTAAACGTCTTGGGCAATAACCTTTGAATTCAGACATTTCCAGCAGTCTTGATGTTTTCCGCTGGATGTGCTGCCCTGATCGATACTGATCAATACAGAGAGGCGTCATCACGAGGGCGCCAATCCTCACGGTTAAAAACTGGCCTTGATTGTAAACACAGAGCCGCCGATCATGGAAGGACATCACAGTAAAATGGTGATTAGATTATTGGGTATTTCACTATTTTAATTTTATTTTATTTAAGTTAAATAAATGATTTCAATAATTACAATTTTCACTAAAAGTGAACAGTCATCTAAAAAAGAAACAGCCTGTAATGTTAATAAAACTTCCCAATTTCACAAATGTGACATTTTTACACATTAAAACCTTAGAAAAGTTCACACATTATTAATTGTTTCCCCTACTTGTGACCTCAGCTCAAAGTAACTCAAAGGATGCAGTCGGTCAGGCCGACTTCAGCAACATAAGCCCCCCATAAGCTGCTGTCCCACCGCCACAAGTGAGGCTGTAACAGAGAAATACGCACTTTAAGTTACACTTCCTTCCTTGGGGAGGATCAAGGTGACACTTGCTTTTTGAAAGGTTGCGTGTTCTTCATTTAAAGTGCTCAGAAGAGGAGCAAAATCAATTGGACGTGTCCACTGATGAAGATCACGTAACATTTTTAAATGGACTTGATGGTGCTGGCGTGCAGACGGCCTCACCTGGTCCCCTGAGCACCTCTGGTGAAGTGGGGCCGCTGCCCTTTCTGCCGCGGTGGATTGGAGGAATGTGGCATGCAACACACACACACACACACACACACAGACATAAACACACACGCTGAGAGGACCTCCCACCCCAGGACCGTATACAGCCGATATGCACAGCGGCATTTTTGAAGGCTTCCCACTCAAACAGGTCTGTTGCTGCTGAGCTGCTGAGTGGAGCTTTCAGAGAATAATGACACCTGTTGTAGATCGCATGATTATTTCTGCAGTATTTTAATCATATGCACTTAAACCTGAGCTTTGGTATTGATACATACGTTTACAGTAGCTAGATGCCACTTGTCATACATATTGATCTTTTTTTATACCCCGTATAAAATGTATATTTGCACTTTTTCGTCTAGTGTCTAGATGAGCAATTAAGTATTATTTGTTATATTCTTTCACACAGGCAGCAGCAGTCTTCATATGGCCCTCCTTTTATATAGTCTGAATGCAGATTAATACTGGATGATTTTCTCATTTCATAATATCATACAATAACTATTCACAAAAATCTGAAATCTTAAAGAACCTGCTTTTTCTTGTTGAAAATAACTTATCACCCGATGTACAAATACCCTTCATTCAAAAGTGAAGAGTACCTTCTGCATATGTAGGTATAAACGGCGCCTTCTGTGAGAAAATACTCTTCTTATTAATACACTAAAGAAAACTTATTAATTAATGTTATATTCCACTCCTGAAAAATAAACGATTTTGATTTCTCAATGACCTCAAACACGTTTTTGACACCTGCCATGAAACTCAACGACAGGGCTAAGCCATTTTAACTTATGTGTATTTCCTCTGCTGACAAAGACCAAGTGTCCTTTATTGAAATCAAGTGAATTATTTCCCCCTAGCGAGTATAAAATCTGTGTACAATGCCGTTTATCTGCCGGTTATCTGTGGACTTTTGTAATGTGTCCTGTGAACGACAAATTGCTCTTCCTGTTTTCTCTCTCGTCCGTCTCCTGCAGCCTCGGTTGTTTTCGCCCTTCTCCTCTCGTGCGTCTCCGACAATCCCAGATTCCAGATGGGAGTAGTTTTTACCGGACAGGCCGACGGCCTCCCACGTCATGCTGGCACACACGCGTATACAGTGGATGATACAATAATGTGATTCTTAAAACATCCCCACACCTGCTGCTGCTGGCTTCATGTCAGCCTTAATGATCCCTCACCCCCTGTGACCTTTAACCCTTCGTGACCTCTCACAGTCAGCGTGTCGTGCCCCGAATCGCTCTCCTCTCCTCCATTGTTGCGAAGTGCTTTCATGCAAAATATATGAGCATTTCCTGGAAAAAAGGTGTGAATTGGATACTTGTTGATGTGCTGGAATTAATTCTGACATGCTGCAAGTCCACTCAAATGTCTCGTCTCAATACCAATACGTAATTATTCAACGTTAAATACATGCTTAAACCGTTTATTTCACGTTTCATTACGCGGCTGTTTCAGACTGTTGAAGATGCCGAGCAGTTTGGCGTAATGCAGGTGAGTAGATCACTGTGGTGGCGGGCGTGGTTTTGGCTCGTCTGCAGCGGGAGAGAGGGGGGAGTGGCTCAGGGAACGGATTGGCATCAGCACAGCTGACTAAATAAATAAAGTTATATTGCACCCAACCCTGCCGTGTCGTGCTGACTCTGTGCCCCCGAGTACCCGGATGGTTTGTGGGTCCGTTGTGATGCATAAACGTTTAGTTGTCAGGCTGGGACGCCTTTAAAGGAACAGTTGGTTACCTCATATTTAACAAGATATTTACACATATTTAGTTCTCGGAGATGCTGATCGGCGAGTGTTATCACCTTTATACGCCGAGCCGTTTCCTCTCATTTCCTGTAAGCTGCCGCTGATATAAACAGTATTTGCCGTCGAGTCATGAGTGTTGTGGTTCCTCCCTCCGGCCAACAAAACAAACATAAGATATTACAATTCTCTTTTAAAGCGAGGCCTAATAAAAGTCAGATTCCGTCATGGTTATTGAGATTTGAATTACTTCCAAACACCAAAGGATGAATCAAATGCTGTGCGAAGAGAAACAGAAGGCTTGTTGCTTGTATGTTCACGGGGTCGAACTGAGGAGGACGGAGGCCTGAACAGCTCGTTCTCGTCACAACTCGTCCCACTGACGCTCGGCCAGACTCCTACTTTCTGTACACGCTGGCACGCGGTGGGAAGTAAACACAGTGGTTAACGTTGAGGATTCAAAACAAGGGAAGCTGCTGAGATTAAGGCGACAAAATCACACCGGAGACAAACGCGTGACAAACAGCGATCACGTTACTGTGAGGAAACTTAACAACACCAGCTCACAAATTGTCTAAAATAATCCCTGTCATAGACTCACTGGGCGTTTCATTATTACTGATTTATGGACATTTTTACATCCTTAACCATTATACTATTTGAAAAATCCAAGGTCGGAATAAAGCGCTTTGTGGCCCCCGATAACAACTGTCCCTCTCTGTTCCAGTGTGAACTGGGCTCCTTCTCCATTGAAGTTGAACATGTTTTTCACGGCCTGCGTTGTGATCCCCGGCAGAGGAAGGGCCCGACTGGTGAAATGAAGTGTACACAGACACCGGGATGGCAGGGAGGAAGAGGCCGAGGAGGAGGAGGCCGGGATGGCAGGGAGGAAGAGGCCGAGGAGGAGGAGGCCGGGATGGCAGGGAGGAAGAGGCCGAGGAGGAAGAGGCCGAGGAGGAGGAGGCTGGGATGGCAGGGAGGAAGAGGCCGGGGAGGAAGAGGCTGGGATGGCAGGGAGGAAGAGGCCCAAGGAGGAAGAGGCCGGGTGGCAGTGAGGAAGAGGCCGAGGAGGAAGAGGCTGGGATGGCAGGGAGGAAGAGGCCGAGGAGGAAGAGGCCGGGTGGCAGTGAGGAAGGGCCGAGGAGGAAGAGGCTGGGATGGCAGGGAGGAAGATGCCGAGGAGGAGGAGGCCGGGATGGCAGGGGCCGAGGAAAACACAACAGCTTCATTCTGCAGGCGGTGTCTTTTGTTTCACTCTCAGCGGCGGGTGGCTCAGTCACGCCGGACGGCCTTTAGTGGATGACATGCACTACAACTTTCAGTCTTGAAAAACACCGCGGCCTCGTGCACAAAGACAGAGGAAAAGACAAACCCCTCAATGTGGGTTTGTTCTGCTGTGTATGTGACTGTGTACACGTTTCAAGGGTTTATTCCTGAGAAAAGCAAGCAAGGGTTTTCCCGTAGTGTGCAATTAGCGTGGAAACAATACACTTAGCACAACTCCAAATCCCGTTTGTGTGTTTTGTGTGTGCCTGTTTGTTTGCTCAGCCACTGATTGCTGCATCCGATGTTAATATGGGACTACAAATAACCTGATGCTAAAAGCAACAGCACCTGGGCGCCTGTGATTAGTGTGTAAACATTTGGTGTTGCAGGAGATTTTGTTCCTTCCTGACTGACATCACATTCATTTTGGCGCAACCGTGTCAAATCAGAAATGTCTCCTGATCCCAGCCGGACATTCTTCATTCTGCAGGGCCTCCTCTTCATCCCAGCAGAGGGCTGCCATTCACCTCTTTGTCTCATCCATCTTACCTCCAGCTGTGTGTGTGTGTGTGTGTGTGTGGCACGAGCATCTTTTTGAAATAGCCTCCCGATGATGATGCACTGTGTGGAAACATGACTCACTCGGTCAGGCACGAAAGGAGGTGAGACTCCCCGTTTTCTACCTCTCCGCTCTCATATTTCTGAGATTAAACCGTCAAGCCACACTCTATTTATCACTCTGTTGATACAGTGCCGGTCTGTTGCTGCAAAACTGTTGTTGGCTTGTCTCACTGTACACATTAACACGTGGATATTGTGATGTTTTTTGGGAGGTGCTATGAAATATTTGACATCATCCTATAAATAATGAGGTTGTGTTTAGGTTTGATTTCGGAGGTGTAGCCATGTTTGTGACATTGCGTTCCTGGAGGGAACTGTAAGCTACAGCAACTCATTTATTTCCGGTTAAGGGTCGTGGAAACAATGTTGACACATCTGCTAAGACAAACTTGTTGGCAAACTTGAGAGAGAGACAGAGGAGGGAAACACAAATCCAATCATGTTTTCTGATACAGACCGTCCAGAATAGTCTTACTGGAAATCGTGTGTCATAATCCTACTGAAGAAATGCGTACAAGTTGGTGGACTTCTCCCCCCCCACACACACACACACACAGACAGAAGTCTGTGTGTGTGTGGGGGGGGTCGCTTTAACCAGCAAAGCTCACACACTCCACCCCTCCTCCTCTCCCCCACCCTCCATGCTCCTTCCTGTTTCCTGTTCCGCTGTCCGCTGCACAGGAAGCCTGGTCGTGCTACTGGGCCGCGACAGAAACGCGCGAGCCGACCACGCAGGGAAAGAGAAACGCTGGGCGGTTTGTGTTTTTTTTTCTTTTTTAGCCTGATCTTTTACCTCTTACATTGTTTCTCAAACAAACAGCTCATGGGGGCTTTAACGCCGCGTACAAAGCCGCTTTTTGTCCTCCATGTTCAACCACCTGCTGACTCTTGGCTTCACTCTCGGTGAGTAAGCTCCGTCCAGCTGTGACAGCTGTGGGCCGAATGCACCTTGCAGTGAGTCATGGACGACCTCCATCCGGTCTGTGTCGTAATGACTCGCTGCCACGGGGCCACTTTGAAGAATGTATGTGATTACATGAAATGAAACCCTCTCTTGTAGCCGCGTCTTTGCGGGTTGACGAGCTTGAGGAGTTGGGGGTGTGACCCCGCCTCCTTCTACTCGCATCAATGGTGGGGATCTGCTTCGATGAGATCATGCTCGGTACGTCGAGGGGAGTGACTTTTGACCCATCTGA